TGGTCTTTCTCTCTCTCTCTCTGGTTTTGTATATATATACTCTGTTGCTATATTGCAATTGCCATCAGCAAGCCAAGTTTACCAGTATAGAGTAGGTGCATTGAAATTTATAGGAATTCGTCGGACCTTGCTGCGTGTTGGTTTTCAATTATGTATGACAGGCACTAACTCTGAACAGGCACCTACACCCATTTTAACCCAAGTTCCATTCCGGTTTTACCCCGCAACATATACTTCATGTTTAATATCACCCCCGCCTAAATCATCCATTGGGGAATTAAAAAAAAAGAAAAGAGAAAAAATTTCAAATTTAAATTCATGGGATAAAACATTTGTAGGAGAGAAAGAGACACTTTCTAATTAGACTCAAATAAATTTCAGCTTTATGAAAAAAATTTAAAAAATTAAAATTGCGAGATACTCCTTCCCAAATACCACCAAAAAATTAAGCAAAAAGTCTCGAACAAAAAATGTATGGAGCACTTTTTGATTGGTCCAGCAGATGCTAAGCTACACTCAAAAAATAGTAGAAAAAATTTTCGGAAAATAAAATTTGAGAGATAGTGGCTTGGGAATAATGCCAAAAAATAGAGCACCACAAAAAGAAAACTAAGAAAACTTGAATCTTTTTTAGCAACTTTTTTCAATTTTTCTTAGGCAGACTATTTTATTGCAATTTCTTGCACAAAATACACCTAAAAGTGTAGAAAAAAATTGACAGCCAAATCCAAGTCGAGGAACACCATTTTTACGACCATTAAAGCGATTTTCGTCAAAAAAAAATTTTCAAAAAAATTCAATTTTTCTTAGGCAGACTATTTTATTGCAATTTCTTGCACAAAATACACCTAAAAGTGTAGAAAAAAATTGACAGCCAAATCCAAGTCGAGGAACACCATTTTTACGACCATTAAAGCGATTTTCGTCAAAAAAAAATTTTCAAAAAAATTCAATTTTTCTTAGGCAGACTATTTTATTGCAATTTCTTGCACAAAATACACCTAAAAGTGTAGAAAAAAATTGACAGCCAAATCCAAGTCGAGGAACACCATTTTTACGACCATTAAAGCGATTTTCGTCAAAAAAAAATTTTCAAAAAAATTCAATTTTTCTTAGGCAGACTATTTTATTGCAATTTCTTGCACAAAATACACCTAAAAGTGTAGAAAAAAATTGACAGCCAAATCCAAGTAGAGGAACACCATTTTTACGACCATTAAAGCGATTTTCGTCAAAAAAAAATTTTCAAAAAAATTCAATTTTTCTTAGGCAGACTATTTTATTGCAATTTCTTGCACAAAATACACCTAAAAGTGTAGAAAAAAATTGACAGCCAAATCCAAGTCGAGGAACACCATTTTTACGACCATTAAAGCGATTTTCGTCAAAAAAAAATTTTCAAAAAAATTCAATTTTTCTTAGGCAGACTATTTTATTGCAATTTCTTGCACAAAATACACCTAAAAGTGTAGAAAAAAATTGACAGCCAAATCCAAGTCGAGGAACACCATTTTTATGACCATTAAAGCGATTTTCGTCAAAAAAAAATTTTCAAAAAAATTCAATTTTTCTTAGGCAGACTATTTTATTGCAATTTCTTGCACAAAATACACCTAAAAGTGTAGAAAAAAATTGACAGCCAAATCCAAGTCGAGGAACACCATTTTTACGACCATTAAAGCGATTTTCGTCAAAAAAAAATTTTCAAAAAAATTCAATTTTTCTTAGGCAGACTATTTTATTGCAATTTCTTGCACAAAATACACCTAAAAGTGTAGAAAAAAATTGACAGCCAAATCCAAGTCGAGGAACACCACTTTTATGACCATTAAAGCGATTTTCGTCAAAAAAAAATTTTCAAAAAAATTCAATTTTTCTTAGGCAGACTATTTTATTGCAATTTCTTGCACAAAATACACCTAAAAGTGTAGAAAAAAATTGACAGCCAAATCCAAGTCGAGGAACACCATTTTTACGACCATTAAAGCGATTTTCGTCAAAAAAAAATTTTCAAAAAAATTCAATTTTTCTTAGGCAGACTATTTTATTGCAATTTCTTGCACAAAATACACCTAAAAGTGTAGAAAAAAATTGACAGCCAAATCCAAGTAGAGGAACACCATTTTTACGACCATTAAAGCGATTTTCGTCAAAAAAAAATTTTCAAAAAAATTCAATTTTTCTTAGGCAGACTATTTTATTGCAATTTCTTGCACAAAATACACCTAAAAGTGTAGAAAAAAATTGACAGCCAAATCCAAGTCGAGGAACACCATTTTTACGACCATTAAAGCGATTTTCGTCAAAAAAAAATTTTCAAAAAAATTCAATTTTTCTTAGGCAGACTATTTTATTGCAATTTCTTGCACAAAATACACCTAAAAGTGTAGAAAAAAATTGACAGCCAAATCCAAGTCGAGGAACACCATTTTTATGACCATTAAAGCGATTTTCGTCAAAAAAAAATTTTCAAAAAAATTCAATTTTTCTTAGGCAGACTATTTTATTGCAATTTCTTGCACAAAATACACCTAATAGTGTAGAAAAAAATTGACAGCCCGATCCGAGTAGAGGAACACCATTTTTACGACCATTAAAGCGATTTTCGTCAAAAAAAAATTTTCAAAAAAATTCAATTTTTCTTAGGCAGACTATTTTATTGCAATTTCTTGCACAAAATACACCTAAAAGTGTAGAAAAAAATTGACAGCCAAATCCAAGTCGAGGAACACCATTTTTACGACCATTAAAGCGATTTTCGTCAAAAAAAAATTTTCAAAAAAATTCAATTTTTCTTAGGCAGACTATTTTATTGCAATTTCTTGCACAAAATACACCTAAAAGTGTAGAAAAAAATTGACAGCCAAATCCGAGTAGAGGAACACCATTTTTACGACCATTAAAGCGATTTTCGTCAAAAAAAAATTTTCAAAAAAATTCAATTTTTCTTAGGCAGACTATTTTATTGCAATTTCTTGCACAAAATACACCTAAAAGTGTAGAAAAAAATTGACAGCCAAATCCAAGTCGAGGAACACCATTTTTACGACCATTAAAGCGATTTTCGTCAAAAAAAAATTTTCAAAAAAATTCAATTTTTCTTAGGCAGACTATTTTATTGCAATTTCTTGCACAAAATACACCTAAAAGTGTAGAAAAAAATTGACAGCCAAATCCAAGTCGAGGAACACCATTTTTACGACCATTAAAGCGATTTTCGTCAAAAAAAAATTTTCAAAAAAATTCAATTTTTCTTAGGCAGACTATTTTATTGCAATTTCTTGCACAAAATACACCTAAAAGTGTAGAAAAAAATTGACAGCCAAATCCAAGTAGAGGAACACCATTTTTACGACCATTAAAGCGATTTTCGTCAAAAAAAAATTTTCAAAAAAATTCAATTTTTCTTAGGCAGACTATTTTATTGCAATTTTTTGCACAAAATACACCTAATAGTGTAGAAAAAAATTGACAGCCCGATCCGAGTAGAGGAACACCATTTTTACGACCATTAAAGCGATTTTCGTCAAAAAAAAATTTTCAAAAAAATTCAATTTTTCTTAGGCAGACTATTTTATTGCAATTTCTTGCACAAAATACACCTAAAAGTGTAGAAAAAAATTGACAGCCAAATCCAAGTCGAGGAACACCATTTTTACGACCATTAAAGCGATTTTCGTCAAAAAAAAATTTTCAAAAAAATTCAATTTTTCTTAGGCAGACTATTTTATTGCAATTTCTTGCACAAAATACACCTAATAGTGTAGAAAAAAATTGACAGCCCGATCCGAGTAGAGGAACACCATTTTTACGACCATTAAAGCGATTTTCGTCAAAAAAAAATTTTCAAAAAAATTCAATTTTTCTTAGGCAGACTATTTTATTGCAATTTCTTGCACAAAATACACCTAAAAGTGTAGAAAAAAATTGACAGCCAAATCCAAGTCGAGGAACACCATTTTTACGACCATTAAAGCGATTTTCGTCAAAAAAAAATTTTCAAAAAAATTCAATTTTTCTTAGGCAGACTATTTTATTGCAATTTCTTGCACAAAATACACCTAAAAGTGTAGAAAAAAATTGACAGCCAAATCCAAGTCGAGGAACACCATTTTTACGACCATTAAAGCGATTTTCGTCAAAAAAAAATTTTCAAAAAAATTCAATTTTTCTTAGGCAGACTATTTTATTGCAATTTCTTGCACAAAATACACCTAAAAGTGTAGAAAAAAATTGACAGCCAAATCCAAGTAGAGGAACACCATTTTTACGACCATTAAAGCGATTTTCGTCAAAAAAAAATTTTCAAAAAAATTCAATTTTTCTTAGGCAGACTATTTTATTGCAATTTCTTGCACAAAATACACCTAAAAGTGTAGAAAAAAATTGACAGCCAAATCCAAGTCGAGGAACACCATTTTTACGACCATTAAAGCGATTTTCGTCAAAAAAAAATTTTCAAAAAAATTCAATTTTTCTTAGGCAGACTATTTTATTGCAATTTCTTGCACAAAATACACCTAAAAGTGTAGAAAAAAATTGACAGCCAAATCCAAGTCGAGGAACACCATTTTTACGACCATTAAAGCGATTTTCGTCAAAAAAAAATTTTCAAAAAAATTCAATTTTTCTTAGGCAGACTATTTTATTGCAATTTCTTGCACAAAATACACCTAAAAGTGTAGAAAAAAATTGACAGCCAAATCCGAGTCGAGGAACACCATTTTTACGACCATTAAAGCGATTTTCGTCAAAAAAAAATTTTCAAAAAAATTCAATTTTTCTTAGGCAGACTATTTTATTGCAATTTCTTGCACAAAATACACCTAAAAGTGTAGAAAAAAATTGACAGCCCGATCCGAGTAGAGGAACACCATTTTTATGACCATTAAAGCGATTTTCGTCAAAAAAAAATTTTCAAAAAAATTCAATTTTTCTTAGGCAGACTATTTTATTGCAATTTCTTGCACAAAATACACCTAAAAGTGTAGAAAAAAATTGACAGCCAAATCCAAGTCGAGGAACACCATTTTTACGACCATTAAAGCGATTTTCGTCAAAAAAAAATTTTCAAAAAAATTCAATTTTTCTTAGGCAGACTATTTTATTGCAATTTCTTGCACAAAATACACCTAAAAGTGTAGAAAAAAATTGACAGCCAAATCCAAGTAGAGGAACACCATTTTTACGACCATTAAAGCGATTTTCGTCAAAAAAAAATTTTCAAAAAAATTCAATTTTTCTTAGGCAGACTATTTTATTGCAATTTCTTGCACAAAATACACCTAAAAGTGTAGAAAAAAATTGACAGCCAAATCCAAGTAGAGGAACACCATTTTTACGACCATTAAAGCGATTTTCGTCAAAAAAAAATTTTCAAAAAAATTCAATTTTTCTTAGGCAGACTATTTTATTGCAATTTCTTGCACAAAATACACCTAAAAGTGTAGAAAAAAATTGACAGCCAAATCCAAGTCGAGGAACACCATTTTTACGACCATTAAAGCGATTTTCGTCAAAAAAAAATTTTCAAAAAAATTCAATTTTTCTTAGGCAGACTATTTTATTGCAATTTCTTGCACAAAATACACCTAATAGTGTAGAAAAAAATTGACAGCCCGATCCGAGTAGAGGAACACCATTTTTACGACCATTAAAGCGATTTTCGTCAAAAAAAAATTTTCAAAAAAATTCAATTTTTCTTAGGCAGACTATTTTATTGCAATTTCTTGCACAAAATACACCTAATAGTGTAGAAAAAAATTGACAGCCCGATCCGAGTAGAGGAACACCATTTTTACGACCATTAAAGCGATTTTCGTCAAAAAAAAATTTTCAAAAAAATTCAATTTTTCTTAGGCAGACTATTTTATTGCAATTTCTTGCACAAAATACACCTAAAAGTGTAGAAAAAAATTGACAGCCAAATCCAAGTAGAGGAACACCATTTTTACGACCATTAAAGCGATTTTCGTCAAAAAAAAATTTTCAAAAAAATTCAATTTTTCTTAGGCAGACTATTTTATTGCAATTTCTTGCACAAAATACACCTAAAAGTGTAGAAAAAAATTGACAGCCAAATCCAAGTAGAGGAACACCATTTTTACGACCATTAAAGCGATTTTCGTCAAAAAAAAATTTTCAAAAAAATTCAATTTTTCTTAGGCAGACTATTTTATTGCAATTTCTTGCACAAAATACACCTAAAAGTGTAGAAAAAAATTGACAGCCAAATCCAAGTAGAGGAACACCATTTTTACGACCATTAAAGCGATTTTCGTCAAAAAAAAATTTTCAAAAAAATTCAATTTTTCTTAGGCAGACTATTTTATTGCAATTTCTTGCACAAAATACACCTAAAAGTGTAGAAAAAAATTGACAGCCAAATCCAAGTAGAGGAACACCATTTTTACGACCATTAAAGCGATTTTCGTCAAAAAAAAATTTTCAAAAAAATTCAATTTTTCTTAGGCAGACTATTTTATTGCAATTTCTTGCACAAAATACACCTAAAAGTGTAGAAAAAAATTGACAGCCAAATCCAAGTAGAGGAACACCATTTTTACGACCATTAAAGCGATTTTCGTCAAAAAAAAATTTTCAAAAAAATTCAATTTTTCTTAGGCAGACTATTTTATTGCAATTTCTTGCACAAAATACACCTAAAAGTGTAGAAAAAAATTGACAGCCAAATCCAAGTCGAGGAACACCATTTTTACGACCATTAAAGCGATTTTCGTCAAAAAAAAATTTTCAAAAAAATTCAATTTTTCTTAGGCAGACTATTTTATTGCAATTTCTTGCACAAAATACACCTAAAAGTGTAGAAAAAAATTGACAGCCAAATCCAAGTCGAGGAACACCATTTTTACGACCATTAAAGCGATTTTCGTCAAAAAAAAATTTTCAAAAAAATTCAATTTTTCTTAGGCAGACTATTTTATTGCAATTTCTTGCACAAAATACACCTAAAAGTGTAGAAAAAAATTGACAGCCAAATCCAAGTAGAGGAACACCATTTTTATGACCATTAAAGCGATTTTCGTCAAAAAAAAATTTTCAAAAAAATTCAATTTTTCTTAGGCAGACTATTTTATTGCAATTTCTTGCACAAAATACACCTAAAAGTGTAGAAAAAAATTGACAGCCAAATCCAAGTCGAGGAACACCATTTTTACGACCATTAAAGCGATTTTCGTCAAAAAAAAATTTTCAAAAAAATTCAATTTTTCTTAGGCAGACTATTTTATTGCAATTTCTTGCACAAAATACACCTAAAAGTGTAGAAAAAAATTGACAGCCAAATCCAAGTAGAGGAACACCATTTTTACGACCATTAAAGCGATTTTCGTCAAAAAAAAATTTTCAAAAAAATTCAATTTTTCTTAGGCAGACTATTTTATTGCAATTTCTTGCACAAAATACACCTAAAAGTGTAGAAAAAAATTGACAGCCAAATCCAAGTCGAGGAACACCATTTTTACGACCATTAAAGCGATTTTCGTCAAAAAAAAATTTTCAAAAAAATTCAATTTTTCTTAGGCAGACTATTTTATTGCAATTTCTTGCACAAAATACACCTAAAAGTGTAGAAAAAAATTGACAGCCAAATCCAAGTCGAGGAACACCATTTTTACGACCATTAAAGCGATTTTCGTCAAAAAAAAATTTTCAAAAAAATTCAATTTTTCTTAGGCAGACTATTTTATTGCAATTTCTTGCACAAAATACACCTAAAAGTGTAGAAAAAAATTGACAGCCAAATCCAAGTAGAGGAACACCATTTTTACGACCATTAAAGCGATTTTCGTCAAAAAAAAATTTTCAAAAAAATTCAATTTTTCTTAGGCAGACTATTTTATTGCAATTTCTTGCACAAAATACACCTAAAAGTGTAGAAAAAAATTGACAGCCAAATCCAAGTCGAGGAACACCATTTTTACGACCATTAAAGCGATTTTCGTCAAAAAAAAATTTTCAAAAAAATTCAATTTTTCTTAGGCAGACTATTTTATTGCAATTTCTTGCACAAAATACACCTAAAAGTGTAGAAAAAAATTGACAGCCAAATCCAAGTAGAGGAACACCATTTTTACGACCATTAAAGCGATTTTCGTCAAAAAAAAATTTTCAAAAAAATTCAATTTTTCTTAGGCAGACTATTTTATTGCAATTTCTTGCACAAAATACACCTAAAAGTGTAGAAAAAAATTGACAGCCAAATCCAAGTCGAGGAACACCATTTTTACGACCATTAAAGCGATTTTCGTCAAAAAAAAATTTTCAAAAAAATTCAATTTTTCTTAGGCAGACTATTTTATTGCAATTTCTTGCACAAAATACACCTAAAAGTGTAGAAAAAAATTGACAGCCAAATCCAAGTCGAGGAACACCATTTTTGACCATTAAAGCGATTTTCGTCAAAAAAAAATTTTCAAAAAAATTCAATTTTTCTTAGGCAGACTATTTTATTGCAATTTCTTGCACAAAATACACCTAAAAGTGTAGAAAAAAATTGACAGCCAAATCCAAGTCGAGGAACACCATTTTTACGACCATTAAAGCGATTTTCGTCAAAAAAAAATTTTCAAAAAAATTCAATTTTTCTTAGGCAGACTATTTTATTGCAATTTCTTGCACAAAATACACCTAAAAGTGTAGAAAAAAATTGACAGCCAAATCCAAGTAGAGGAACACCATTTTTACGACCATTAAAGCGATTTTCGTCAAAAAAAAATTTTCAAAAAAATTCAATTTTTCTTAGGCAGACTATTTTATTGCAATTTCTTGCACAAAATACACCTAAAAGTGTAGAAAAAAATTGACAGCCAAATCCAAGTCGAGGAACACCATTTTTACGACCATTAAAGCGATTTTCGTCAAAAAAAAATTTTCAAAAAAATTCAATTTTTCTTAGGCAGACTATTTTATTGCAATTTCTTGCACAAAATACACCTAAAAGTGTAGAAAAAAATTGACAGCCAAATCCAAGTCGAGGAACACCATTTTTACGACCATTAAAGCGATTTTCGTCAAAAAAAAATTTTCAAAAAAATTCAATTTTTCTTAGGCAGACTATTTTATTGCAATTTCTTGCACAAAATACACCTAAAAGTGTAGAAAAAAATTGACAGCCAAATCCAAGTCGAGGAACACCATTTTTACGACCATTAAAGCGATTTTCGTCAAAAAAAAATTTTCAAAAAAATTCAATTTTTCTTAGGCAGACTATTTTATTGCAATTTCTTGCACAAAATACACCTAAAAGTGTAGAAAAAAATTGACAGCCAAATCCAAGTCGAGGAACACCATTTTTACGACCATTAAAGCGATTTTCGTCAAAAAAAAATTTTCAAAAAAATTCAATTTTTCTTAGGCAGACTATTTTATTGCAATTTCTTGCACAAAATACACCTAAAAGTGTAGAAAAAAATTGACAGCCAAATCCAAGTCGAGGAACACCATTTTTACGACCATTAAAGCGATTTTCGTCAAAAAAAAATTTTCAAAAAAATTCAATTTTTCTTAGGCAGACTATTTTATTGCAATTTCTTGCACAAAATACACCTAAAAGTGTAGAAAAAAATTGACAGCCAAATCCAAGTCGAGGAACACCATTTTTACGACCATTAAAGCGATTTTCGTCAAAAAAAAATTTTCAAAAAAATTCAATTTTTCTTAGGCAGACTATTTTATTGCAATTTCTTGCACAAAATACACCTAAAAGTGTAGAAAAAAATTGACAGCCAAATCCAAGTCGAGGAACACCATTTTTACGACCATTAAAGCGATTTTCGTCAAAAAAAAATTTTCAAAAAAATTCAATTTTTCTTAGGCAGACTATTTTATTGCAATTTCTTGCACAAAATACACCTAAAAGTGTAGAAAAAAATTGACAGCCAAATCCAAGTCGAGGAACACCATTTTTATGACCATTAAAGCGATTTTCGTCAAAAAAAAATTTTCAAAAAAATTCAATTTTTCTTAGGCAGACTATTTTATTGCAATTTCTTGCACAAAATACACCTAAAAGTGTAGAAAAAAATTGACAGCCAAATCCAAGTCGAGGAACACCATTTTTACGACCATTAAAGCGATTTTCGTCAAAAAAAAATTTTCAAAAAAATTCAATTTTTCTTAGGCAGACTATTTTATTGCAATTTCTTGCACAAAATACACCTAAAAGTGTAGAAAAAAATTGACAGCCAAATCCAAGTCGAGGAACACCATTTTTACGACCATTAAAGCGATTTTCGTCAAAAAAAAATTTTCAAAAAAATTCAATTTTTCTTAGGCAGACTATTTTATTGCAATTTCTTGCACAAAATACACCTAAAAGTGTAGAAAAAAATTGACAGCCAAATCCAAGTCGAGGAACACCATTTTTACGACCATTAAAGCGATTTTCGTCAAAAAAAAATTTTCAAAAAAATTCAATTTTTCTTAGGCAGACTATTTTATTGCAATTTCTTGCACAAAATACACCTAAAAGTGTAGAAAAAAATTGACAGCCAGATCCAAGTAGAGGAACACCATTTTTATGACCATTAAAGCGATTTTCGTCAAAAAAAAATTTTCAAAAAAATTCAATTTTTCTTAGGCAGACTATTTTATTGCAATTTCTTGCACAAAATACACCTAAAAGTGTAGAAAAAAATTGACAGCCAAATCCAAGTCGAGGAACACCATTTTTACGACCATTAAAGCGATTTTCGTCAAAAAAAAATTTTCAAAAAAATTCAATTTTTCTTAGGCAGACTATTTTATTGCAATTTCTTGCACAAAATACACCTAAAAGTGTAGAAAAAAATTGACAGCCAGATCCAAGTAGAGGAACACCATTTTTATGACCATTAAAGCGATTTTCGTCAAAAAAAAATTTTCAAAAAAATTCAATTTTTCTTAGGCAGACTATTTTATTGCAATTTCTTGCACAAAATACACCTAAAAGTGTAGAAAAAAATTGACAGCCAAATCCAAGTCGAGGAACACCATTTTTACGACCATTAAAGCGATTTTCGTCAAAAAAAAATTTTCAAAAAAATTCAATTTTTCTTAGGCAGACTATTTTATTGCAATTTCTTGCACAAAATACACCTAAAAGTGTAGAAAAAAATTGACAGCCAAATCCAAGTAGAGGAACACCACTTTTATGACCATTAAAGCGATTTTCGTCAAAAAAAAATTTTCAAAAAAATTCAATTTTTCTTAGGCAGACTATTTTATTGCAATTTCTTGCACAAAATACACCTAAAAGTGTAGAAAAAAATTGACAGCCAAATCCAAGTCGAGGAACACCATTTTTACGACCATTAAAGCGATTTTCGTCAAAAAAAAATTTTCAAAAAAATTCAATTTTTCTTAGGCAGACTATTTTATTGCAATTTCTTGCACAAAATACACCTAAAAGTGTAGAAAAAAATTGACAGCCAAATCCAAGTCGAGGAACACCATTTTTACGACCATTAAAGCGATTTTCGTCAAAAAAAAATTTTCAAAAAAATTCAATTTTTCTTAGGCAGACTATTTTATTGCAATTTCTTGCACAAAATACACCTAAAAGTGTAGAAAAAAATTGACAGCCAAATCCAAGTCGAGGAACACCATTTTTACGACCATTAAAGCGATTTTCGTCAAAAAAAAATTTTCAAAAAAATTCAATTTTTCTTAGGCAGACTATTTTATTGCAATTTCTTGCACAAAATACACCTAAAAGTGTAGAAAAAAATTGACAGCCAGATCCGAGTAGAGGAACACCATTTTTATGACCATTAAAGCGATTTTCGTCAAAAAAAAATTTTCAAAAAAATTCAATTTTTCTTAGGCAGACTATTTTATTGCAATTTCTTGCACAAAATACACCTAAAAGTGTAGAAAAAAATTGACAGCCAAATCCAAGTCGAGGAACACCATTTTTACGACCATTAAAGCGATTTTCGTCAAAAAAAAATTTTCAAAAAAATTCAATTTTTCTTAGGCAGACTATTTTATTGCAATTTCTTGCACAAAATACACCTAAAAGTGTAGAAAAAAATTGACAGCCAGATCCGAGTAGAGGAACACCATTTTTATGACCATTAAAGCGATTTTCGTCAAAAAAAAATTTTCAAAAAAATTCAATTTTTCTTAGGCAGACTATTTTATTGCAATTTCTTGCACAAAATACACCTAAAAGTGTAGAAAAAAATTGACAGCCAAATCCAAGTCGAGGAACACCATTTTTACGACCATTAAAGCGATTTTCGTCAAAAAAAAATTTTCAAAAAAATTCAATTTTTCTTAGGCAGACTATTTTATTGCAATTTCTTGCACAAAATACACCTAAAAGTGTAGAAAAAAATTGACAGCCCGATCCAAGTAGAGGAACACCATTTTTACGACCATTAAAGCGATTTTCGTCAAAAAAAAATTTTCAAAAAAATTCAATTTTTCTTAGGCAGACTATTTTATTGCAATTTCTTGCACAAAATACACCTAAAAGTGTAGAAAAAAATTGACAGCCAAATCCAAGTCGAGGAACACCATTTTTACGACCATTAAAGCGATTTTCGTCAAAAAAAAATTTTCAAAAAAATTCAATTTTTCTTAGGCAGACTATTTTATTGCAATTTCTTGCACAAAATACACCTAAAAGTGTAGAAAAAAATTGACAGCCAAATCCAAGTCGAGGAACACCATTTTTACGACCATTAAAGCGATTTTCGTCAAAAAAAAATTTTCAAAAAAATTCAATTTTTCTTAGGCAGACTATTTTATTGCAATTTCTTGCACAAAATACACCTAAAAGTGTAGAAAAAAATTGACAGCCAAATCCAAGTCGAGGAACACCATTTTTACGACCATTAAAGCGATTTTCGTCAAAAAAAAATTTTCAAAAAAATTCAATTTTTCTTAGGCAGACTATTTTATTGCAATTTCTTGCACAAAATACACCTAAAAGTGTAGAAAAAAATTGACAGCCCGATCCGAGTAGAGGAACACCATTTTTATGACCATTAAAGCGATTTTCGTCAAAAAAAAATTTTCAAAAAAATTCAATTTTTCTTAGGCAGACTATTTTATTGCAATTTCTTGCACAAAATACACCTAAAAGTGTAGAAAAAAATTGACAGCCAAATCCAAGTCGAGGAACACCATTTTTACGACCATTAAAGCGATTTTCGTCAAAAAAAAATTTTCAAAAAAATTCAATTTTTCTTAGGCAGACTATTTTATTGCAATTTCTTGCACAAAATACACCTAAAAGTGTAGAAAAAAATTGACAGCCAAATCCAAGTCGAGGAACACCATTTTTATGACCATTAAAGCGATTTTCGTCAAAAAAAAATTTTCAAAAAAATTCAATTTTTCTTAGGCAGACTATTTTATTGCAATTTCTTGCACAAAATACACCTAAAAGTGTAGAAAAAAATTGACAGCCAAATCCAAGTAGAGGAACACCATTTTTACGACCATTAAAGCGATTTTCGTCAAAAAAAAATTTTCAAAAAAATTCAATTTTTCTTAGGCAGACTATTTTATTGCAATTTCTTGCACAAAATACACCTAAAAGTGTAGAAAAAAATTGACAGCCAAATCCAAGTCGAGGAACACCATTTTTACGACCATTAAAGCGATTTTCGTCAAAAAAAAATTTTCAAAAAAATTCAATTTTTCTTAGGCAGACTATTTTATTGCAATTTCTTGCACAAAATACACCTAAAAGTGTAGAAAAAAATTGACAGCCCGATCCGAGTAGAGGAACACCATTTTTATGACCATTAAAGCGATTTTCGTCAAAAAAAAATTTTCAAAAAAATTCAATTTTTCTTAGGCAGACTATTTTATTGCAATTTCTTGCACAAAATACACCTAAAAGTGTAGAAAAAAATTGACAGCCCGATCCGAGTAGAGGAACACCATTTTTATGACCATTAAAGCGATTTTCGTCAAAAAAAAATTTTCAAAAAAATTCAATTTTTCTTAGGCAGACTATTTTATTGCAATTTCTTGCACAAAATACACCTAAAAGTGTAGAAAAAAATTGACAGCCAAATCCAAGTAGAGGAACACCATTTTTACGACCATTAAAGCGATTTTCGTCAAAAAAAAATTTTCAAAAAAATTCAATTTTTCTTAGGCAGACTATTTTATTGCAATTTCTTGCACAAAATACACCTAAAAGTGTAGAAAAAAATTGACAGCCAAATCCAAGTAGAGGAACACCATTTTTACGACCATTAAAGCGATTTTCGTCAAAAAAAAATTTTCAAAAAAATTCAATTTTTCTTAGGCAGACTATTTTATTGCAATTTCTTGCACAAAATACACCTAAAAGTGTAGAAAAAAATTGACAGCCAAATCCAAGTCGAGGAACACCATTTTTACGACCATTAAAGCGATTTTCGTCAAAAAAAAATTTTCAAAAAAATTCAATTTTTCTTAGGCAGACTATTTTATTGCAATTTCTTGCACAAAATACACCTAAAAGTGTAGAAAAAAATTGACAGCCCGATCCGAGTAGAGGAACACCATTTTTATGACCATTAAAGCGATTTTCGTCAAAAAAAAATTTTCAAAAAAATTCAATTTTTCTTAGGCAGACTATTTTATTGCAATTTCTTGCACAAAATACACCTAAAAGTGTAGAAAAAAATTGACAGCCAAATCCAAGTCGAGGAACACCATTTTTACGACCATTAAAGCGATTTTCGTCAAAAAAAAATTTTCAAAAAAATTCAATTTTTCTTAGGCAGACTATTTTATTGCAATTTCTTGCACAAAATACACCTAAAAGTGTAGAAAAAAATTGACAGCCAAATCCAAGTAGAGGAACACCATTTTTACGACCATTAAAGCGATTTTCGTCAAAAAAAAATTTTCAAAAAAATTCAATTTTTCTTAGGCAGACTATTTTATTGCAATTTCTTGCACAAAATACACCTAAAAGTGTAGAAAAAAATTGACAGCCCGATCCGAGTAGAGGAACACCATTTTTATGACCATTAAAGCGATTTTCGTCAAAAAAAAATTTTCAAAAAAATTCAATTTTTCTTAGGCAGACTATTTTATTGCAATTTCTTGCACAAAATACACCTAAAAGTGTAGAAAAAAATTGACAGCCAAATCCAAGTAGAGGAACACCATTTTTACGACCATTAAAGCGATTTTCGTCAAAAAAAAATTTTCAAAAAAATTCAATTTTTCTTAGGCAGACTATTTTATTGCAATTTCTTGCACAAAATACACCTAAAAGTGTAGAAAAAAATTGACAGCCAAATCCAAGTAGAGGAACACCATTTTTACGACCATTAAAGCGATTTTCGTCAAAAAAAAATTTTCAAAAAAATTCAATTTTTCTTAGGCAGACTATTTTATTGCAATTTCTTGCACAAAATACACCTAAAAGTGTAGAAAAAAATTGACAGCCAAATCCAAGTCGAGGAACACCATTTTTACGACCATTAAAGCGATTTTCGTCAAAAAAAAATTTTCAAAAAAATTCAATTTTTCTTAGGCAGACTATTTTATTGCAATTTCTTGCACAAAATACACCTAAAAGTGTAGAAAAAAATTGACAGCCAAATCCAAGTCGAGGAACACCATTTTTACGACCATTAAAGCGATTTTCGTCAAAAAAAAATTTTCAAAAAAATTCAATTTTTCTTAGGCAGACTATTTTATTGCAATTTCTTGCACAAAATACACCTAAAAGTGTAGAAAAAAATTGACAGCCAGATCCGAGTAGAGGAACACCATTTTTATGACCATTAAAGCGATTTTCGTCAAAAAAAAATTTTCAAAAAAATTCAATTTTTCTTAGGCAGACTATTTTATTGCAATTTCTTGCACAAAATACACCTAAAAGTGTAGAAAAAAATTGACAGCCAAATCCAAGTCGAGGAACACCATTTTTACGACCATTAAAGCGATTTTCGTCAAAAAAAAATTTTCAAAAAAATTCAATTTTTCTTAGGCAGACTATTTTATTGCAATTTCTTGCACAAAATACACCTAAAAGTGTAGAAAAAAATTGACAGCCAAATCCAAGTAGAGGAACACCATTTTTACGACCATTAAAGCGATTTTCGTCAAAAAAAAATTTTCAAAAAAATTCAATTTTTCTTAGGCAGACTATTTTATTGCAATTTCTTGCACAAAATACACCTAAAAGTGTAGAAAAAAATTGACAGCCAAATCCAAGTCGAGGAACACCATTTTTACGACCATTAAAGCGATTTTCGTCAAAAAAAAATTTTCAAAAAAATTCAATTTTTCTTAGGCAGACTATTTTATTGCAATTTCTTGCACAAAATACACCTAAAAGTGTAGAAAAAAATTGACAGCCAAATCCAAGTCGAGGAACACCATTTTTACGACCATTAAAGCGATTTTCGTCAAAAAAAAATTTTCAAAAAAATTCAATTTTTCTTAGGCAGACTATTTTATTGCAATTTCTTGCACAAAATACACCTAAAAGTGTAGAAAAAAATTGACAGCCAAATCCAAGTCGAGGAACACCATTTTTACGACCATTAAAGCGATTTTCGTCAAAAAAAAATTTTCAAAAAAATTCAATTTTTCTTAGGCAGACTATTTTATTGCAATTTCTTGCACAAAATACACCTAAAAGTGTAGAAAAAAATTGACAGCCAAATCCAAGTCGAGGAACACCATTTTTACGACCATTAAAGCGATTTTCGTCAAAAAAAAATTTTCAAAAAAATTCAATTTTTCTTAGGCAGACTATTTTATTGCAATTTCTTGCACAAAATACACCTAAAAGTGTAGAAAAAAATTGACAGCCAAATCCAAGTCGAGGAACACCATTTTTACGACCATTAAAGCGATTTTCGTCAAAAAAAAATTTTCAAAAAAATTCAATTTTTCTTAGGCAGACTATTTTATTGCAATTTCTTGCACAAAATACACCTAAAAGTGTAGAAAAAAATTGACAGCCAAATCCAAGTCGAGGAACACCATTTTTACGACCATTAAAGCGATTTTCGTCAAAAAAAAATTTTCAAAAAAATTCAATTTTTCTTAGGCAGACTATTTTATTGCAATTTCTTGCACAAAATACACCTAAAAGTGTAGAAAAAAATTGACAGCCAGATCCGAGTAGAGGAACACCATTTTTACGACCATTAAAGCGATTTTCGTCAAAAAAAAATTTTCAAAAAAATTCAATTTTTCTTAGGCAGACTATTTTATTGCAATTTCTTGCACAAAATACACCTAAAAGTGTAGAAAAAAATTGACAGCCAAATCCAAGTCGAGGAACACCATTTTTACGACCATTAAAGCGATTTTCGTCAAAAAAAAATTTTCAAAAAAATTCAATTTTTCTTAGGCAGACTATTTTATTGCAATTTCTTGCACAAAATACACCTAAAAGTGTAGAAAAAAATTGACAGCCAAATCCAAGTCGAGGAACACCATTTTTACGACCATTAAAGCGATTTTCGTCAAAAAAAAATTTTCAAAAAAATTCAATTTTTCTTAGGCAGACTATTTTATTGCAATTTCTTGCACAAAATACACCTAAAAGTGTAGAAAAAAATTGACAGCCAAATCCAAGTCGAGGAACACCATTTTTACGACCATTAAAGCGATTTTCGTCAAAAAAAAATTTTCAAAAAAATTCAATTTTTCTTAGGCAGACTATTTTATTGCAATTTCTTGCACAAAATACACCTAAAAGTGTAGAAAAAAATTGACAGCCAAATCCAAGTCGAGGAACACCATTTTTACGACCATTAAAGCGATTTTCGTCAAAAAAAAATTTTCAAAAAAATTCAATTTTTCTTAGGCAGACTATTTTATTGCAATTTCTTGCACAAAATACACCTAAAAGTGTAGAAAAAAATTGACAGCCAAATCCAAGTCGAGGAACACCATTTTTACGACCATTAAAGCGATTTTCGTCAAAAAAAAATTTTCAAAAAAATTCAATTTTTCTTAGGCAGACTATTTTATTGCAATTTCTTGCACAAAATACACCTAAAAGTGTAGAAAAAAATTGACAGCCAAATCCAAGTCGAGGAACACCATTTTTACGACCATTAAAGCGATTTTCGTCAAAAAAAAATTTTCAAAAAAATTCAATTTTTCTTAGGCAGACTATTTTATTGCAATTTCTTGCACAAAATACACCTAAAAGTGTAGAAAAAAATTGACAGCCAAATCCAAGTCGAGGAACACCATTTTTACGACCATTAAAGCGATTTTCGTCAAAAAAAAATTTTCAAAAAAATTCAATTTTTCTTAGGCAGACTATTTTATTGCAATTTCTTGCACAAAATACACCTAAAAGTGTAGAAAAAAATTGACAGCCAAATCCAAGTCGAGGAACACCATTTTTACGACCATTAAAGCGATTTTCGTCAAAAAAAAATTTTCAAAAAAATTCAATTTTTCTTAGGCAGACTATTTTATTGCAATTTCTTGCACAAAATACACCTAAAAGTGTAGAAAAAAATTGACAGCCAAATCCAAGTAGAGGAACACCATTTTTACGACCATTAAAGCGATTTTCGTCAAAAAAAAATTTTCAAAAAAATTCAATTTTTCTTAGGCAGACTATTTTATTGCAATTTCTTGCACAAAATACACCTAAAAGTGTAGAAAAAAATTGACAGCCAAATCCAAGTCGAGGAACACCATTTTTACGACCATTAAAGCGATTTTCGTCAAAAAAAAATTTTCAAAAAAATTCAATTTTTCTTAGGCAGACTATTTTATTGCAATTTCTTGCACAAAATACACCTAAAAGTGTAGAAAAAAATTGACAGCCAAATCCAAGTCGAGGAACACCATTTTTACGACCATTAAAGCGATTTTCGTCAAAAAAAAATTTTCAAAAAAATTCAATTTTTCTTAGGCAGACTATTTTATTGCAATTTCTTGCACAAAATACACCTAAAAGTGTAGAAAAAAATTGACAGCCAAATCCAAGTCGAGGAACACCATTTTTACGACCATTAAAGCGATTTTCGTCAAAAAAAAATTTTCAAAAAAATTCAATTTTTCTTAGGCAGACTATTTTATTGCAATTTCTTGCACAAAATACACCTAAAAGTGTAGAAAAAAATTGACAGCCAAATCCAAGTCGAGGAACACCATTTTTACGACCATTAAAGCGATTTTCGTCAAAAAAAAATTTTCAAAAAAATTCAATTTTTCTTAGGCAGACTATTTTATTGCAATTTCTTGCACAAAATACACCTAAAAGTGTAGAAAAAAATTGACAGCCAAATCCAAGTCGAGGAACACCACTTTTATGACCATTAAAGCGATTTTCGTCAAAAAAAAATTTTCAAAAAAATTCAATTTTTCTTAGGCAGACTATTTTATTGCAATTTCTTGCACAAAATACACCTAAAAGTGTAGAAAAAAATTGACAGCCAAATCCAAGTCGAGGAACACCATTTTTACGACCATTAAAGCGATTTTCGTCAAAAAAAAATTTTCAAAAAAATTCAATTTTTCTTAGGCAGACTATTTTATTGCAATTTCTTGCACAAAATACACCTAAAAGTGTAGAAAAAAATTGACAGCCAAATCCAAGTCGAGGAACACCATTTTTACGACCATTAAAGCGATTTTCGTCAAAAAAAAATTTTCAAAAAAATTCAATTTTTCTTAGGCAGACTATTTTATTGCAATTTCTTGCACAAAATACACCTAAAAGTGTAGAAAAAAATTGACAGCCAAATCCAAGTCGAGGAACACCATTTTTACGACCATTAAAGCGATTTTCGTCAAAAAAAAATTTTCAAAAAAATTCAATTTTTCTTAGGCAGACTATTTTATTGCAATTTCTTGCACAAAATACACCTAAAAGTGTAGAAAAAAATTGACAGCCAAATCCAAGTCGAGGAACACCATTTTTACGACCATTAAAGCGATTTTCGTCAAAAAAAAATTTTCAAAAAAATTCAATTTTTCTTAGGCAGACTATTTTATTGCAATTTCTTGCACAAAATACACCTAAAAGTGTAGAAAAAAATTGACAGCCAAATCCAAGTCGAGGAACACCATTTTTACGACCATTAAAGCGATTTTCGTCAAAAAAAAATTTTCAAAAAAATTCAATTTTTCTTAGGCAGACTATTTTATTGCAATTTCTTGCACAAAATACACCTAAAAGTGTAGAAAAAAATTGACAGCCAAATCCAAGTCGAGGAACACCATTTTTACGACCATTAAAGCGATTTTCGTCAAAAAAAAATTTTCAAAAAAATTCAATTTTTCTTAGGCAGACTATTTTATTGCAATTTCTTGCACAAAATACACCTAAAAGTGTAGAAAAAAATTGACAGCCAAATCCAAGTCGAGGAACACCATTTTTACGACCATTAAAGCGATTTTCGTCAAAAAAAAATTTTCAAAAAAATTCAATTTTTCTTAGGCAGACTATTTTATTGCAATTTCTTGCACAAAATACACCTAAAAGTGTAGAAAAAAATTGACAGCCAAATCCAAGTCGAGGAACACCATTTTTACGACCATTAAAGCGATTTTCGTCAAAAAAAAATTTTCAAAAAAATTCAATTTTTCTTAGGCAGACTATTTTATTGCAATTTCTTGCACAAAATACACCTAAAAGTGTAGAAAAAAATTGACAGCCAAATCCAAGTCGAGGAACACCATTTTTACGACCATTAAAGCGATTTTCGTCAAAAAAAAATTTTCAAAAAAATTCAATTTTTCTTAGGCAGACTATTTTATTGCAATTTCTTGCACAAAATACACCTAAAAGTGTAGAAAAAAATTGACAGCCAGATCCGAGTAGAGGAACACCATTTTTATGACCATTAAAGCGATTTTCGTCAAAAAAAAATTTTCAAAAAAATTCAATTTTTCTTAGGCAGACTATTTTATTGCAATTTCTTGCACAAAATACACCTAAAAGTGTAGAAAAAAATTGACAGCCAAATCCAAGTCGAGGAACACCATTTTTACGACCATTAAAGCGATTTTCGTCAAAAAAAAATTTTCAAAAAAATTCAATTTTTCTTAGGCAGACTATTTTATTGCAATTTCTTGCACAAAATACACCTAAAAGTGTAGAAAAAAATTGACAGCCAAATCCAAGTCGAGGAACACCATTTTTACGACCATTAAAGCGATTTTCGTCAAAAAAAAATTTTCAAAAAAATTCAATTTTTCTTAGGCAGACTATTTTATTGCAATTTCTTGCACAAAATACACCTAAAAGTGTAGAAAAAAATTGACAGCCAAATCCAAGTCGAGGAACACCATTTTTACGACCATTAAAGCGATTTTCGTCAAAAAAAAATTTTCAAAAAAATTCAATTTTTCTTAGGCAGACTATTTTATTGCAATTTCTTGCACAAAATACACCTAAAAGTGTAGAAAAAAATTGACAGCCAAATCCAAGTCGAGGAACACCATTTTTACGACCATTAAAGCGATTTTCGTCAAAAAAAAATTTTCAAAAAAATTCAATTTTTCTTAGGCAGACTATTTTATTGCAATTTCTTGCACAAAATACACCTAAAAGTGTAGAAAAAAATTGACAGCCAAATCCAAGTCGAGGAACACCATTTTTACGACCATTAAAGCGATTTTCGTCAAAAAAAAATTTTCAAAAAAATTCAATTTTTCTTAGGCAGACTATTTTATTGCAATTTCTTGCACAAAATACACCTAAAAGTGTAGAAAAAAATTGACAGCCAAATCCAAGTCGAGGAACACCATTTTTACGACCATTAAAGCGATTTTCGTCAAAAAAAAATTTTCAAAAAAATTCAATTTTTCTTAGGCAGACTATTTTATTGCAATTTCTTGCACAAAATACACCTAAAAGTGTAGAAAAAAATTGACAGCCAAATCCAAGTCGAGGAACACCATTTTTACGACCATTAAAGCGATTTTCGTCAAAAAAAAATTTTCAAAAAAATTCAATTTTTCTTAGGCAGACTATTTTATTGCAATTTCTTGCACAAAATACACCTAAAAGTGTAGAAAAAAATTGACAGCCAGATCCGAGTAGAGGAACACCATTTTTATGACCATTAAAGCGATTTTCGTCAAAAAAAAATTTTCAAAAAAATTCAATTTTTCTTAGGCAGACTATTTTATTGCAATTTCTTGCACAAAATACACCTAAAAGTGTAGAAAAAAATTGACAGCCAAATCCAAGTCGAGGAACACCATTTTTACGACCATTAAAGCGATTTTCGTCAAAAAAAAATTTTCAAAAAAATTCAATTTTTCTTAGGCAGACTATTTTATTGCAATTTCTTGCACAAAATACACCTAAAAGTGTAGAAAAAAATTGACAGCCAAATCCAAGTAGAGGAACACCATTTTTACGACCATTAAAGCGATTTTCGTCAAAAAAAAATTTTCAAAAAAATTCAATTTTTCTTAGGCAGACTATTTTATTGCAATTTCTTGCACAAAATACACCTAAAAGTGTAGAAAAAAATTGACAGCCAGATCCGAGTAGAGGAACACCACTTTTTTGACCAATAAAGCGATTTTCGTCAAAAAAAAATTTTCAAAAAAATTCAATTTTTCTTAGGCAGACTATTTTATTGCAATTTCTTGCACAAAATACACCTAAAAGTGTAGAAAAAAATTGACAGCCAAATCCAAGTCGAGGAACACCATTTTTACGACCATTAAAGCGATTTTCGTCAAAAAAAAATTTTCAAAAAAATTCAATTTTTCTTAGGCAGACTATTTTATTGCAATTTCTTGCACAAAATACACCTAAAAGTGTAGAAAAAAATTGACAGCCAAATCCAAGTAGAGGAACACCATTTTTACGACCATTAAAGCGATTTTCGTCAAAAAAAAATTTTCAAAAAAATTCAATTTTTCTTAGGCAGACTATTTTATTGCAATTTCTTGCACAAAATACACCTAAAAGTGTAGAAAAAAATTGACAGCCAAATCCAAGTCGAGGAACACCATTTTTACGACCATTAAAGCGATTTTCGTCAAAAAAAAATTTTCAAAAAAATTCAATTTTTCTTAGGCAGACTATTTTATTGCAATTTCTTGCACAAAATACACCTAAAAGTGTAGAAAAAAATTGACAGCCAAATCCAAGTCGAGGAACACCACTTTTATGACCATTAAAGCGATTTTCGTCAAAAAAAAATTTTCAAAAAAATTCAATTTTTCTTAGGCAGACTATTTTATTGCAATTTCTTGCACAAAATACACCTAAAAGTGTAGAAAAAAATTGACAGCCAAATCCAAGTCGAGGAACACCATTTTTACGACCATTAAAGCGATTTTCGTCAAAAAAAAATTTTCAAAAAAATTCAATTTTTCTTAGGCAGACTATTTTATTGCAATTTCTTGCACAAAATACACCTAAAAGTGTAGAAAAAAATTGACAGCCCGATCTGAGTAGAGGAACACCACTTTTTTGACCAATAAAGCGATTTTCGTCAAAAAAAAATTTTCAAAAAAATTCAATTTTTCTTAGGCAGACTATTTTATTGCAATTTCTTGCACAAAATACACCTAAAAGTGTAGAAAAAAATTGACAGCCAAATCCAAGTCGAGGAACACCATTTTTACGACCATTAAAGCGATTTTCGTCAAAAAAAAATTTTCAAAAAAATTCAATTTTTCTTAGGCAGACTATTTTATTGCAATTTCTTGCACAAAATACACCTAAAAGTGTAGAAAAAAATTGACAGCCCGATCCGAGTAGAGGAACACCACTTTTTTGACCAATAAAGCGATTTTCGTCAAAAAAAAATTTTCAAAAAAATTCAATTTTTCTTAGGCAGACTATTTTATTGCAATTTCTTGCACAAAATACACCTAAAAGTGTAGAAAAAAATTGACAGCCCGATCCGAGTAGAGGAACACCATTTTTTGACCATTAAAGCGATTTTCGTCAAAAAAAAATTTTCAAAAAAATTCAATTTTTCTTAGGCAGACTATTTTATTGCAATTTCTTGCACAAAATACACCTAAAAGTGTAGAAAAAAATTGACAGCCAAATGCAAGTAGAGGAACACCATTTTTACGACCATTAAAGCGATTTTCGTCAAAAAAAAATTTTCAAAAAAATTCAATTTTTCTTAGGCAGACTATTTTATTGCAATTTCTTGCACAAAATACACCTAAAAGTGTAGAAAAAAATTGACAGCCAAATCCAAGTAGAGGAACACCATTTTTACGACCATTAAAGCGATTTTCGTCAAAAAAAAATTTTCAAAAAAATTCAATTTTTCTTAGGCAGACTATTTTATTGCAATTTCTTGCACAAAATACACCTAAAAGTGTAGAAAAAAATTGACAGCCAAATCCAAGTCGAGGAACACCATTTTTACGACCATTAAAGCGATTTTCGTCAAAAAAAAATTTTCAAAAAAATTCAATTTTTCTTAGGCAGACTATTTTATTGCAATTTCTTGCACAAAATACACCTAAAAGTGTAGAAAAAAATTGACAGCCCGATCCGAGTAGAGGAACACCACTTTTTTGACCAATAAAGCGATTTTCGTCAAAAAAAAATTTTCAAAAAAATTCAATTTTTCTTAGGCAGACTATTTTATTGCAATTTCTTGCACAAAATACACCTAAAAGTGTAGAAAAAAATTGACAGCCAAATCCAAGTCGAGGAACACCATTTTTACGACCATTAAAGCGATTTTCGTCAAAAAAAAATTTTCAAAAAAATTCAATTTTTCTTAGGCAGACTATTTTATTGCAATTTCTTGCACAAAATACACCTAAAAGTGTAGAAAAAAATTGACAGCCAAATCCAAGTAGAGGAACACCATTTTTACGACCATTAAAGCGATTTTCGTCAAAAAAAAATTTTCAAAAAAATTCAATTTTTCTTAGGCAGACTATTTTATTGCAATTTCTTGCACAAAATACACCTAAAAGTGTAGAAAAAAATTGACAGCCCGATCCGAGTAGAGGAACACCACTTTTTTGACCAATAAAGCGATTTTCGTCAAAAAAAAATTTTCAAAAAAATTCAATTTTTCTTAGGCAGACTATTTTATTGCAATTTCTTGCACAAAATACACCTAAAAGTGTAGAAAAAAATTGACAGCCAAATCCAAGTAGAGGAACACCATTTTTACGACCATTAAAGCGATTTTCGTCAAAAAAAAATTTTCAAAAAAATTCAATTTTTCTTAGGCAGACTATTTTATTGCAATTTCTTGCACAAAATACACCTAAAAGTGTAGAAAAAAATTGACAGCCAAATCCAAGTAGAGGAACACCATTTTTACGACCATTAAAGCGATTTTCGTCAAAAAAAAATTTTCAAAAAAATTCAATTTTTCTTAGGCAGACTATTTTATTGCAATTTCTTGCACAAAATACACCTAAAAGTGTAGAAAAAAATTGACAGCCAAATCCAAGTCGAGGAACACCATTTTTACGACCATTAAAGCGATTTTCGTCAAAAAAAAATTTTCAAAAAAATTCAATTTTTCTTAGGCAGACTATTTTATTGCAATTTCTTGCACAAAATACACCTAAAAGTGTAGAAAAAAATTGACAGCCAAATCCAAGTAGAGGAACACCATTTTTACGACCATTAAAGCGATTTTCGTCAAAAAAAAATTTTCAAAAAAATTCAATTTTTCTTAGGCAGACTATTTTATTGCAATTTCTTGCACAAAATACACCTAAAAGTGTAGAAAAAAATTGACAGCCCGATCCGAGTAGAGGAACACCACTTTTTTGACCAATAAAGCGATTTTCGTCAAAAAAAAATTTTCAAAAAAATTCAATTTTTCTTAGGCAGACTATTTTATTGCAATTTCTTGCACAAAATACACCTAAAAGTGTAGAAAAAAATTGACAGCCAAATCCAAGTCGAGGAACACCATTTTTACGACCATTAAAGCGATTTTCGTCAAAAAAAAATTTTCAAAAAAATTCAATTTTTCTTAGGCAGACTATTTTATTGCAATTTCTTGCACAAAATACACCTAAAAGTGTAGAAAAAAATTGACAGCCAAATCCAAGTCGAGGAACACCATTTTTACGACCATTAAAGCGATTTTCGTCAAAAAAAAATTTTCAAAAAAATTCAATTTTTCTTAGGCAGACTATTTTATTGCAATTTCTTGCACAAAATACACCTAAAAGTGTAGAAAAAAATTGACAGCCAAATCCAAGTCGAGGAACACCATTTTTATGACCATTAAAGCGATTTTCGTCAAAAAAAAATTTTCAAAAAAATTCAATTTTTCTTAGGCAGACTATTTTATTGCAATTTCTTGCACAAAATACACCTAAAAGTGTAGAAAAAAATTGACAGCCAAATCCAAGTCGAGGAACACCATTTTTACGACCATTAAAGCGATTTTCGTCAAAAAAAAATTTTCAAAAAAATTCAATTTTTCTTAGGCAGACTATTTTATTGCAATTTCTTGCACAAAATACACCTAAAAGTGTAGAAAAAAATTGACAGCCAAATCCAAGTAGAGGAACACCATTTTTACGACCATTAAAGCGATTTTCGTCAAAAAAAAATTTTCAAAAAAATTCAATTTTTCTTAGGCAGACTATTTTATTGCAATTTCTTGCACAAAATACACCTAAAAGTGTAGAAAAAAATTGACAGCCAAATCCAAGTCGAGGAACACCATTTTTACGACCATTAAAGCGATTTTCGTCAAAAAAAAATTTTCAAAAAAATTCAATTTTTCTTAGGCAGACTATTTTATTGCAATTTCTTGCACAAAATACACCTAAAAGTGTAGAAAAAAATTGACAGCCAAATCCAAGTCGAGGAACACCATTTTTACGACCATTAAAGCGATTTTCGTCAAAAAAAAATTTTCAAAAAAATTCAATTTTTCTTAGGCAGACTATTTTATTGCAATTTCTTGCACAAAATACACCTAAAAGTGTAGAAAAAAATTGACAGCCAAATCCAAGTCGAGGAACACCATTTTTACGACCATTAAAGCGATTTTCGTCAAAAAAAAATTTTCAAAAAAATTCAATTTTTCTTAGGCAGACTATTTTATTGCAATTTCTTGCACAAAATACACCTAAAAGTGTAGAAAAAAATTGACAGCCAAATCCAAGTAGAGGAACACCATTTTTACGACCATTAAAGCGATTTTCGTCAAAAAAAAATTTTCAAAAAAATTCAATTTTTCTTAGGCAGACTATTTTATTGCAATTTCTTGCACAAAATACACCTAAAAGTGTAGAAAAAAATTGACAGCCAAATCCAAGTCGAGGAACACCATTTTTACGACCATTAAAGCGATTTTCGTCAAAAAAAAATTTTCAAAAAAATTCAATTTTTCTTAGGCAGACTATTTTATTGCAATTTCTTGCACAAAATACACCTAAAAGTGTAGAAAAAAATTGACAGCCAAATCCAAGTCGAGGAACACCATTTTTACGACCATTAAAGCGATTTTCGTCAAAAAAAAATTTTCAAAAAAATTCAATATTTCTTAGGCAGACTATTTTATTGCAATTTCTTGCACAAAATACACCTAAAAGTGTAGAAAAAAATTGACAGCCAAATCCAAGTCGAGGAACACCATTTTTACGACCATTAAAGCGATTTTCGTCAAAAAAAAATTTTCAAAAAAATTCAATTTTTCTTAGGCAGACTATTTTATTGCAATTTCTTGCACAAAATACACCTAAAAGTGTAGAAAAAAATTGACAGCCAAATCCAAGTCGAGGAACACCATTTTTACGACCATTAAAGCGATTTTCGTCAAAAAAAAATTTTCAAAAAAATTCAATTTTTCTTAGGCAGACTATTTTATTGCAATTTCTTGCACAAAATACACCTAAAAGTGTAGGAAAAAATTAACAGCCAAATCCAAGTAGAGGAACACCATTTTTACGACCATTAAAGCAAATTTCGTCAAAAAAAAATTTTCAAAAAAATTCAATTTTTCTTAGGCAGACTATTTTATTGCAATTTCTTGCACAAAATACACCTAAAAGTGTAGAAAAAAATTGACAGCCAAATCCAAGTCGAGGAACACCATTTTTACGACCATTAAAGCGATTTTCGTCAAAAAAAAATTTTCAAAAAAATTCAATTTTTCTTAGGCAGACTATTTTATTGCAATTTCTTGCACAAAATACTCCTAAAAGTGTAGAAAAAAATTGACAGCCAAATCCAAGTCGAGGAACACCATTTTTACGACCATTAAAGCGATTTTCGTCAAAAAAAAATTTTCAAAAAAATTCAATTTTTCTTAGGCAGACTATTTTATTGCAATTTCTTGCACAAAATACACCTAAAAGTGTAGAAAAAAATTGACAGCCAAATCCAAGTAGAGGAACACCATTTTTACGACCATTAAAGCAAATTTCGTCAAAAAAAAATTTTCAAAAAAATTCAATTTTTTTTAGGCAGACTATTTTATTGCAATTTCTTGCACAAAATACACCTAAAAGTGTAGAAAAAAATTGACAGCCAAATCCAAGTAGAGGAACACCATTTTTACGACCATTAAATCGATTTTCGTCAAAAAAAAATTTTCAAAAAAATTCAATTTTTCTTAGACAGACTATTTTATTGCAATTTCTTGCACAAAATACACCTAAAAGTGTAGAAAAAAATTGACAGCCAAATCCAAGTAGAGGAACACCATTTTTACGACCATTAAAGCAAATTTCGTCAAAAAAAAATTTTCAAAAAAATTCAATTTTTCTTAGGCAGACTATTTTATTGCAATTTCTTGCACAAAATACACCTGAAAGTGTAGAAAAAAATTGACAGCCAAATCCAAGTCGAGGAACACCATTTTTACGACCATTAAAGCGATTTTCGTCAAAAAATAATTTTCAAAAAAATTCAATTTTTCTTAGGCAGACTATTTTATTGCAATTTCTTGCACAAAATACACCTAAAAGTGTAGAAAAAAATTGACAGCCAAATCCAAGTCGAGGAACACCATTTTTACGACCATTAAAGCGATTTTCGTCAAAAAAAAATTTTCAAAAAAATTCAATTTTTCTTAGGCAGACTATTTTATTGCAATTTCTTGCACAAAATACACCTAAAAGTGTAGAAAAAAATTGACAGCCAAATCCAAGTAGAGGAACACCATTTTTACGACCATTAAATCGATTTTCGTCAAAAAAAAATTTTCAAAAAAATTCAATTTTTCTTAGACAGACTATTTTATTGCAATTTCTTGCACAAAATACACCTAAAAGTGTAGAAAAAAATTGACAGCCAAATCCAAGTAGAGGAACACCATTTTTACGACCATTAAAGCAAATTTCGTCAAAAAAAAATTTTCAAAAAAATTCAATTTTTCTTAGGCAGACTATTTTATTGCAATTTCTTGCACAAAATACACCTGAAAGTGTAGAAAAAAATTGACAGCCAAATCCAAGTCGAGGAACACCATTTTTACGACCATTAAAGCGATTTTCGTCAAAAAATAATTTTCAAAAAAATTCAATTTTTCTTAGGCAGACTATTTTATTGCAATTTCTTGCACAAAATACACCTAAAAGTGTAGAAAAAAATTGACAGCCAAATCCAAGTCGAGGAACACCATTTTTACGACCATTAAAGCGATTTTCGTCAAAAAAAAATTTTCAAAAAAATTCAATTTTTCTTAGGCAGACTATTTTATTGCAATTTCTTGCACAAAATACACCTAAAAGTGTAGAAAAAAATTGACAGCCAAATCCAAGTAGAGGAACACCATTTTTACGACCATTAAAGCAAATTTCGTCAAAAAAAAATTTTCAAAAAAATTCAATTTTTCTTAAGCAGACTATTTTATTGCAATTTCTTGCACAAAATACACCTAAAAGTATAGAAAAAATTTGCCAGACAAATACGAGTAGAGGAAGACCCCTATTACTACTAAAAAGACACTAAGCTAGACTCAAATTAGAATTAACTAATTGTAAAAGAATTTTTATTTTTAAATGTATAGTTATAACAAATCACTACTGTGGAACACCTTATTTAAATATTTTAAAAAATAATACACACTTGAGGAGTTGTTGGACTATTCGTGCATTTTAATTACAATTTTTAAAAAGAAAACATAATTTTATACATATACAAAAAAGTGTATAGTAAAGTTTGGTATTATTTTGGAGGGCTATTGCTACTGGCTTCGAAAGCACCTGGCTAGACTGAATTTAGTTGATCCCATACTTTAGCTGAAGTTTATGTCGACGTATAAACTCCGTAAACATAGTCTACGACGTCCGGTTCAGACGAGAAAATACACAATATTGCTGGCAGGAACTTTACGAAGTAAAGTAAATTTCCTAACTGTCTGGGCGTAAGCTAGAGAGAACAAAAATTATCAACTGGATTTTTCTACCTTTTTTTGTAGGAAAAAATAATTATTTACAATCATAAGAAAAACTGACAAATATTTGTTTTTTATCCTGGATTTTTTAATTATTTAATATGTTAATTGTTATAATAATTTGTTAATTACATATTAATTATATATTAATTTATTTGTCAATTATTTTTAGTCATCATGTGATTTAAATTGAGAATATTTTTTGGGAATATGAAAAATGCGATTTTTGAATTAAATAAGTAAATATTTTCTTTTATTCCAATTGAGAAAGACGAGTAGGATCTTTTGTTTTTTTTTGTTTGCTCATCCGCCGAGTCAAACATCATATTATACAGAAATATCTTCCATAGTAACCAACCCCAGAGAAAAGTCAAGAATACTTGACACTACTTAACCAATAACCATATCAAAGAACAAAATATAATTTTTTACAATATTTTTTTTAAGTTTTACGAATTTATTCATGCTTATATATACAAGTTACTTTAACGATTTTGTACGTAAATTGTATATAAAATGAAATCCCCTTTTCTGACTAATAGTGATTTTTACTACTGAGAATGCAATTACATTCGGAAAAGTTCCGTCTGACTAAAATTATCTTATACTACTGACAACGTCTAACAATAATTTATTTTTACTACTATTACTTAAATTAAGCAAATGAGTCTGACTAAAACTGCCCTTTACTACTGAGAATATATTTACATTAATTCCACAATACTTTGTCTGACTAAAACTGACTTTAACTACTTGTTTTAATTGTATATTATTAAAATCTCTTAATTAATACTGAATACAATTACATTTATTCGAAAAAGTTTTATCTGACTAAAACTAATTTTAACTACTTGTATCTACATTATACCTTGAATTAGAAGGTTTTGTCTGACTAAACTTGACTTCTACTACTAAAACTATATGGATTCAGAAACCTTCTGCTCGACTAAAATTCACTTTGACTAGATTTACTTAAATTAAAAAAAAATCATTTTAATTAAATAGTTTCACAAAAAATACATTCAAAAAATAAATGTAAAAATAAAAAAAATGTATGATAAACTTCTTCAAATTGAAGAAAATTACAAAAAGGGTGATTCTTATTATTATGCTTAATAATAATTATTCCCCCTTATCCTTTAATTAAAATTAAATTAAAATTTAAATAAATAAAAAAAATTATACTGTAAAATTTTGTTTAATAAATAAAATTTTCTTTGATTTAAGAAAACTATTTTCTATATACATGTATATATATATAATTTGGGAAATCTGAAGCTCTCTGATGATAGTCAATATAGAGGGAATAATATATTGAATTTTCCGAACAACACAAACGAGCTATGAAACGGTATTCCAAATGCAAAACTGATAATATCGATAATAGGATCTAAGCCGGCTGCTACTTTGGCATTACATAATAATATCGAAACGTTGTCTCAGCAGGATATATATATATATATATATATATGCATATAGAGAAGATATAACCACCAAACCCCCGCCCCTAACATTCCTTCTTCCTATTGGACCATCAAACTAGGCATCCTTAATGAATGTAGTTAATTGCATTGTATTTCAGTACAGTTTCTGAAATCGATCGTCCCTAATTGATTTTCTCCCTTCATCGCTCTATTACCGCACACTACTAAAACAACCAATTTCATTAAATTTAATTGAGTTTACATTTGATTCTTCAAACAAAAGAAGGTTTTTTTCAAAAAAAAAAAAGAAAACTTTTTTCAAATCAATAAAATTAATTAGAAAATAAAAATTGCAAACTATTTAAAAACAAATTAATTGGAAAAATATTTATACTCTCATAAATTGCAATTCACATTCGAAAAGTAATTTAAAAAAAGTTTAAATAATTTTATTTTTTATTTATTTAATAAAGACGGGCAAAATAATTTTGAAAAAAATTTCTATATTTGAATTTGAGAAACGATATATTATTGAATTATGTTTTAAAATGGAGGATATAATTTTATCAGGAAGGAAATTTTCATTTGTGCGACAAAACTTGAACATTGGAATACTGACTTCATTTTAGTGAAAATAGGAGGTAGCAATCTGGCGTATCGAGATGAAACAACTAGCAAGTTTTAGTCCTAGGTATATAGGAGAAGGCTAATTAGTAAGGGGTTAGTGTTATAAGACGACAATTTTAGATAAGGGAAATAGTGCATATATATATATATATATATATATATATATATATATATATTTAGAAATGGCACACTGCGCGGCAAAGGAACAATCATATTCCTCGAAGCGAATTTGCCCCACAAGATCCGGAAGTAGGAAATGCAGAAATAAGATAGCGTCGTGGCTACAGCTTATCACCATCTTCCTTATCAATTTCAATCTCCCCCCCTCTCTCTCTCTCTCTCACTCTCTTCATTTTTTTCTTTTTCTTCTCACCGTCAAAATTGTCGAGGAGACATTCCCCCTTATCTTGAAATTAAATCGACTGTCGCTTTTACCTTTCAAAAATATCGACATTTTCAATATATAAAGATTCTGACTACTGACATGAAAAGTAGATTTTCAAATTATATATTCTTTGAAGTTGAACTCGTTGACTCTCTTTCTCTCATATATAGGTGGAACAAAATTGAAAACGATCAATTTCAATCCATCCTTTTATATTTGAAAAATTTTCTATATATAGTCAAAAACGATATTAAACATTTTTGAAAATTAATTTATTTTCCACATTTTTATAGAAAATAAAAAAAATTCCCGAAAATTTGAAAGATAATACTTGAAAATTTCTATGGCTATTTAATATTCAATTCTTAATTTACAATCAAATTAAAATTTAATTGATCAATCAATTTTATAAAATTAAATTTATCAATCAGTTTTATAAATTATAATTATTTAAATTTATAAATTATTATTCGGTTGATAAATTAAATTTATAAATTATAATTCAGTTGATAAATTAAATTTACGAATTTCAATAAAATTTTGTATCAATTGAAATTATTCATTTAATAAGAAATTTGAAAGAACATGTATTAATGAAGTCAGAAATAAAATTAATCAAAATTAAATTTCATTAAATTTTTTTTCTTTTTAAAAAGTGAATTTTAAAATATAATTACGATAAATTTTTATATTATATATATATATATATATATTAGAAGTGCTTTAAAAGTATGACTCAAGGTCAAGGTCATTTGAAGGGTAAATCAAGAATGTCTGACTAAATATTTACTTGTACTACTGCTGAGTAATACTACTGAGTGATACTACTGAGAAAATTTCAAACGTTTAGAATGTCTGGCTAAATATTTATTTGAACCACTGAAAAAATTTAGAAGTGCTTTAAAAGTATGACTCAAGGTCAATGCCATTCAAGGTCATTCAAGGTCATTTGACGGTCACGGTCATTCAAGGTCAAGTCAAGGTCGTTCAAGGTCGTTTGAAGGTTAAATCAAGAATGTCTGACTAAATATTTTCTTGTACTACTAACAAAATTGCAAATCCGTCCAACTAAATATTTACTTGTACTACTACTTGTACTGTGGATAGAATGTTTTCCTGGAAAATGAAAAAATCCCTTACAAAGTCAAATAAAATTAAACAGCAGGTCTCTATTATTTTTTTACCTTTAAACAACACAAAATACCTTAAAAAAAATCTACCAATTGAACCTAAATTGTAAGAGAATAAGAATAATAAATTTTTTTCGATTTTTTGCTTCCTCGTGGAGGAAGCTTTGTAGTCCTTTCGTTTATAAAAATTTTCAAAGTGTCGGAAACAAATTTTTCTCTATATAGAAACATGTTATATGATATCCTAATCAATTGTCCGGATGTATGTATGTATGTGTGTGTGTAAATTCTTTAAATTTAACTCAAATGTATAGGTACTTAAATGTTTATATTATTATATTATTTTTGTATGTTTATTTCAAAAAAGCAAAAAGGAAGCAAAATTTTTTTGCTAATCGTAAAGAGGAAGCAAAATGTTCATGTAATGAACATCTGAATTTACAACTTGTTTTTATTTATTTGTAAATAAATAAATTTAATTAGTTTAAATTTTTTTTGAGGAAAGAAAAGAATTAATTTGCTTTTATTGCCTTGATTTTAGACACTGACTCGTCCGAGGCCAAAGGAGAGACCTGAGACTCGTTCGAAATCAAGAAGTTTTCCACCTGGAACATTATCAACGAGCACTAGAGCGGATGAAAGTTCCTTGACGCAAGAAACACGTGTTGAAGAGGAAGATTCATTTTTTGAAAGACCACCAGCACCACCGGCACCACCATCGTCATTGCTACCTCAGCAACAACAATCACACGTCCAGGTAGAGCAATCATCATCCTCTACTTCGACGACAAAAGAGGATGGAGTTACTAACGCAGCTGCAGAATTCCATGAAGCTGCACCTGCAACCGAACGTGACACCTCAGAAGAATTATTGAGGTGAGACGCTTTGGAAAAATATTGCTTGTCGCTTGTCCAATACCGAGAGCTTTTTCTTTTTTCTCTTTTATTTATTTATTTTTTTTTTTTTATTTTTTGCAATCCTTATAAAACTCTAATACTTAAAATTTATTGCCCACACATGTACCAATGTCTCCCACAAAAATATAAACCCACTCTTTTTACATATAAAAATATTTTTGAAAAAACTAAAACATTTTCCATTTTTAACCAATTTTTTTTTTTTTTTTTCTTGGAAAAAAAGAAATAATTTTGTTGGCAATTAAAATAAGTAAAAAAATATTTTAACTCAATATGTAAATTAATTATTTCAATTTATTATTATTATATTGCAAGAATTAAACTAATTTTTCTCTTTAGGTTTTCATTTCAAACGGATGAGAGATCGTCAATCGATGGACAAAATAGAAGACCTCGCTCTATTACGAGGGACCATTATATTTCAAGGTGTGTTTAATTATTAACAATTTTTTATTGAAACGTTGATATTTTCTTTTAATAATAATTTGTATTTATTTGCTAATTAGAATTTTTATGTAAAAAATGATTTTTTTTTTCCTTTAGAACGAGACAAGAGTATGCGAATTCCGACATTGAAGTTCATCCCATAGAAGGTGTCACTTTAAGAAAAGAAATTGGTGGAAAGAGAATATCACCGGCGACTATTGACAGGATTTTCGATAACAGTAATCGTCGATTATATGGAATGGGAATTGTTGGCAGATTTTTCGGGTAGGTTATTTAATTTTAATTAAATAAATCACGAAACACTTTTTTATTTGGATATTTTCAGGAAAATCGATTATAAGAAAAATTAAAGAAAAAATAAAAATAGGACGACGATTAAATATAAAATTATACAAAAATAAAATTTTTTAATATATTAAAGAACATATTTTTTGTATTTTTAGAATTTTTTATACAGTAAATTTCAAATAGAAGAATAATTTGTATTTTCTGAATCTGTAATTTATTTTTTCTCCAGAAAAAAAGAAAACTAGACGTTATTCCTTATTTGCACAATTTTTCCATTGATCTTAGGTATAGAAATGAATTTCAAATTAGTAGAATACATTTAAATCCATATAAATTAGTTATACATATTTCCGACAAGTGTAATTAGAAAATTTTCATACTGCAGATGCAATTTGAATAGAAATTATATTTCTCATGCGTACTATTCAAAACATATTTATCAAACATTCAATCATTCTTAAAGGTAATTTACTTTTATTTTTATTCATAGAAAAAAGATTTAGTTTTCTTTATTTTTTATTGAACAAAAAAAAATCTTTCTTACATTTCTGTTTTAAATTAAACAAAAATTATTTATTTATTTAAAAAATTATAAATTTAATATTTTTCTTTGAAATAAATTTTTTCCTGATTTCTATAGTAAATTTTTGTTCGAAACTGTCGTGAATGGAACTTTACCTTAAATATCATGTTTAAATGTTAATACATAAGTCGCGTGTTGGTTAAAAATTAGAGCACGTCAAGCATGTAAAGCGAGAAGAGTATAAGAAGAAAAAAAAAAAGAAAAAGGAGAGAAATTTTCAAACGAGACTCAAGAAGGGAAACTTAGTCTCAAATGTCATTCTCTTCTTTGGCTATAAAAATTTTTAACGAAAGGGTCAAACGAATATCACAGAGACATTTCAAGAATGTCGTCGTTCCCTCTTCTAGAACGCAATGAATGTAATAAAATAGTAGCGCGGTTACCTCCATCCTCAAAAAATTCTTCTTTTATGAAGTTAAATTCCTCAAATTTATCTGCTACAATAAAACGGATAAAATGATAAAGATCAAACTTGAAGTAAAAAAAAAAAAAATTAAAGTAATTTTTCAAGTTTTATTTCATATTTCTTTCTGTTCATCTCGAAATGTAAAAAGTAATAAAAAATGGAAATTCAAATCTAATAAATTTTCTCTTATTAATTAAATCTAAAAATTTGAATTTATATTTGAATTTCAGACGATCATTTCGAAAAAGTGTAGCGCATAAACCAGACGTGAGAAAGCAGTTAGATGACTTTGAAGATCACCGACCTTATTTCACATATTGGATTACAACTGTTCAAATTTTAATTTTAATCATTTCACTTGCTTGTTATGGATTCGGTCCAATTGGAATGGGTCTCACTCAAAAATCAGGACTGGTAAGAATTTTTTAAAATTCATTTTATATTTTCAATGCGGTAACATAATTCAAAAAAAAAAGAACTACACAAAAAATCTCTTTGAGAAATTCCGAGGCCAAAAATTTTTCCCTCTCCTGGCATTTGTTCAAATTTTCATCTTCCTTCCGATAAATATAAAATATTCTAATTTCTATATTCGTTTCTTTTTCTTATATTAAATGTCATTTTTCTTTTTTTACTACAGTTAATTAAACGAAAATTTTTTTTTTGTCTATTATTAGAAATACAAATTGTTTGCGGAATTTAAATTAATTAATTTGTTAAAATTAATAGATAATAAAAATTTGAATATTCACAGAGATTACAAAAGTAACAAGAGTCGTGTATCATAAACTTGTGAGTGAGATATAAATGTTCCTTTATAAATAATCATGAGAGAGTTACATTTTGTAAGCTCGTTATTCATAAATATAGTCTCTCCCATCGATTAAATCCATTTTCTCGATTCTGTACCAATGTATACAATTGCAAAATCACGTTTGTTCCCGAATTAATTTCCATTCATCCCCGTCGACTTCACGTACAAATAGCTACGTTGATGCAATTTATTAGCACCAAAGAACAATGAAATAAAATCACCCTTTACGAGGTCAAATTACTGGAATGGTCACCTCAAAGAGAGAAGAAAAGGCCTGTTGAATTACATTAATTGCACAAAAATCTTTTAATCAATTGCTCATTTTATACAAAATCACTATTTTTTTCTATTCTTTTTGTATTTCATTTGTGAATTAAAATTAAAGTTCCATTTGAACTAAAATTAAAATACTTTTTTTCAAAAGGTATCTAAAACTCGAAATTATTCGAATTTTTTCTCGTTTTATTTTGGATTTACAATTTTTCAAAAATAATTATTAATATAATACAATATTGTTTAAAATCAATTTTTAGGTACTCGTTACGAGTCTTTCTTTACAACAAGTCGACTATCAAGAACCATCAAATCTTTGGATTGGTCCAAGGGCAGCGGATTTAATTCATTTGGGTGCGAAATTTGCTCCTTGTATGCGAAGAGATATAAAAATTCTTAAAGAAATTGACATGTGGAGAGAAAGGGAAAGAGACACTGCCTGCTGTATTAGAAATGACGATTCTGGTTGTGTTCAATCAAGCAAAGCCGATTGTTCAGTGAGTATATTTTCTAAATTTAACAGCCATTAAATATGGCTGTTTTATTCCAATTTTCACAATTGACTATTATACTCTCGCCTAGATTTATAATATTAATTTGTCTTTTCCAACCCAACTGATCCGGGGATTGAGATCAACAATGACGGTAATAATCAGAACACATCGAAAAAAAGAACAAAAAATAATCTCCATGATTCTTTTTTTTTATTAATCTTATTTTGTTGTAATTTCACAAATTTTCGTTTAATTTTTATTTTAATTAAAGTCTAACAAAAATAGACACTTTTTACCAGTAGTAATTAGTTTTAATTTTTTTTTTTATTCTATTTGACTGTTGTCTTTTTTTTACCTCGAATTTTTTCAGAGAAATATTTTTTTAATATAATTTCTTCTTTTTTGCCTTAAAAAATAATGATAGTCATAATTCTTAATTTTTTTTTTGAAAATTTTCATTTAACCTCATGTGCTTTGGATTCAAATATTCATTTATTTTACAAATGAAGTAGCGGTAGCGCTATAATTATTCCATTTTCAAAAACATTAATATTGTAGGTCTAAAAAACTTGTTGGATAAATGGAACTTTTTTTGATAAACGAAAATGTTCAGAAAATGAATATTTAAATAAAGTAGATATGATAATTAAAATTTTTTCTAAAAATAGAAATTACAAAATTTTTTGTTTTAAGTAAACGTAAAAAATTATTATAAATGACAATTTTTTTTTTTTTGGAATGAATAACATTTAAATTGGTAAAAGGAAGAATTATGACTTAATTACAATTTTTATTTATTTTTATTATTTATTAATTGAACAAAATATTGATCATATTTTTAATGTGTTTCATTACTAGGACTGTAATAAATTAATTGTCACGCTTATAAAATTTAGAATACAATATCAACGTGGAAAAAATGGGGACCCGGCGACAATGGACCCGGTGGAAGAATAAGTGGATCGGTTTGTGGACTTGATCCAAAATTTTGCGATGCACCAGCAAGTATTGCACCATATGAATGGCCTGATGATATTACCAAATGGCCAATTTGTCGAAAGACAAATCCATTTAGTCAAAGATTTAGGTAGCTTTTTTTTTCTTTTTTCAAAATAAAATCAATTTTCATTTAAATACTGTTTTAAATTGTATTTTTCTAAATTCTCTCTTTTTTTCTATTCATTTTCAGTGGTAATTTCAATCAAGATGGTAATAGTAATTTTCCCGTGGGTCGTTACAAAGACAAAATGGCTGAGCATATGGTTTGCGAAGTAATTGGACATCCTTGTTGTATTGGTATTCATGGAATGTGTAGAATTACGACAAAGGAATATTGTGACTTTGTACATGGCTATTTTCATGATGAGGCCTCACTCTGTTCACAAGTTGAATGTCTACATGATGTTTGTGGAATGGTGCCATTTTTACATCCCGAATGGCCCGATCAATTCTACAGATTGTTTACGACAATTTTTCTTCATGCTGGGTAAGAGGAATAAAATAACTTTTTTTTTTATAAATTAGAATTTTTTCTACTTATGAGATAAAAAATTTATTTAGTTAATGGCATTACTTTAATTAATTAATAATATTGTTATTGTTTTATTTCTTTGATTACAGAGTTCTTCATCTTGCCATCACATTATTCGTGCAATATTTTCTTATGAGAGACTTGGAAAAATTGACTGGTTCCCTGCGAATTGCGCTAATTTACTTTATTGGTGCTTTTGCTGGGAATTTGGCTAGTGCAATATTCATTCCCTACAGAGCTGAGGTAATTTTACTTAATTAGTTATTTTGCAATTAAATTTTTGTTAAAAAAGGTAAATTTTTTAAAAACTCTAATTTTTGCTTTAGTAATTTGCATTTTTTTTTTTCATTAGATAAATGTTTGCAATAAGAAATTTTGTGAAAATTTTGTTTTCATAATAAAAGAAAAAAAATGTGAATCGTTTCAAAATTAGAATATGCATAATTTGAATTTTAAAATAATTGACATTTTTCTCAAATAATATTTCAAAACCATTACATAGAGAGACAAGAATAATAACTTGATTAAATTATTCTCAAAAAAAAGCAAATAAAAATATTTTACGAAAAAGTAGAATTTGAAAATAGCAAAATATTCTTTTTGAGAATAATCAAGTTTATTTAGTTTTTAAGTTTTATAAAAAGGGCTTCTTGAGTTTTAATTAATTGGAAAAAAAATGTTATATTCTTGCAAACTTTTTTTTATATCTCTATCTTTGTCAAAGATAAACACTTTAATTAATAAATGAAAAAAAAATTGTTTTTAATTAATGTTTCAGGTGGGTCCAGCGGGCGCGCATTTTGCACTCCTGGCAACGTTGATTGTCGAGATTCTTCACTGTTGGCCAATGTTAAAATATCCGCGAAGAGCACTTTTCAAGCTAATAATAATTCTCGTGGTTCTCTTGATGCTTGGCGTTTTACCATGGGTGGACAATTACGCACATTTATTTGGTTTTATTTTTGGTTTTCTCGCAGCCTATGCCTTTATGCCATTTATTTCATTTGGCCATTATGATCGTCGAAGAAAAGTTCTTCTAATTTGGATTTGTACAATTTTAATTGTCGGTCTCTTCACATTGCTTCTTGCATTATTTTACAACATTCCAGTTTACGAATGTGAAATATGTAAACTATTCAATTGCATTCCATTTACACGCGATTTCTGTGCCTCGCAGAATATTAATTTCAAGAGAGAAGAATCTGTATGACACATGGGGCCGCGGTTCCCAGTCGAGCGCGAAGTACCGTTCGGCCCCCAAATCAACGCTCGTTTTTACATCCTTAATGATCAATTACAATTTAAAATTTTGGCGGCAATCTTTACTCTTGGACACTACTCAGACGGTAGCGAACGATCTCGAGGATGAAGAGTAAACAAAAAATATTGATGAAGAGAGACAAAGGAAAAAAAAATTTACATTTTCCCCGAAAATGAAGCTATTTTCGTAAAGAAACAAAGAGACACTCATTTGAAAGAGAAGATACGAAATTCTGCATAGATATTCGACTGCAAAAAAAAAAAATTATTCGCTTCTATCTTTCTCGCTACTGCCAAATAAAAGAACTCTTGTTCGCCGACTGACGGCAAATAGCAATGCCTTAACAAACAAACAAACAAAAATTAAAACGATCATACCCTCGAATTCCACGGAAGGAGAATTTCGAAAAAAAAAATTTTCACACTAGCGAAAGTCGATGAAATTTGTAAATATTAGGTATTCATTATAATGAAGAAATCGCCGGATCCTTTTTGATAGAGTCGGAGGCAGTTTCTTAATATTGTCCCTCCCCCGGTAAATCCTTTTCCAATTCTTCGTCATCGAGTTTTGTTTCGTTTTTTTCTTTTTTAAATAGTGAAAGAAAAGGAAATGTGTCCCTTTTCTCTTGTTAATAAAAAAAAAAGTCAAATTGTACATATTTAACACAAAAAAAAGAAAGCAAACCCAGTGACTATCTTGTTACATACCTTGTGGAAACGACCTTACTAAAATATTATAGGTTTAGAAGAAGCAAAAAAAAAACATTTCGAAAGTGTTTGGCAATTATTTTTCCGCGTCTCCCATATATGTCGTCCTAAGAACGACATATCGAGCAGCTTCAAATAATTCACATAAATGTGTATATCTTTTTGATTCAAATTCAAGAAAGTGTGCAAAAAAAAATTGGGAAAGTTTTCATTTTGGGATAAAATTGTTTTGAAAAAAAAAATGCGCGCGAGAACAAAAGACACAAATATATCAAGAACTCTTAATCAATTTTTCTGCGATTGTATATATATATAAAAAAAAATAAATAGACTGTCACGAATGATACACGTGGTTAGGTATCGAACTTGTAGGTACCCACGCGCACATACGCAAAATCGTTTAAGAATTCTAAGACTAAATTTATCAATAACGTCGTGAATGTGTATTTTATTATAATAAATGGGTAATGGAAAAAAAGTGCATCTACTTTACTATTCGTTTATCGAATCGTTTAGTTAAGTCGTAAAGTGTATTTGAGGGAACGAGTTTGTCGAACGTACAAGAGAGAAAACAAATGTGCCACGAAGAGAGATTAATGAATTCGTCGGAAAGTCCGATGTTAGCGTTTATATAAATTATTATAAACAGCCACTGATATATCTAATTAATTATTCTTTATCGAGTTTTCCAAAAGAGCAACAATAACAACAACAACAAAAAAAACATAGAGCACTCTGCTGAGAATCCTTTTATATTGCAGTGCAGCGATCTTGATTATTTTCACTCTTCTCTCTTTCAATAACTCTCTTCTCCTAAACAAAAAAAAATACAGCCTTTTCAGGAAAGTATAGCGCAAGACTTAGAATCAAAGCAAGACTTAAATGCGAAAGTGACTTTATTTATTATTATTTTTTTTTTATATATTTTTAAACTTCTTGTTCTCTTTTTTTATATTTGATTTTATTTGATTTTATTTGATTTTATACTTGTATATTTTATATTAAAATTTTATATATTTATTTATTTGTAAAATTTTTTTATTGTTAATGTAAAGTAAATTATTTACTTTATATATTTGTATATTTAAATATATAATTATCATTTTTTACATTATCGAATTATGTAGAATTCAAATTCAATTAATTCTGAATTAATTTTCAAATTTCATTTTTTAAAAAACTGCCCTATGGAAAAATATTTTTCGAAAAAATTGTGCGGACAAAAATAGAGAAAAAAAATTATTTTCTCTCATCATTTTTAAGTCAAAAAAAATCTAAATTTCGATTTAAAGAAAATTAAATTGAAATTTATTTATTCAGTTTTATCAAGATAGTAAGAATTAAATGAATAATTTTTAATTTATTAAATTATTTAAAATTTAATTATTAAAAACCATGTATATTTTTTCAATTAAATTATTAAAAGTTTCACGTAAATTTACACGATTTTTCCGAAAATATTTTCTCTCCAGGAGAACAATTGAAGAGCTGCACATAATTTTCACAGAGTTCTTTAAGTAACACCAATATTTACAAAAAAAAAGAAATTGTTTTCTAGAAATCTATTTAAATTTACTTTTTAACAATTTTTGTTTCGTACGCAATTTTTTATAGAATAAAAAAGTTGCAAAAGCAATAGTATTTCTTGCGATATTGTTAAAATTTTTTGAGCAGTAATAATACTTCAGATTAAATAAACAATGATAAAATTGTCAAATTGTTGAAAGAAAATAAAATATTTTTGATTTAAAAATGAAAATTGAAATTAGTTATAAAAATTTACAAAAAATTCAACGCAACAGCAAACATATTAATAAATAATAATGGTTATTATTATTATTATAAAAAAAAAGTAAAAATTTTCTGTAATTGAACAAAAGGAAACCATTTAATAAATTATTAAAAAAACAAAAACTTAGAAATTCAATCGAGAGAATGAAAAGCCCACAAGAACTGCTGTACGTAACGTTAACATTCGATAAATTCGAAAACTTTGTGATAAAAAAAAACAGTTTTAAGAGGAATAAAAATGAAGAAAACACAAACTTTTTCGAATTATATATATATATTATATATAGTATAAATATATACATACGATGCGAGAGAAAAGCGAATGTTGCGATTCACGGCGAGTAACATATTGTTATTATTGTAAATGTGTCACATAAAGATAGTATGATTAAAAAAAAAGCGATGAAAAAAATAAATTGAATAACTTCGATATTTCCATACCGAAAACTCAACGAGGTGAAATGCTGTTTCGTGATTAAGAGCAAACAAAACTAATAATGTTAAAATTTCGAAAAACAATTTGCAAATTGTACTTTGTTTTAACTTGGTAGTTAAGAAAATTTTTATTGTTATTTTTACAAGTTCAAGTATCAATCATTCAAGTATATAATAAATCAATTTATTAAAAATTATTAATTAATTTTTTTTCATTTTCAAAATTGGAAAATATTTAAATTTAATTCTCGTATTTCAGATTCACTTTCGATCAAGCGAAACATATTTTTTTGGTTTTTATTTTGATTTTGTAAATATAAACGATTGCGTCGAAAATGGACCAAGTGAAGTATACATAAATAAAATTCATGCGTGTAAAATATCCGATATCGATCGGAAATAGGATCCGCTAATTAACGGTACAATTATTAATCCTAAATATTAATAATAAAAATAAGGAAAGTCACGCACGAAGTAGAAAGCGATCGTTTAGCGTCGTTTTGTGTGAGAAACAAAAATATGCTACAAATTTCTCGTATTTTTTCTGGTAAAGTTGGAACATTTTTTAATAAAGAATTTTTTTCTTTTTACCAAAAACAATACGATAATGTTTAATGATAATTCGATTTAAATATATGACACTGAACGACGCAAATGTATCAAAATATATAAGATTCGAGTGGATTATCGCTAGAACGAAAGAGAATTTTTAAAATTTGATAGAGGACAGATTGTTTCTTTTTTTTTTTTTTTAATTTTATCTTTTTCCATCTGTCCTTATATCAGTTTTATACTTTTAACACAGTCCAAGAGCATTGCACCTCGATTGTACGGTATTATTTTTCTGTATCCCTGTATCTATAAGAATGTAAAATTTCACGATGGACTAAAAAAAAAAGTTATAAATAATGCGATTACAATTATAATTACGATTTATTATTCTGTTATTTCGCAGCTTTTATTTTAACGGTACATCTGTAAGATCTTCAATTATGATTATCATTGCTAATCATAACGAAAAAAAAAAAACATTGTACTTGTCGCTGTTATATACATATATATACATATATATATATATACATACAAAAAAACAATATATTAATTTAATAACAATAAAGAAAGAAAGAAAATTACTTATTATGAAAGTTAGATTTATTTAATTAATTTTCAGTTTTTAGACACAAAAGATTGAATTTAATTATAATTATTATTAAAAATTAATTATTAAATATTCAAAAAATAGTATTTAATCATTTTAATTCCCTTATTGGGGAGTATTTTTGAAAAAATTGTTATTTAGGTAATTTTTTTTTTTGGGAACGAAGTCGTTAAATAAAATTTTAATCATTTGATTAATTAATAATCATAAAAAAAAATTTGTAAAAGCATTAAAGAGAATAAAGTGTTTTTCTATTAAATAGAAGTAATCTTCAAAACAACCTATTGCATCTATGAATTTAATAAATAAATAGATAAACTATTATATAAAGTAATTAATATTTATATTATTTAGTATAAGATAATCAATCAATAAACCCAAATAATTTTTTTCCGTTTTGTTTTTTGAATTTTTAAAAAGTATTTCGTAATTACCACCACCAGAGGGCTGTAGAATTTCCAGGAAATAGGAAGTGACTGATGACATCGTTGAACAACTGCTCTGCTGACGATGCTGAGAGGTTTTCAAGATGGCAAAAAAAGGTTCGGTCGTTAAATCGTCTCAAAACGAAGATAATAATAAAGCAAATGACGATACAGTGAATGATGATGAAGAACCAAACTTCAGTGATCCCGAGGACTATGTTGATGATATTTCCGATGAGGGTATGTACGAAAATTTTATATATTAAAATCAGCACGTTGCACCCTTTCGGAGCATGGATGCATATGGCCGCAAATGTGATATTCTCACATAACCTTAAAAATAGACGCTTTATTATTTTATCACTATCAATGAAAAACTAAACACTTATTTGTACACAATACATTGGACTTTAATTAATGTCAAATATTTTTCAATACATTTAAATTAACAATTTCATGGAAATTATAATTTTTTTTGATAAAAATGAAAATTATAACCTCAAAAATTATGGCATCTGACATCTTGAATTTTTAAACTAAATACCAAGCGTTTAGAATTATTTTAAAAATATTTAATCTTATTGTTATATTTTTATTTTATTTTGTTATTTAAAAAATATAGACATAAATAATGTAATGAAAATAAAATTTAGTAATACGGGGTTATATATTGTAAAATTTTATTTTGACAGAACTTCTCGGAGATATCCTCATTACAAAACCATCTGAAACTGATGGCGTAGAATCTGTGATTGTTGTCGACGGTGTTCCTCAGGTCGAGCCAAGTCGGCAGGAGAAGCTCACGGTCGTCATTGATAAAATCTTTTCAAAGCATGGCACAATTGTGAATAAATGGTTTCCCGTTAACGAGAATGGAGTAACCAAAGGGTAAATTTCTCATTTTCATTTAAAAAAATATATATATATTTATAATTGTAAATGTTAAAATAAACAAACTGAAATTAGTAAATATTTTCTAATTGTAAAAAATAATTTTTATCAGATACATCTTTTTGGAATTTGAAAATCCACATCAGGCTATGATAGCAGTAGCTAAGGAGAATAATTATAAAATCGATAAATTACACACATTCAAGACAAATTTATTTACTGATTTCAAAAAGTTTGAGGAAATTTCAAAAGATTGGGAACCACCTATATCACAACCTTTCAAAGGCGCTGGAGATTTACATTCTTTTTTGCTCGATCAAGATGCATACGATCAATTCTCCGTGTTGTCTGGCAATAGTTCGGCAGTTTCTGTTCAAATTTGGCAAAATTCAGCACCAGAACCCTCATTATTGGAAGAGAGAATGGTAAATATTGTGATTTAAAAAAAAAAAAAAATAAAATAATTGTGAAAAAAAATTATAATTTTTCTTTTCGTTAAAAATAGAGATGGACGGAAACTTATATAAAATGGTCACAACTGGGAACTTATTTAGTTACTTTTCACAAACTTGGAGTGGCACTTTGGGGCGGTCCAGGATTTACCCAACAAGCAAGATTTAGTCAACGTGGTGTTGAGTGTGTTGATTTTTCACCATGTGAAAAATATATTGTCACTTATACACCACGCTCGGATGGAAGTCCAGATCAAAAACGAATTGTCATTTGGGATATTTTCACCGGTCAAGAGAAACGTTCATTCTGTTTAGAAGCAACTTCAATTTGGCCTCTATTCCGTTGGTCACATGATGATAAATATTTTGCATGTATTGGTGAAGATCTTTTGAGTGTCTACGAAACACCGGTATGATTTTTTAATTTCAAAATTTAAAATTTTGCAAATATGTTTCCTGATATATTAATTTATATTGTTTTTTTTTTATTATTATTTCCAGTCATTTGGATTGTTGGACAAGAAGAGCTTTAAAATTGCTGGAATTCAAGATTTCGGTTGGTCACCAACAGATAATATTCTCGCTTATTGGCGTCCAGAAGACAAAAATAATCCCGCTCGTGTCACTCTCTTGGAAATTCCAAAGTGAGTGTTGAAAAATTTTAAAGTCTTCGAAAGAAATAATTTTTAAAAAATTATATTAAATTTTAATTTTGTTCATATTAATTTTCAGTCGTAATGAAATTCGTAACAAGAATTTGTTCAATGTTGCCGATTGTAAGATATTTTGGCAAAAGTCGGGAGATTATCTCTGCGTGAAGGTCGATCGTTTTGCTAAACGAAAAGAAAAAACGGAACAAAAATACAGTGTAAGAAATTGTGTTTTATTTGAATTTAATTTAGAAAAAGAAATATTATAAAAAGGACATTTTTTTTTAATAGGGAATGTCCTACAACTTTGAAATCTTTCACATGAGAGAAAAGGAGATTCCCGTCGACAGTGTGGAGATAAAAGAACCAATTCATGCGTTTGCTTGGGAGCCAGTTGGTTGTAAATTTGCCATTATTCACGGTGAAGTACCAACTGTTAGCGTTAGTTTCTACGAGGTTCGATATGGACATCAACCTGCACTTTTGAGTATGTTATTTTTAAATTCGATTTTAATTTAAATATATTTTTACAATATTTATTAATTTGCAAATTCGAATTTTTCTTCTTTTTTTTAGAAAAACTTGAGAAGAAAGCTTGCAATCATCTCTTCTGGTCCCCTGCTGGTCAATTTATTGTTCTTGCTGGTCTAACATCAATGTCAGGGGCTTTAGAATTCATCGATACGAATGATTTCACTGTAATGAATTGCACAGATCATTATCAAACTTCCGATGTTGAGTGGGATCCCACTGGACGGTAATAATATTACATATATCTAAAAATATTTTTTAAATTATATCATTTTTAATAATATTAATTTTCTTTTTTTCAGTTACGTAGTAACAGCTGTGTCCAGTTGGAAAACAAGTGTTGATAACGGATATTGGCTTTGGACATTCCAAGGACGTATCCTTAAAAGAATAAATCTTAATGGTTTCAATCAACTCTTGTGGCGTCCACGACCACCGTCACTATTGTCCGCTGAGCAAATCAAAGAGATTAAGAAGAATCTCAAGAAATATTCGTCTCAATTCGAAAGTAAAGACCGAATGCGACTTACGCGCGCTTCCAAGGTAATTTTTGAAGTGAAATTCCGAAACTAAAACACAATTCGAGTGAAATAATAGATTTAATACATTTTTTTTCCTTCTTTTTGCCGTGTAGGAATTAATCGAGAAGCGTTGTGCTTTAATGAAAGCTTTTGAAGAATATCGCAATAAACGAATTGATGAATGGAATAGTCAGAAGAAGAGACGAATGGAATTACGTAACCGTGAGTTAATAATTTAATATTAAAAAAAAATTTTATACTTTTTTTCAATTTAATATTTCATAATATTTAATGTGTTTTTATTATGTTAATTTAGACATCGATACGGATGAATTGGATTCGGACACAAAGAATGTGGAGGAGGAAGTTGTGGAATTTTTCGTAAAGGAAGAAAATTTTATCATTGACGACAAATAAAAACTGCAGGAAAGGTACATACATCATCTTACTTGCCCTAATTGGAAACCTCTTGAGTTTTCGAGAGCCGGTGTGTGATTATAAACAAAACAAAACAAAACAAAAAAAATTCAAAATTACTCTTTTCAAAGGAGTGTGGAATTTTTTCTCCATTATTACCAATAATTAATCAACAATAAAATGTTGATTATTTGCGGTAATGGACAAGTAATTTCATTTAATTATCATTTGCAATATAAATTTCCCCTTTTATACATTATGCATTTTAGTAGACGAAATCGTAACTGCATTAAATTTTATGAATTTTACCACATTCCCTACAGAATATTTTCTTTGAAAAATGAATTCCATGAAATGTTAATCATGCAAATTTTTTTAAATTATTTATCTGACGTCTATGAAAATAAAAATCATATGTATAAAAGAAGCTCGAGTTATTTTTTTCAATACCAATTTAAAAAATATCCCTTATATTATGTATTTAATTAAAGAATTTATCGATAAGGTCTAAGAGGTTTAAGTCAATAATAAATATTACTATTGCTATATACACACTTTAATAACCAAAAACAAACATATTACAATAATAATATTGTTATTAATATAATATTATGTAATAATAGAATTGTTTATCAATCGTAGTGTAAACACTAAAAATCTTGCTTTTCTCGTATTTGGAAAGAACAATATACTTTTTCTTTCATATTTTTATTATTTTTTTTTTTTGTATTTTTTTTTTTTAATAATAATATTCATTTATACTTGCCATTGGCGATTGCATTCTCGTGGCTCTCAATTCAATTCTTTACAAATAGACATATTTTTTTTGTCTCTTATAATTATACATTTCTCTCTTCTTTTTCTTTAATTAATATTTTCCATATATATTATGTTACACAAGGATAGGTTGTCTCACAAAAAGTTTTATTTTAATGTCTATTTTTCTCTGATTGCTAAATTGTCTGCGGTTCAATATTTTCTTCTTTTTTTTACATGCGTCTTAATAAAATGTTTGTCTACTTTTTATTTACGAGAATTCGTGAGCCACGATGTTACAGTCGTCATGAATATTGTTATCTTAGAATAATAAACGTTACAGTGCAATATCTAAAAAATCTGTCTTTTTTATGCAACTTACACATTCAAATACAGTGTACTCGAAATTTACAATTGTTATTGCCCTTACAAACATTAAATTACTATCGAGCGGTAGCAATTTGTGATCTTTTTTGTATTTTTTTCCCTTTATTTTCTTTATTTATTTGTTTCCTTTCACCGGTAAAACAACATATGCTGTGTATTTTTTTTTAAATATTTTTTTAAATGATATTTTACTGTCAAGAGCGCAAAATGTCTTTTCAAAGACAATGCATTTTTTGTGTGTATGTGTACTTGTAAAGTATGTGTAAAAGTGTTGAGTGTTTCGAGTTTTCAATATTCTTTCATTCTTTCTTTTTTTATTTCACGATTAATTGTGAATCGTATAATTAATTCGCATTTTTTTACTTGGTCGGGAAATGAAATTTATGATTTCTTTTACACCGACGATGAAAAAAAAATGGTTTTATACAGTACGAATTTTTTTTTCTCCAGACTTTTAAACAACATCATCAAATAAATTATGACGATTCTGTTTTTTTTTTTTTTTTTTTTACTATTTACAAGTAATCAATCGAATATCGAGTAAACAAATATACGTCGCTAAATATTTCGACCCTAATTTATTTTATATTACAAATAAAAGCGAAAAGAGAAAAATTTATAAAAAAAAAACTAACAAATTTTTTCGATAAAAACAAAAGATGTTTAGTTTATTATTAATAATAAATATCGTCGACAAATTTAAATAATTACACACTAAGTTAACAAGTTTTTGATAAATTTTTTTTTTTAAATAAAATTTTTCTCTCTCACCTTCAGATATTGCAAAAATAATATTGTGGTCGATTTGTAAATAATTTAGCTTTTTTTTCTTATTTCTTTTTTTAAATAAAAATTCGCTTACGCATTATCGTAGCTAGACTAAATAATAATCAATAAGGGAGAATACTTTGCGAAAAAATAAAGAACAACATGTAATGCCAATGAAGCCATTTGACCTCGATGCTTTATTAAAAAAAAAAGAAAAAAAAATCGTCCCCCGACTAATTACTTCCTACTAATTAACACTTGGGATCTTTTGCAACGAGAGTTTTTTTTTCCTTCTAAAGCATTATTTGTTAACGCAAAGTATTCTCCGTAAATTTCTCCAAACGAGAAATTGCTTTGAGCAAACGAAAGTCGTAAAAAAAATTAAAAGAACAAACAAGAGTCGATAACCGCAGATCGAAAGGATTTTCTTTTAAAAGCGTAAATTGAATTTGAAAAATAAATATAATTTTCGAATGTTTAATTTAAACAAAAAAAATCTCCTTCCGATCTTTACACATCTCTACATTAATCAGATAGCAACTAATCAACAATGTACGCTTACATAAAATACAATCAGCATATAAATACGCAACAATATCGCGCGAGAATTTCATCGGTTAAATATGCAACATATAATGCAGTTTAAATACAGAGATAATAATATAATAAAAAAAAATAATAATATTAATAATAAAAATATTAATAAAATTAAAATGTTAATATTTTTATTATTAATGATAAAAATAATATTAATAATAATAAAAATTAATAATAAATTTGTTCGAGAATTCACAGCTGGAGAACGTCCTTTCAATTGCACGTGTCGCATCGCTCGTTTCTCCGAACATTTAAAAAATAATTCTGTATTAGTCTTATATCACAATAGTTCATAAAATTGATACAGATATTTTAAACGAAGACATTATCATGGAAGAAATATATTAAAAAAATTAATATGGATCAAAGGAGAAGATGACGAAGACAACGTGGAATCGACTGGCTTTAAAATTCATAATTTTTTTTTTTTTTCATTTTATTTGCAAAGAAGTAATTAATTTCGAGTATTTTTGAAAATCATTCTTGAAAAATTATTTAATTTAAATACTAATTTGAAATTTTAATTTTTGATGTCAAAGTTTATAAAACTTTGATATATACTTTATAAAGTTTGTGCCCATTTTAGAAAATCAATACAATCTGAAACTTTGAAACTTCCCATAACTTCTAACAATGGAAATTCCATTTTTTTTTTCTTTCAGTTGTTACAATAATGTTAACAAGCAATTTGTGAAAAATTTTGAAACTATTTGAAAATGTGTCATCTCTCAACATACAAATTTTGTAAAAAAAAAAATAGTAATTAAAAAATGTAATACAAAATTAATATTTCTTTGCAAATTTATTTTTTTTTCCTTTGGTAATGATAATGAAAAAACAATGTAATTTATTTCACTATTTTGAATAATTTTTAAATTAAATTTTTTTTTGTGAATCAAAATTTGAATTGTTACCAAAGGAAAGAAAATGACAAGGATTTTTTTTCAAGTTCTTCGCTATTGTAATGCAAATCAAACTACAATTTTTATTCAGCGACGTAACAAACGCTTTTTTTTGTCTGTGATATGGATGGTATAGTAAATGTAATTTAGTGTTTTAACAGCGTAGTAGTTAGTAATAGAATACAGTAGTAATAATAGTGGTATAAGTAATGTAGTCTCTTGAAGAGTTGGTAGAATAATGACATTAAATATTTTTCAGCAATTAAGCTGTTGAGTTGAATATAAGGGAAGGTTCAAAAAGGAGAAAAGATCATTTATTATCTTTGTTTTTTCAATGTAAACGGTTATCAATCAGTCAAAAAGAAAAATTTCTGTTATTATAAACTAAAAAAAGTCTGATATGTAGACTGACATTTGGACAAATATAAGGTTCCTATAAATTCTTATTTTCAATCTATACACACGATTTGTTTGTTTTTTATTTTCTATATGACAATTTTTTCCCTTTTGACTTTTAATTCGAAAGGTGCAAAAATGTTTTATTATTTTTATATATAAAAATGCCCCGATCGAATGAAAGTCACTATAAAAAATTGCTTTTCAGAGATATGTAACGCATAACTACATTACTTCTAACTTAAAGCACTTTTTCACGTGTTTTTTTTTTATTAATCACGATTTTAAATTTCAAGCCTCTTTTTTTCTACACACAGAAAATTGTATTTTGAGTATAAAAATTCTGTATACTCAATTTTCATATTAGAATCGACAACTTTCTCTTCTTTTATAATAAGAAGATTTTTTGTTTTATTATGAAATTATATTCATAATAAAATATTAAGAATACAATATTTGCAAATAAACACAAATATTGTGAATATTTTGCTGAATAATCACAAATTATGTGAATTTGAAAATCGTAATTCTGATAACCGTTTTTTATACTCGTGTCCTTATAATAGGGATATTACAGTATTTTTTTGTGTAAGGTGTATGTGTGTGTATTTTTTTTTTTGTTTTTTTTTTTATTTATTTATTTAATTACGTTTTTTTATTCTCTTACTGCATTCGCTAATTGTTTTCTTTCATCTTTCTTTAATTAATAATAATAATTATATGTATAATTGTTACAAGTTTCATACCTCTCTACACTTCTTAAGTGCTGCTTTAAATCTTTTTTTTTTATGTTACATAAATATTGAGTACGAGACAATTTTACAAAAACTATTTCTTTACCCTGGAGTAATGTACTTTTGCCATTCCGCAGACGATTAATCGTTCAATGGAAGACCCAAAAAACGATTTGCGCTTTTTTAAAAAAGTTAATACGAAATCATTATTTATTATTGGAAATTAAATTATCGAAAAAAAATTTGCTAGGCTCTTTCTCTCTCTCTTGATTGCAAACGATGAGAATAATTGAAAACGTATTTCAATCTCAATTTTTGCCGCAATTTAAATTTATTAATTAATTATTTAATTAAATTGACAAAAATTTGATTAAGTAATTAAATAATTTTCAAAAAATGGTAAAAACTAAGTTTTTTTTCTATATATAAAAAAAAATACGTTTTCCCTGATTCTCTCGATTGAGAGCCAATTATAATTAAAGCACTTTATAAAAATGCTCGGAAGTTCTATAAGCAAAACAAAAAGAAAAATTTTACTTCACGATTCGCTTCGTTTTAACGCACTCTGTGCACACTACTACGTTAACATTGTGTTTTTTTTTTCCTCTTGTCTTTTCTCACTAAAAATTTAATACTCATTATTATAATCGTAAGTATTTTTATATGACCCTGTTTCTTAAAGGCTTCGTAAACATAAGTTGGTTTCGGCCGAAGAATATACACATATTTAGTACTTTACACGCATGTACAAGACGAAAGAGCACGGACGAAGGATCTTTGAAAAATGCGGGGCAATTGAAATCGAAAAAAGAAAAGAAAAAAAAAATTCCACACGCAGAGAGGGAAGAAAAATATCAAGTCTTAGAAAAAAAAAAAGAAATTCCAGACTTGCATGGAAACTAGAGAGCGCTCTTTTTAAAATTCGCCTCTTTCATATATATATATATATATATATATATATATATATATATATATATATATATATATATATATATGAATATTATTGCCTCTTGGAAAGAGATAAGATTTCTTTTGCGCGCAATGCTTTTGGGGATGAAAAGAGGGAAGAAAGTCGAAAGGATGGAAGAAAAACAGAAAAGGGTGTAAGTGCGCCTTAGGAAGAAGATGAATACACATTTACAAATTCAAGTGGGAAGACGTCGCGCACTCCCATATTCCTGTTTATTAGATTTCATATCTTTCATTCGACACGTGGGTCTACGAACCTGTACGAATTTTTTCTTTTTTTTATTATTTTTAATTAATAATCTCAAAATACATGCAAAAATTGATCTTAAAAAAGCGCCGAGATTTAAAAAATTTTTTTTCATGTTTAAATTTCTTTATCACATAATTGAATTTTTTTTTTTTTTAATTAAAAAATGTTTCAATTTTATTTTTTCTTTGTTTAAATTTCAAGGTTTGAGTCTCGACACCTTTTCAAGTTTTGAGATCTACAATAACACAAACACGCCTGATGCAATCCACAAAAAAGTGGATAATTTGGCACGCGTTTTTATACCATTATTATTTGGCACGTGTGTTTATTTTATTTATTTTTTTTTTTTTTTGAGCCGCTTTGAATTAAGAATCTCGATATCGATTTTGGCACAGTCTGCGGTCCCTCTCGCGTACTTTTTTGTTTTTTATTTTTCTTAATCTCTTTTTTTTATACATAAAATCTTGCCACCGAGTACAAAAAATATGCCTCCAAAAATCTAGTGTTCGCCCAATTATTATTATAGAAGAGAGATTAGAAAAAACTTGGTTTCTCGTAACCAATCCTCCCCCATTTTTTTTTTATTTTTTTATTTTGACGTTCTAAACGTTTAAATTTAAAATTTTTTTCTTCGAGCCCGGAAAGAAGGGCGAGGGCTTTTTTTTTTTTTTTTGCTTTTTTTAATATTCTATAAAAACTAAGTTTACTTATTAGCTGATTGCCTTGCGTTACGATAATAAGGTCGGGTGTCAGTCCGATCACGACGATCTTTGATCGAGATTTTTTTTTTTAATCCGATCAATGAAAAAAAAATTATAATAATTAAATATAAAAGAGAAAAAAAAATGGAAGAGGAAGAGAAAAAAAATTTATTGATCGAGGTAGATCGGGACAGACCCCTCGCAGTAAGGATAAGGCCCCTGCACTAACAGATTGCTCTACATGTAAGAATTTTTTGAGGGATATTTTTTGTTTAAAAGAAAAAAAAATTCCTCAAGAAATCCATTACAGATTGCTCTACGCCACAACATAATGCTCGTGTTTTTTTTTTGTCACTTTTCACAATATTTCGATTTCAAAGCGAGAAACAAAGATTTTTTTTTTCTGTTGCCTTGAAATTTATCAACTTTTCGAAACAACTCTCTTGGGGTATATATTTCTAATTGTTTTTTTTTATTGCACACGTTATACAGTTAGTTTAATATTAGATAATTAGAAATCTAGTATTGTATGGTAGAACTACCTCCCTCGCCTTCGAAATTTTTTTTTTTGTAAGATTTTTTTTTAATGGTATTTAAATCTCTATAGAAAACGTGACTATAATAATCTGAGCTGAGCAATATCGTTAATTACTATTTTTTTCAATGGTACTGTCTTAACATTCTATACATTATATTTATTATACAATATGCCCTCCTAAAACATACAAACTACTTTAACATTTTACTATAGAATGTCGAAAAATTGATTTATTTTCTTATTGATTTTTTTTTTCAAGTATAGAATGAGAATAATCGACAAAAAGAGAGCCGGTTAAAATTTGATTGAAAGAGTCATGAAAATTGAATAAGTTTGAAATTTTTTTTTTATTTGACAAAAAGAGTTGTTAAAATTTAATATCTTGGACAGTTATATTTGACAAAAAGAGCAAATTTTTAATGTGGAACTTTGACATATTAAAAAAGAAGAATGACATCGAGAACGTTCAATAAAAGACATGATTTATAAATTGATTTTAATTAAGAAATTGTCGATCGATTATTTCTGCTTTTTTTCTAAAATTAATTTGCTCACGCTTTGAAATCGATTTTTTTCTGCTTTTCTCGTCTTTTATTGAATGGGAGCTAATAAATTTTAATTTTAATTTCCCGTAAATTGTGAATTTATTTTGTCGCGAATAATATAGAGAAATTGACGTATTATTATTTTTACGAGCGATAGCAAAACACAAAAATAAGCTCTGTACAATTTCTCTAAAAAAAAAAAAAATTTTTTTTTTAATTCTCATTATTTACGAATATTTTTTAAATAGCTTTCAAAGTTATTTTTTTCTTTTTTTAATAATCGTGTACCGAAGAGAAATTGTCATCTTCGGATTTTGAACGAACATTATAAGACGCTACGAAATACATGTATACCAATCTTAAACACACACGATTTTTTTTACGTTGACTCTTAGAAATTACAAATTACAAATGACGCAAAGAGTTTACTTAGCGCAGCTACGACTCCTACGAGAAACGATCTTTTCGAAAGTTTTCCTTTTCTAGAATAATATTGTTAGTTTTTAACGTTCCGAGTATAATGATGGATTCTTTTTTCTTCAGCGACGTTAATTCATTTTCATTTAATACGATTTGATTAAGTGTTTACGAGTTGTGAGTATTGGAGCAAAGAGATATATCGTAATCATATGTGTTACCGGATATGCTTCGAGAATTATACTTCGACGATAAATTGCTTTCTTTTTTTTTCTTCTTTTGTTTTAATTAATATTTATCCATCGATAGTTTTCATTTAGAGAAGATTAGAGTAGAATTGAACCACTTTAATCTTCATTAATACTTAGGTATACATGAATTTAATATTCCTTTGTGGCTTTCGTGGCTGACCGTCATTATTCGCGATAATTAATTTCTAATTACAATTTTTATCATTTTTAAATAATCATTATGAATTCAAATCTTTTTACTGCACTTTAAAAAATAAATCGCAACCAATTTTCTTGGTATTTTTTTTTTTTTTTAAAGAGAGAGAGAGATTTTTGACGAATAAATTTCACTTAATAAAAACAAAAAATTTATAGACTAGAAAATTATAATTATGTCGTCCAAAAGAATAGAAGCATTTTTTTTATTATAATAAAAATATTTCTCTCATATTATTTGAAATTACCCTGTAATTTTTTTTAAACAAAAAATTTAAAAAATAAGTTTTTATAATACAAAATCAAATTAAAATAATTTGTATTTTGTTTTTTTGAAAATATTTTTAATTCTTTTGACAAATTATTAATAATTCCTATATAATTAATAAAAGCTTTTGACATTTTTGAACGACTCCTAATATCAAGGACAATAATTTTAATTTCGAGAAAATAGTTAACTATAATTTAGAATTTTCATAAATTCAGTCTTTTGACAGCGTTGCAGGAGTATCACAATTTTGTCATTAATACTGATTAAAAAAATTAATTACAATCCTCTTTGTCATTAAATTTAAATCCGAATTTTTACGTCAAGCAACGCTGTAATCTTTAAACTATACAAATTATTTTAATAAATTACAATAATAAAATAATTAATTTTTTAGATAAATAAATAAAAAATTTCCCCTTAAAATAGAAATATAAACAATTTTTCTTTTTCTCAGTCTTTCCGAAAGATCGTAGTTTTTAGATTGCCTGCGTCGATTAAGGACGATCAGAATCACAAATTCCCGCAAAGTATTATTATTATTTTGTCATTTTATATCTGGTAAAATTCACTGGTTAAAATTTGTCTTTTCACACAAATGATATATTTTTTTTTTTCTTTACAATTTCTTCGCTTCTTTTCGACACATTTCATTCCCTCTCTGATTTATAACTTCCCTAGATAAGATTTCGTAACCCATATCCCCCCATTCCCAAAATCTTAAACCCCGTTCTTTCCGTTGTGTACCTAAAAATTGGCCTTAATTACTACACTATAATCAATTCTAATCACAGCAATATTTATTGTTGATATACACAATCATACAGCGTCTCACTACAGCTCAATGTCTGTGTTTGCTTTTTTTTAAAAAACATTTTTTTTGTCCCTTACAAGAGGCTACTCCTTTTAAATTATTATTATTATTATTATTATTATTATTATTAACGTCCCAAAGAAACAAAAAATTTTTTTCCTTTTATTTATTATGAAGTAAAAATTTAAATTGAGCACTTTCAATCTCATGGGCTTTTCGGAGATGTAACTTTTTATTAAAAAAAAAACATTAATTATAATAAATCATAATAAATTGATTATTCTTTTCTAATAATTTTTTTTTTCAAAATTCTTTTATATCAAGCTCAAAGGTAATTAAATCCTAGAAAGGCCCATAGGATTTTTCAATGTTCCATTGGTTTTAATTCAATGGGATTTTATCTATCGAGAGGATTAAAAGGGGTCAAGGGTGGGTAGATCGTTTTAAAAGAGATAGAGAAAGGTTTGTGATATTGGTGAAAGACGAAGACGTTTTGAAAGTGTCTGGGGTATTGAAAAAGATGACTCCAGACGAGATTGAATCGATCGGTATAATCGCATCGATGAAAGCTCCATAAGATGGTGAAAATTAGTAGTTGAAAGAAGGTGAGGAATAATTTTTATCTCCTTTGCAATTCTAATTTTCAAAGTTGTAAATGTAAAATTTTCCCGAAATTGTTTTTTTTTCATTTTTTATTTATTCAAATTATTTTTAAAAATATTTCTTTTAGAGAAAAAGTTTGTTGAAAAAATCTTTTAAACAAGTTAAGATTTTTATATCATATGAAATTAATCTCACTTGATGTTATTTGAGTGAAGAATTAGAATATTTGATGGAAGATGTGGTGATAAATGACAGTTGCATTAGTTAATTAATTTTCGTTAGATTATAATTAAATATTGAAATCATGTACGATAAAATTAATTAATTAGCAACAGTACATTTTGGGAAGTCCGTATAGTTTATTAACTGGATAATATATCTATATATGGAAGCCATTGAAACGTGTGTGAATTTTGGTTAATAATTTAAGGGGTTAGGGGTAGTCAGAATTTTCAAAAAATCAAATTTTTTTTTTTTGCATTTTCGTTAAGTAAAATATCTTAAAAATAATCTCTGAAAATTTCAAGTTAATCCGATAATTCGTTTTTAAGTTATTCGACAAATAACAAAGAGAGCTCGGGCCTTTGAAAGCGTTCGGGAGCGCTTGCAGCTAGTGTCAGCTGCAAGAAATCGGCTTTTAGGGTTCTATTGTCATCGATGAACTCAGACTTGGGTATATGTAGTAGTACCTAAATTAATATGGCCCAGGAATAGATGACTCGGTGTAAGTAATTTAATAATTCGTTTTTTTGTACGTAAATCTAGTGTGAAACTAAACGCGTTTTTCTCAAAACTATGTTTTTTGAACTGGTGACAACTATAACTCGAAAACCGCTCAGTCGATTTTAATGAAATTTATACAGCTTTTAGAATACATAATAAACTCGGGCCTGATCGAAGGATTTTTTTTTTTTTGAAAAATTTCGATTTTTTAAGACCAATTAACTGTTGATTTTTTCCCAAAAATCTAGACAAAAATTTCCTGAGGCCGCCATTTTGTTAATTTTTGAAAAAAAAAAAATCCTTCGATCAGGCCCAGGATTATTTATTTATAAAACTAATTTTTTTTATCCGATTGATTTCTGATTAATCTCCAAGGACTTATGATTGTCACCGCAAGGACCTTTTTTTGGAACTGGGTTAACACAAACAGCTGTAACTTCGGAAATAAAAATTTTTTTTTTTTGAAATTTTCGTGACTTCAAGTCAAAACATTGTTTAATAATACCATATTACTACTTTTGTAAAATAAAATTATTTAATAGCAAAAAAAAAATACTGAAAATTCTCATTTTTTCGTGCCTCTGACTACCCCTAACCCCTTAACTGTCAAGATTAATTATTTTCGTCTCTTTTTGTATAAGAGATGAAATGCACGACGAGAGGAACGTACGGATAGATTTTTTTTTTGTTTCTTTACAATTTGAGCGTCTTTACAAGAAAAAAAAATAATGATTAAAATTCTTTCGAGAAATTTGAAAAATCAAAAAGTCTTTCTAGGAAGCGCAAAGGTTTACGATTTACGATTCGATTAACTTTTTTTTTTGTTGGCACGTACCGAAAGTATTCGAGTACGATTCGAAGATATGTCAGGTTTTATTTTCTTTATTCTTTAGGAAAAACGATGATTATTATTGTATTTGTCTGTAAGAATTCGTCGCCACTTACACGCTCTAGAATTTATTGCAACGACATTATGGACCCTTGACTATTTAAATCAGTGTTCGATGTTTATTTTTCGTTTTTTTTTTCAAAAAAGAAAAAACGATTTTTTTTTATAAAATTGAAAATAGATATCGAGAATTTTTTTTACTATGATATGTTGAAATCTAAACAGGAAGAGGTAAAGACTTTTATCCTGTAATTTTATTATAAAAAGTTTTTTTTATATAAAATATTACATTTTTACATTATAAAAAATAAATCATCAATTTAATTACTAAATCTTGTCAGTAAAATAATTTTCTAAATTAATATTATATTTAAAAATGTTAATTAAAAAATTTACGATTAAAATTGTAATCTAATCGAACACTGAATTTTAAGATATTGAATCCTTTTCGTTGAAAGGTACAAAATTGCGAATTTTGTGATTTCAATTTGATAATTCGCGAATTTGATAAATAGATATGAACAGGTAATTTTTAGAAATTTAAAAAAAACCACCTAATCGCGATATTTATGAGATCGTGTAAGCAACATTTATTTCTTATGTTGGGGAAGTGGAAGAGGAGAATGGACCCTCACGTTTCGAGGATAGAAATGAGATCGATGTTGCAACGGACCAGAAATCGAAAGACGATTTTCAACAATAAATATATATTTTTTTAAATTAATTTATTAATCCGAAAAATTAATGTTCTCACTCACTTTGTTTTTTTTTTTTTTTTTTAACAGAAATTTCGTCACAATTATTTTCTAATATTGTAAAACTTATTGCTACATAATTTAAAAATATAATTTAATTTTAATAATAAAAACTTTCAATATTATCTTAGCGCATATTTTCTTAATAAATTATCGTCATCATTAAGAGTATTATTATTGTACTTTGAGAAACATTTTTTTTTATTTATATACGCTTAGAAGTCTATAAAATATATTAAGATTTAAATTACAATTTTGAATTACAATAAATTACAATTTTTCTGTTTAAATCTCAATTTTCTTAAATAAAAATTTGTATAAACTTACACAAGAGATTAACAAAAACAATAAAGTCTTTTAAACAAAAAAAAAAAAAGAAAAAATAATTTCAAATTCAATTTCTAAAATATAATTAAAGCTGCGTGCCTATAATAATAAATTAGGATAATTTAATCTCAGATTTAAAGAAAAATTTAGAAGAATTCTAAATTCTTCATATATATGCACTGAATTTTATCAAAATTATTGATAAAAGAAAACAACTCTTGTCTTCAAAACTAATATTGAAAATAGAAAAAATATATTCTAAAATAAAAATTTTATTTTAAATCGACTAATTAAAAAATTAATCGATTGTCAGTCCGTTGACAATGGTTGGATTATAAAGGAGGGAGAAAAAGGGGTCGAGGAAAGGAGGACGCCTCCTATTAATCAAAGCAAAGAAAGCTTTGATCTCGCACCTTCATTGCTCTCTATCTCCTCTAATTAATTTGTTTTTAATCGTATAATAAATATATATATATATATATTGTATATATACTATATATCGTTATTTATTTATAATTCACTTAATAATTTTCTTTTTCTTTCATCTTTTTTTTTTCTCTCAACAGAAGCCACTTTTATCGCGCGTCCGAATCGATATACTTCAACAGAATGATCAATTCAAAATTTCTATCGATATGATTTTTTTAAACATATTCTCAAAATTTTCATTGATCATTATATTTGAAAGCATTGCCCGGACATACGAAATGCATCAATGATCATAGGTGATAAAAAATTAAAACAATTTGTAAATTCAACAAAATCTGGACAAAAATTTGAAAAATTATTTTGAATTTTTAATAAATTACTCGAATAGTTGTCGAAATTATTTTCCCAGAAACAGACGTAAATTTAATTGCTTATAATTATAAATCACTTATTCTCATATATTTTCAAAATTCTAAATTTTGAAAATATGACGATCTCAGCACATAATTTCGTACGTTATAATAATAAATGTCAGACGATCGTTAAACCCGAAATGATCTTTTGAATCGCGTCCTTGCCGTATAGAAATTGCGCAACAATTAAAAGCGATCGACTCGCTTAATAAAATTGTATTATTAAATACAACCTCTTATTTCTTTTTCTCTCTCTCTTTTTCATTATTCCTTTTTTTTTTTTTTTTTTTTATATAAGCGCTCTTTGTGCGTTGAGCTCACGAGAAAAAATGTCCCTTTTTTATGTTGGGAAATTTATCCTATAACCCCCTTTTTCATAATAATTTTTCTTTTTTTTGTTCCTCTACTCGCTAGAAAGTATAAAATAGAATAGAAAATAAATATATTCAATTATAAGCTCCGATGAGTATCACAAAATGATTTCTCGTGTGCCGCTAACGCGAATTCGAAATTCAATTTTATTTTTTAACCACGCGACATTTACTTTTTTTTCTTTTTTAAAAAAAAAAAAGAATCTGCGCGCGAAATATTTTTTTAAAAAAAAGTAAAATTTAAAATTTTGGAAATATTTCGCGCGCGCACGCTTTCTCACGAATCTCATTCGTGAAATGCTTGTTTTTTTTTGTGAAATACGATTTTTTAAAATGCTAACAACCGGTCTAAAAAAGTATCCGATTTTTTTTTGTACTAGTAAAAATAATAATAGTACAATAATTAATAGTCAATAATTAATTAGTTAATTAATTAATAATAATAATTCTTTTGTTTCATTTTCATCCTCTCGTCTTAAATATAAAAATGAAAACTAACGTATCTTTGGCTTGTTCCCTTTACCAATCGGCAGCAGCGTGATGCTGCAGCGTTGCATTATTTTTTTTTTTTTTTAGTTTTTTTTTTGTACAGTTTTTGTACACTCGAGTGTCCGCGAGATGCGTTAAAGCAGTCTCTCGTATGTGTATGTATGTTTTCGTGTGTCTGTGTGTGTGTTTTTTAGGTCTCTCTCTGTGTTGATAATGTGTAAATGTATTTTTTTTCCCCGTGTGTTCATATATAGTTACCTAGTGACTGTCATTGTGTATGTGGTACTTTTTTTTTTGTTTCTCATGTCATTTTATAGCAAGCTGGTTGAACACAGTATGCGGCCAAGTCCCAGATGCCATTGACAGGTTCGTCGCGACACTGCGTCCTTCGATGGGTGTCCCGCGAAAAATTTGCGATAATTTCCACTCTAGTGAATGGGGGACTTGACGATATGATTTGGCGTGATGTATTGAAATGTTGGAATCGCCATACCACCGGTCTCTAATGATATCCTGAAACAAAAGCATTTCTACTTTAGAATTTATTTTTTAATAAATTTTTTCATTTCCCCCCCCCCCCCATTTCTTCCTCTTATTAATAATTCAATTTTATGGGTTGCAAAAAATTACGAGATAAAAAAAATTTATTTTTATTACAATTTTCGTTATTGTTTCATTTATAACTTTTATTTTATTCAGAATTATTATTATTATAAATTACGATTATTATATATATATAATTAAAAATTGAATGTCATAATTAACTGAGTCATTAAAAAAATATGGAAATAAATTTTTTTTTTTAAAATACAATAACAAATATTAGAGTTAATTTTTAAAAAGAAACAATTTTTTTACTTATTTCTGAGTGGAATTTTTCCGCTACAAACAATCAATTACACAAATATCATCTCTATATGTATTTCAGGTAAATTCTTTTTTTTTCTCGATAAGACATGTTTTGAATATCAAATTGAGTTTGTCTCTCTGGAATACAAATTTTTTACATTTGAAACATTAAATTATTTATAGACTTTTTTTACGACACAGTAATTTTGCAATTTTATTATATTTACTGAATATAATAAATAATAATAATAATTTTAATAAAATTTAAGCAGATATTAATGTATAATTTTTTTTTTCAAAACTAAAAATAATAATTTAAATATAATAATGTACAATTAAAGAACATAAAAACGAAATAATATCGTGATTGAAAAATTTATATTAAATATAAGAGGAATACCCGTGTTTTTACAATGATTTTATAGTGAAGAAATAATATGTATATATATTTTTTTTTAACAAAAGAAAAAACTTTGTTTGCAAGAGAAACGGTCAAACGGGATAAGTATAGTTAAAGAGGACTACAAAGGAGCGGATGGTGCTTACCGAAGATGGGCAGGAGCCTGGGTCAAGTTGGTTGGATGGATACATCTTCTCTCTCTCCCTTTCTCTCTCTCTCTCTCTACATCTCTCTCTGAATGTGTCTCCACTCTTCGGGATATTTGTATTGTACGTATTTATACACACTGTTTTTTTTCAAAATACATTTTCATATACTCAGAACACATGATTGTTCAATTAAATAATTACAATTTATACAAATAGTTGTCACCATTTTTTTTTTTTTTTTCTAATTCTTGAAAAATTTCGCTATATATATTTCTGATAATTTGTTTTTGCAATCGTTAATCTTAATATTTTTTCAAAACTTTTTTTTTTAATCCAAGTTTTAGATTTAAATCAATTTTTGAAAGGGAAAAAAGATGTTACAAATTTTTATATAATATTTTTTTTGAAAATTTAATAATGTAATTAAAAAAAATTTTAATTTTTGTTGTTTTTGTATGGAAAACTGAAAATCGAGAAAAATTGTATGACAAAAAAAAATACTTTACTGAAAGAAAAAACTAGGTAAAAGTTTTGTTCTCTTGTTTCATGAATTAAAGACTTGAAGATGTTGTTTTAATATTAAACACGCCTAGCTTTATTCAACAGTGTAATACATAATAGCAAAATTTTTTTTTTTGCTAAAGTACACGATGTATACGTTTTCGACTTTGTATGAAAGATTGCAAAGAAAACAGCGTTGACTAAATGTATGTATAATTGAAATAAACAATCTTTTATATCAAACCTTCTTCAACTTCGAGCTTACCTTTCGATCATGATTTCCCAACTAATTTTCTTTTCAAAAATAATTAATATTGAGACACGCTGCTTAAATCTGACATTATTGTTACACTATCTTCTATATTGTATATATATTTTTTTTATTTATATACAGATACAGAAATCCTGCAAAGAGAACCTCCAGTTTTTTTATTTTCCTTCATTTCCGCGAATCAATTATTTTTATATATAATAAAAAAATTAATTATAGTTTTAAAAAGTTAATTTCAACGACAGAAACTGGAGATTCACACAACAATCATTCAAATATCGGATCCATTATTATAATATGCAATTGTTCAATTTTCAAAACGTACGGCAATTTAATCATTAATATAATTATCAATTATCGTTACTAACATAATTACTAATTACTATTTTAAAAAAAATTACTAATTACTGTTAACAAATTTACAAATTACTGTTAACAATTATCAACGTCAATCAATTATTTTTTTTTACATAATTACTTATTATATAGTATAACTATTAATTAATATTAAAATAAAATTTAATGATTTATTAAGCAGAAGAAAAACTGATTGTGATTTTCAAATGTAAACCATACAATTAATATAGGGATATAATTAAATTTTTTTCAAATATAAGAAAGTGATTGACTAGTACCAGCTTTTAATGTACAATTTAAAGAGAAAACGTAAATCAGTGATTATTGAACAATCGGGTCCGATGTTTTAATAGAATCATTGTCAAAATATTTTTAATGGAGCTCGCACTGAAAATTCGACAAATACTATTTATATAAGTCATTGCAGTGGAGATTATTGACGCGACATTTTTCACGTATTATAATTGTTCTCGTTGCTATACGAGTCGCTATTGAGCACACGAAATCGATAATATTAATGAAATCTACACATAACTAACTTGACTTGTCTTTAATTCTATTCTTTTTTTCATAAAAAAAAATTGACTGTCTTTTACATTCAGATGCATTATCAAATGAATTTTGAATTAATAAATCTTGCATAATTAAAAAAGAATCTTCAAAAATTTCTAAAAAAAATTCTGATGGACACGGTCTTTATAATAATTTAATCAAAATTTACGCGAAATTCTTTATTTTTTTTTTCATTCTTCAAAAAAAGGATCAAACCCAAATATTGTAATTCTACATTAAATTTCAATTGAAAAATGATATACCTATTACAAAATTAGAGAGAAAAAAAAATGTGTTTTCACGTGTCGAGCTTTTTTTTTATTAGAACGATCTGAGTGGAGAGACACAAATTGATCTGTTTTGAATATACGGATACAATGCGCAATATTACGATTACAAATACAATATTATGAATATTATTCTTATTCTTATAGTTTAATTCCTACAATATAAATTGTATGTATGCTAGTAGATTATTTTCTAAATAATATTCTAATTTCGCCAATTCACGACAATGCAACCTTATTTTTTAATTTTATATGATAATAAGCTCTCCTAATTTCCCTTTTAAATATTAGGGACAACGCGCCACATCATTCAAACAGAATGTATTACAAATCAACGATCATGATTCCCTCTCTCTATACTTTCATCTTGATCCCGATTAACCAGACGAAAAACGCTGTTTCTTATTACAAAAAAAATAATAATAATTTAATCCCCTCTTTTCATATAGAAAAAACAATTTTTTTGATAATTTCAATAAAATTAATTTTGCTATAATTAAATTTATAAAAAATATTCCAATTGTCATGAAAGTCAGATTTTATCGAATGTTTAACGATCCCCCAAAAAAAACATGATTTCAGCGAAGATAGAAAAGATTATATTATATATATGACAAATTATTACAATCTACGTTTTTTTAACCCTCTTTCACGTATACTTTCTTTCAACTATTCGTTCATTCGTCACCACTTTTACGCTCGACTATCACAAAAAGGATTTATACATATATATATATATATATATGTATCAGAATACAAACTAATCTAACAAACTTGATTGAGAAGTTAATTGTATTTTTTTTCACAATTTATCATCATCATTATTAATAATAATAATATAAAAAAGACTCAATTTCTTTAGGAGCCAGCCACACAATTCTTTTCAAAATGAAAATTTCTCATCAAAAAAGCTTCTAAAAAAAATAATTCTACAAGACTATAAAAAAAAAGTCTTCTCGATTTATGAGGTAACTTGATGTTTATCCAAAAACAAAATTGCAGATATACAAAATAACAAAAAATTAAAAATAATTTAGACAGAAAAATATCTTTTAAAATTTTTATAAATATACAAAAAAAAAAAAATGAAAAAAAGATTTTAGAAACACAAACTTACAGGAAATAAGTTTTTTGTCCAAATAAATCTGTATCAAATATAAAAAAAGCTTTTCCGTCTAAATTCTTATAAAATAAACCAAGTTTTATAAAAAAAAAAATGTTTAGAAAAAAATCACATTTTCGATGAATACAACAAAAAAAGTTTCCTCATTCAAGTTTTTCCAATCCTCCATTTTCTTTTCTTTTTTTTTTTTTACGAAAAATAGCCATTTTTTGTGGCAAAATCTTGAGCTTCATTTGCATGAAAAAAAGTCAAAAAAATAATATTTTCTAATGTGGCTCCTATGGCAAAAAAAAAGATTTTTTTTTTTAAATTTCGCCCGATTACAATATGTAAACGTTTCGAGAATAACTTATGTATCGTACAAATTTAATGTGGCGGAAGCTCGACACGCTGTCTACGCAGACGACGTAGCTCCAATTTTCCTGTTATTTGCAAATTTCAGAGACAGGTGTTTATGCGTATCTAAAAGTTACGCATTCATTAAACGCAACAAAAAGTAGCTCTGCTGGCAAACTATCTACAAAGTAGCAAAATTCTCCAATAGTTTATGTTTGTCTATTTTCATGTATTTATGTAACTCGAATTTATTTCTCATTCAGAAACTTATTCAATAAAATATGCAGTAAATTAAAATGTTCTACTAATTTTTTTTTACAATAAAGAAAATGAATTGTTTTTTAATTTTTTTGTAAATAAAATTGAAATACAAATTTTTAACAAATGTTAATTAATAAAGAATTTATTTTTCTACAACTTGGAGAATATTAATAAAAATATTATTATGCATTTTATCAATATAATAATTTGTATTATTATCAATAAATAAGAGAATTTATTTACCAAATAAATTTCTGAATAGAGAATTTATTCATTTACGCACAGTATAAAAATTTCACCCGAGTGCATTTAGAAAAGAACGAACCTTTTGTAAACGAGGATCTATAGAAATGTTTTTTTTTTTTATATAAACGATACTTATTAAAAATTAATTCCATGATACTAACCAATTAAAATTAATTAGCTAATAATTATCGAATTTTCTCTCGAGGAACGAGAGATGTTTAAGGCCATGTGTTAGTCAGGTAGCGCTGTCATTCTTCACAAACTACAGAAAATAATGTATTGAATCTGAGAATCGTTTAATTAGTCAAAATCGCTTCAAAAATTTTGGAAACAAAATTAATTTTTGTAAGATTTTTAAATTTTGATCTAATTTAACGATTCAGTTATCAATTCCCTGATTTTTATTTTAGAATTTTGTTTGGAAAAGGAAATAACACATGCCCTTAATCATCCCACCGCTGTCACGTTAATTTCGATTGGTTAATTGGATTTTTTTTTTCTTTTAGCTAACAGAGCTACTTTTTCACGTGATGCTGTTTAATTGTGACGTCTCGCAGATTGTCTTATTAACAGCGATGTCGTCATTGTCCAATGTTTCGTGGATATTTCAGTACGGATTGTACTTGGTTCGTTCGGACTTGAATTTACCACTTTCTGTTGGTCCTGGTGCACTTGGACTTCGTAATCGTGGCGTGAATGGTTTATGCGAACGATGTACACCAGTTGTTTGTACTGGTAGCGCGGTTGCTGCGGCGCTGGCGGCACCACCTAGTAATTCCGTGAGCCCGCCAAGAGCTGTGAGACTAGATAGGGCGTTGAGGGCACCTGGCTTGCTTAACAGCTGTGCCAATGGGATGGCGCTGGCCAAAGGAGAGGCAGTGGTAGTAGTGGTAGAGGGAGAAGCACTGGCCCCGGATGCCCCGGGAGTGGTACCGCTGCCAGGGGTTTGGGTATTTTGGGCCTCTAGATTAGCTTTCTGCAGTTCGACACTGGGGAACAGACATAAATTGTAAAAGGTCAGGGCAGGATGTCATCAGTTATGTGATATTTAACACAGAGCAAAAAAAAAAAACAAACAAAAATTGGATTCAGATGAAATTAATCAAAAAATAACAATAAATAATCTAAAAAAAAAGAACATAATAAAATTAATGAAAAAAATTAACAAATACAAAAAATAAAATTAAAAAACAGAAAAAAATAAAATTACAATATACTGAAAAAACAGAAAATTAAGTACAGAATAAAGAAAAAGGCAAAAGAATAAGTAAACAGATAATAAAACTAATTAACAAAGAAAATGAAAAATTAATAAAAATATATATATATTATATATAGGTAGAAAGAAATAATTATTGTAATGTGCAATGTGATCTGGTCACGTGCGCTGGGGAGCGTGACGACGGCTAGTGGGATTGACGGTAATAGGAAACGACGTCACTTTTATCACAAGCTGTGAACAATAATTTAAAAATAATCTCTCTTTCAATGGAAGTATTTTTTTCTCATTCCTTTTGTTAATTTTATATCATTACTATTTTTTTTTTTTTTTTTAAATAAATTGTCAACAGCTTGTGAAAGTCGCTGAGAAAGCGACAAGGAGGCAAGGATGCGGCTCTCAAGACAATCGGAACAAAAAGGAAATCCATTATTTTTTCTTGAGGATTTTTGTTTAATGACTGTTAATTACTACCAAAGCATTTTTTTTTTCAAATCATTTCCCGATTTTTCTTTTTTGAAAAAAAATAAGCCAGATCCCTGCCGTGCAAAAAGAGGGGGATTTTTAAAGTAAATAAATGCATGATGTGCACTCTGCCAGAAATTATAATCTGTCAAAAGGAAATAAAATAAAAAGAATTTTAAAATAAAAAGATTTCTTTCTTTTTTTATTTATTACAAAAAAAAACAAAATTTTAAGTATAAAAAAAATTAAAACGACAAATTTTTAAAAATTAATTTTTTGAAAAAAAAATGAATAATTTATGTGGATGGACAGATTTGGTGATCGGACAGAGTGCAAGTCATGCAATTTGGGAGTGCTGGGACAATAATGTAATTTATACGATGATAAAAAAGTTATGGTAAATAGAAATATCGGGATGATGGCGTTCATTCGCAGTTATGCAGTAGTAAATGTGAGTGACAATCTGGAATAAAATATATAATGGATTATAATTATAACGTGGATAGTGTGCTGTAGTATGGGAGTTGGTCCTTTTGCATTGTGAAATGATTGTAGGCGATTTTTTTTTTTCAACATGAATTTACATCTCTCTACATTTTTCATTCTCTCTTTCTCTCTCTTTCTCACTATCTCTCTTTATCGTTGGATTTAACTTTTCAAGGATAAAATATTGTCGAGGAAGAAAGCGTGAAAAGAATAAACAAAAATATACAAACATGTGTTATTACAAAATTATGTAAATTCAATAATTAATGCGAGAATTCAGAGACAACATATATTAAAAATTATGTAAAAAGTATAACAAAAATGATAAATTTGGAAAAATTAAATTTTATTTTCAATATTAATCAAATAAATTTTTAATTTTAATTGAATGATTATTTTTTGAGTTATGGTTTTATGTTGCTATTAAAATCAACGTTGGCTGTGAATTGTCACAAGGTGCATTTCTACCTTTTGCAAAGCGTTATATTTGTACATTTAAAGCAGTTACTACAATTTTCTATTTACACTAAATTTTCTATTTTTTTATTTCATGTTTATAAAAAATTCACCTTTCTTTTTGTTACAAAAAAATATCTACAATCTAAACTTTAAAATAAATTATATAAAATTTTTAAATATTTCATTAACTTTGGAGATCAATTAAAAAATTAAATTAACTAATTAATTAAAATATTACGTTAAAATTTCTGGAATTTAATTTTGATAATAAACTGATAATTAAATAATAATGCATTATGCAAACTATTTTCAAAAACAATTAAATAGCTATTTTTTTTTTCTATCAAAAAATTTCTACATATAAAATAAATGATAAAGAAACAATAGAAAAAGCAACAAAAGGCCTCCAACGAAGGGAAACGATCCGGGAGGTTAATCTACAAGCTTTTTCCTTACTATCAAGTTACGACCATTTTGTGTCAGGCCAAGATAAAAACAAGCATTCAAGAAAAAGTGGCCAAACACCTGTTTTATTCTCCCCAAGTTGATCATCTGTTTTATTACGATTTTCACCCAACAATTATACTATTATTCAATTATATCTTTTTTTCTCTTAAAAAAAATTGGATATATTTAATTAAATAAATAATATTTTGGTAGTAAATAAAAAAATATATTTGCAAAATATTGTAAGGAAAAAAATCAGTACTCAAGCTTTAACAATTATTTTCTTTAAATCATGAATTTGTGTTCTTAAGAAGATTGATTCATTGGAAGCCTCTTGAAGGGGAGAAAACCAAACCAATTAAATACAAAGAAAGGGAATTTGTGATGTGTCGTTTGGGACAAATGTCCAGGTATTTTGTCTTAGAAGAGAGAAAAAGTGTGAGAAAAAAAAGAGAGAGAGAGTGAGTGACATGGGGAGAGAAACAACAAAGTCAGAAGTATTTTAAAATAAATTTTGATAAATTTTAAATTTATAATTTAATTAAAGTTGCTAGATAAAATATCAAAAATGTATAACTTCAATTACTCAGTTAATTTGTGATACAAAATTTTTATATTAAAAAAAGTTATATATATTTTGAATTTGTTTTTTCTTATTCATTTTTTTTTTAATTTAATCTATTAAAAGCAATCAAATTGAAATTTAAAAATATTAAAATCATTTAGATAGAAAATAAATTGAAATGAATACTTCTGACTTTGAAATTGAACGTTTCATTACTTGAAAGGACAGCCAGCGGCATTTTTTTTTTTTTTTTTTTTTTGGGAACAGATGTTGAAAAACGGAGTTGAATCTGCAGGATACTCAAGGTACTGGACCTGGAAAGCAGGACCTGGAAACAAAGGATTAAGAATTTCATCCTCTTGAATCACAAAATTGGACAATCTTTCTCGTTGGTTCCAAATTTTCCTTGGTGACACGTATTGTTTTTGGTAGCTGCATTTTTCGTACTATTACATCTCTTCGGCTGTATTAATTTCCATCTTAGTAACTAAAGAAGAATCCTCACCTGCTTTAATTTTTTTTTTTTGTAATTTAATTGGCATTAATGCCATTAACATTCGTCCTTTTTTTCATACACAATTTTACGTAAAACTCATTTTTCATATTCTTAAATAATGACGAAATGCCACACGAGAGAAATATCATTTATTTGTATTTAATATCAACATTATTTCAATTATTATTCTTCGAAAATGAATTATTGTAAATTTTCTCACTCTTTAATAAGTTATTATAAATTATTGTGTTACTAAGAAAATTTTAATTAGGTTAATTATTATTAATAATAAAAATGACAAATATTTAAAAATAAATTTTATTAAATAATTAAAATTATTTGCCGAAAAAAACTCTAGAACAAAATTTCTCTCAATGTGTAAATTCGTCAAGAAATCTCACGCAAAGTGAAACTAACTTTGTAGGATCGATTCGACGTGTTGTCTTCTTATATTCATTTTGAGATTTAATTTAAATACGAGAGTAATTTTAGACAGTAAAAAAAAAATTAAATAATTAAGAAAGAGCACGTCGAATAGAATTACCTCGAGGGCGCACGCAATCCGTTTTTCATACACACTTTTTTTTGGGAGAAGTAAAAAAAAGTCGTCGCTTTTGGCCTAAGGTAACACACATTTTGGCATTAAAAAAAAAATATGAGATTGAAAAAAGAAATTTTAGAATATTGACATTGGGCAGCAGAGACGGAGCAGAAGTAGAAAGAGACATATATATTTATATATACCTGTGCTTCGTTCTCAAAAGGGGGAGAACGAAAAACTTTGTTTGCATCTGAAAGCTGACCAACAGGAAATAATGCAATTCCTGACAGTCAATTTTCAAAGCCAAAGTGGTTTCGCAAAATGGATATATTAAAAAAAAAAAAAAAAGAAAAACACAAAGAACAAAAAGAAGATTTATATATTATGAAGAAAATAAGAAAGAATATTCGAGTTTGTTGTTTTCTTTCTTTCTTCTTCTTTGTTTTTTTTTTTTTTAACTAATAGTAATATAACTTACCTCATATTGATGAGATATTGTGCCAGCGCTACAGAATCTGGATTTCCGGTGATTGTGATCGTACGATCTGTAGCACCACCCTCTCTCTCCTCGCAATTGCTGATTCTGATCATAGCTCCGGAGATTTGACGAATCTCTGCGATCTTGGTTCCAGCTTTTCCAATGATACAGCCAATCAATTCATTAGGCACAGTCATTTCGTGCGTTTGGTTGTTGGCTGCTGGCTGCTGTCTATTTGTGTTACTGGTCCGTAACTGACTTCCGGCTAAAGCCGCCAGCGCTATTTAAAAACAATAGTCCATATTTTAGAAAATAACTCCTTAATTAAATTATTTCTGATTAAAGTAAAAAAAAAAATGAAATCAATTTTTCTTTTCTAGAACTATGATGATCAATCGATTTTTAATAATTTACAATTTCACAACAATATTGATAAAAAAATTTAAAAATTAAATTAGAAATCGAATTTTTGTCAATTTGAAAATATTTCTTTAATTAAGATTTAATTTTCTGACGATGATTATTGTATTTCAGTTTCCATTTCTGAAATAGAGTTTGTTTTTATTATTAGTATATTATTTTTTAAAATCAAACTGACAGTGATATAAGCGAATGAAGAATTAAAAAAAAAAAAAAAGTTCCCGAGTAATTTCATTTTCATATAGGTCACATTAATGGACAATAGAATGCCCACTAAAAACAGGTCAATTCTATAAATGCTTTCAGAAAATTAACATGATTAAATTGATAAATGTAAAAGTAAAATTCCCCTTATAAAAATTTGTTTCAAAACATCTAAAGTAATTTCTAATCCAAACTATATTATTATTTGTTGTAAACAATTTTCATAAATTAAATAACTAAATCTTGAAAATTAGAAAAAATTCTCTTACCAGCTGGATTCAGTCCACCAGTGTTAGCGGGTGTTGCTAAACCTCCAAGACCCAAGGCTGCTAATCCGGCTAAAGGACTACTTCCAAGTTTGCCCATCTGTAACAAATACGAACATGTCCACGGCTCAGCGCATACCAATTAAGTGTCTTTAAACAAATTTTGAGGAAATTGACCTACATTATCCTGTCTGCTTTCTCGCTCGTCACTTATAATTTAATTACTATAAATATATTAGCGACAATTAATTATTGTTTCAATGACACAACGATAAAAATTCTCGAGTTTTGAAAAAAGAAAAAAAAAATGACACCTTCATTTTTTCTCTCGCTCGTGTCGTCTCTCACGATCGATAAAGGTTTAGCATTCTGTTTTATTAAGGCTATTTTTATTTTAAAACATAAAATAGAACTTTATAAAGATAGAATTTCATTTAATTTCCAATAAAAACAAATATCAGAGGTTAATTTCTTTTTGAATTTTATAATTAAAAAAATATATACATTAACTTGATATATCTATTCTTTTTTTTCTATATATTAAAAACTTTAACTTCGGGACTTTTCTCGTTTGATCAAACCTTCAGAAAAGTTTCGATTGCCAAAGTCTCAAAAAGACAGGTACGAGTGAGAAACGTTTACGTTCTAAAGCAATCGGAAAACTTCTTTAACAAGAGTGTTTCCTTTTCTTTAAGAACATCCATTTAACGTTTAGCAATATTTCTTCCGGCCAATGACCATTCAATTTTCTTTTTATAACAATTTAACATTACTTTTTTTTCTTCATAAAAAATTTTTTCATAAATTCTTATGATTTTTTTCTTTCTCATCTTATAAATTATCTTGACTTTTATTTTAAAGGGAGAATTTTTTTTTTTAGTATTTTATTTATAAATTTTATAAAAAGAGGAAAAAAGAGATAAAAAAAAACATCACTGTCCTTTGTCAATAATGTAGAGAACCATCAAGACTTTACCAACTTGAAAATGCGGCAGTTTCGAGACCGCCATTAATAAAACAGATGCCCAGGTCTCCTATATATATATACTCAGTTTTCGTTCTCGAGGATGCGAGCGAAATATTCGTTTATTTTCTCTGGTTTCGAGCACATTATTATATATCTATCACTCGTTTTTGTCATTGATGAGATTCACGAAGGAACATTGAGTAAAAAAAAAATTTTATTTCCTTACTCAAGTCCTTCGTTACATCAACGACAAATTTTTATTCTCTCTCAAAAAAAAAAGGATTTTACTTATTTGCAACTGTCATTTTAATGAAATTTATAAAGACGACAGTTTGTACCTACATCGTAACTTTTATTCACTGGAGAAAATATATGAAAAAAGGATAAAATACTTCATTAAGTGTGTTTTACAGATTAATTCCAGCTCATCTTCTGGCGATTATTTGGATCACTGGAGGAAACTGGCAAATGGATTTCTAGGGCCTTTATTATCTAAAGAAAAAAAATTTAATTCAAATTTTTTAGAATCTTTAATCATATTCATCAGCCCACATGATATTTATTTATAGAAACTCCACTTTTATAAATTATGACTCGCAAAATAACGTCGAGACATTTTATTATTCAATTTCTATTTTTTTATTTTAAATTTATATATTTAATAAAATTATATTAAAGACTTAAAAAAAAATATTAAAAACATGTTTAAAATAAAATAAAAAATTATTTAACACTGCGAAAACTATTTTTTTTTTTTTTTAATAGAAGTTTTTCAATAAATCAACGATAGTTTGAAACTTGATCTTCACCTTTAAGGAAAAAAGAAATCCACATTTGACGTGATTTTTATCTGAGAACAAGATCTCGTTTAAAATTACTTCAAATAATGCAAAAGAAAAGTTTTTAGATTTTGTGATTAGTTTAAATTTTCAGAAAAGTTTAAACTAGATTATTGTTTTTAGAAAGAAATTATTCGCTTTTTTTTTTTTTTTTTGCAAACGAAAGTTGAATCTATTTTGAAACGCGCGCAACTACATCGTGCGCGTTGCACTAAAAGTGGGCTATCGATCATTTGACTAAGCTTGGCCCTATGGTCTCGTCAGCAGTTTTCAGTGATGCACGACCTCCGAATATACATATTTTTACTTAAACATATGACTAAATATCGGTTAACCTGAAAATTCGATTTTCCACAAATATTATTAAATTCTTCGAGCTTTTCTTTACTGCTTTTTTTTTTTTTTTAATATTTCGAAATACCTAGTAATCAAAAATAAATTTTGTATTTTTTATTATTACGAATTACTGAATAGTAATGAAAAAAACCTTCTTTAAATAAATCAAAATTAATTTTTCCGATTTCTATTATTCATTTGGAGTAGATCAAGTTTAAAAAAATATTAATTTAATTTTTTTGCAAGTTTTTGCTATTTTTAAAAATAAATCAAACAAGCCATGAATTTATAAATATATATCAGCATAAATGAGCAAAATATAAATAAATGTGAATTCACGATATAAATTTTCATAATTATAAAACCTTGGTTTATAAAATTAATACAATAAAAAAAAAAAAAGATCGAAAATACCTATTTTTAATAATTAATATATTCATAATGAATTTAAATATTTAAAATAATATTTCATTTGTATTAAATTAATTAAGAGCTTGAAATAATATACGAATATCAGTCTGACCTATTATAATTACATATATATGTAAAAATAATAAAACATTAAACTGATGTACAATTAATAAATTAAACTGATATTTTTATATTATTTCAATTTTAAATATAATTAATATCACAAATAATATTTTATACGTATGTATATCATGTGGGCCAATTTATATAAAACCAACGATGAAAAATTTCCAATTATGAAAGCATTTTTCTAAATAAATTATTAATTAATTAATTAAAATTTCTTTCTATAGGAGATATATACTTTTAATTATCGCGTTCAACAAAGCGAATTAAATTAGTTTGTCAACAGTGACATGAAATAGAAATTAATAATTTACTTTGCTTCTATATATAAAATAATGATTATTATAAATAGTATATATATATATATATATAAAAGAGAACTTATTATGTCTCCTAAAAAGAGTAAAATGTAAAATATAATGAAAACCTGATTGCTCGTTTACTTTGAATTAGACGGAAATGAGGTGAATGATAAAGTGAAGGGAAATTATGAATCTAAGAAATCAAAAGAGATTTACAATCATTAACTTCATATAAAACGATTAGAGTTTTCTCTTATAAATTTATAATTATACACAATTGCAGTATATGTAAATAAAAATAATAATTTGTAAAATAAATTTTTTAAATACTAGATAAAATAGTATAAATTTTCTTGTATGTAAAATCTCTTTATTTTTTTAGATTCACGAGAAGAACGATAAAGGATCCATCTTTTTTTTTTTTGAAACGACCATAAAAATTCAATAAATATTTCTGATCTAATCTAAATTATCTAAAAATGTCTAGTAAAAATTTTCTTAAATAAGAATTTTTTTTATAATAAGCTTAGGGGATGATGTTTCTATAGGACGTCTCTCTAGACAAAATGTGACGAGACGTGAATTTCGTCTAAAAAAAAATTTTATATTTTTACTTTTAAGGGCAGCCCACCCTCGCGCAAACTCCTCGCTAATCGATGCTAAGTGACAAAAGCCATGCCAGTAAAGGTTCTAAAGGTGTCAACTCATAATAATTGTAAGAAACAGGATATAGATAATTATCTAGAAAGAAAGAAAGAGTGAGTAAGAAAAAGAGAGTGAGAAAAAAGCGAATAACTAATTTTTCATTTTAATATTGCAAAGTTGAAAAAATTGAGCATAGAAAAAAATAATTTTTAATTCAAATATTTTTTTTTTCTTCTTTTAATGCTTGAAATGATAAAATTACAAATCCCTGAATTTAGATGAATTAACAGCTCGCTTGTATTCCGAGCTTTGATTACATATTCAATTAATTAGCAAAACTAATTAATTAAACAGTACCAGGAGTCAGCTCAAACTTTCAAATGTGAATTTCCATTTGTATGTAAATATATAATATTACGTGTAAATATTGAATATTGACTAGTAACTCACTGCTAAATGTATTGATGTTACAATTTTTTCAACTTGTGAAAAAAAGAGAAAGAGAAATAGAGAGAGATAAAGAGGGATAAAAATTAAAAATTTATGTTAAGCTAAGCTTTACAATGTCCAAAGATTATAAAAAAAAAAAAAAAAAAAAAAAAAACTACACCGAGAGATGTGTTGTTTTTTTGTTTATTAAATCATTATATATATACGTGCGTTTGCTAAGTGGTTGACTTCAGGAAATGGATGATTGAACGTTGATGAATTCTGACGGGGACTTTGAATAGCGATGCATGATTTGCGAATTAATTCCTATAATTTGATGATTATTGTATTATTTTAAAAATGACTGATCAAAAATTATCATGGAAATTTTAACACAAAATTTTAAAATAATAAAAATAATTCAATTTTTAGAATAAAATAAACTTTTACAATTAAATTAATTTTTTTTATTATCTTACCAAAAAAAATTGCAATTATTCGAAATCTAGAAAATAAAAAAATTTTATTAAAAAATTCATCAAATTACGGAAATCCTATTTTTGAAATTTTTTGTCCCATAATTAATTTAAGAAGCGGTTTTTAATTATTATTATTATTTGTTTTAAAAAAATTACCGTTTTCATTTAACGAAATAGAAGGGGATGTAAGAAGCGAGACAATTAAAAAAAAAGGCTGCGTAAAAATTGTCAACAAATCAAATAGTTTCGATTGAGGGAAACTTTTATTGATTTTGATGACTAGCTCATTTTATGATGTAAAAAGAAAGAAAATAAAAAAAAATATATAAAAGGGACATTTTTGTTAGGACTGCAGAGATATTGCAACGAAAAGTTTTATCATTTAATATCACTTAGTACAAAGTTAATAAACTGTTGCTGGGTGAGGAAAACGAGGATTTAATTTTTGGGAGTGCCAGAAGAATACGAAGAAAGTATATAAAGCTGAGAGAAAAGGATTTTGAGTATATAACTAGTTCCAAAGAAGTTACTTTTTTCCCAATTTTTTTTTTTTTTTTTGAACATCTTTGGAACTTTTGGATTGCACCACATATTAATGAAAATTTTAAATAAGTTAAATATACTATTCCAAAAAAAAGTTTTAGTGCGACTTCATTTAGTTAAAATGGTGCAATCACATATTTTTAAATATTATGTAGAAAGCTTTTCTTCTTTAATAATAAAAAAAGCGTGTGAATGACAATTGTGTAGAATTTAATTGACAATCTTTCGTCAATTTTTAAAAAATCAAGTTTTTTCGACAGTTAATAGAATTCATAACCTCACGATTAGAGAATCAATTTTTTAATTGTGCACACAATTAATTATTTACTTTTGAAAAAATACATTTTGCTTTTAAATTTAACTAAAACAATTTTTCTTCTTATTAATGAAAAAAAAATATTTTTAATTAATAAAAAATTTTTTTTTTGAAAAGTAAATAATTATTAGAGCTATTGCACAATTATTCTTATGTTCGCAGATATTCTGAGTAAAATCGTAGTGTTCTTCGGGCAAGTTTTTTTTTTGCAGTTTGGTTAGAAAAAAAATAAAGAGAAAAAAAGCTCATAACTAAAGCTACCTTTCCTCGTGCCATGCATCATATGTTATTCGATTACATATCGAGTCAACCTTTACCCTCTCTTTTTATTTATTTTTTTTTTTTCGTTTGACCGACTTTGAAAAATGCTCCTCGTTTTATTTATTATTTATTGTTGTATATCCGGATGAAGAAATACGAGTGGATTTCGAATTTCTATTTCAGTGTCTTCCTGTGAAAAGTATATTTTCAGGATTACAGTTGAAAGATTATCTATTGAAATTGTATTTTCCAACTTTACTCACAGACTATATGTTAAATTTAAAAAAAAAAAAATGTAATTTAAAAATACATACATTTTATCAATACTACAGTAAAAATAAAATAATATTTAAACTGATTGCTATATTTAATTTGCTAAGTAAATAATTTGTATTAAATAATCATCTAAGCACTTTTAATGAAATTTCCATACTTTTCACTAATTTAAAGTGCAAACTATGTCGAAACACAAATTTATTCCCCTGGGTAATTCTTTATGAAAGCCAATAATTTTCCACTGTTTGTTTTACCTTCATAAAGAATTATTAATTAGTATGCAATTTATTATTAATTGTTAGACATTCTTTTTTTCAAAATCCACTCGCATATTCAAATACAGTTATTTCTTGATCAATTAAAAATCATCATTAATACAAAAACAATTTTTGACTATAATAATTAATAAAAAAAAACAAAATTTTTTATTTTAAATAATAAAAAAAAAAATATTTTAAAATGAAAAATCTAAAAAATTAAAATAATAATTTAAAATGAAAAAAAGGACTAATTTAAGTAATGATGATTTTCAATTGATAACGTCATAACGGTAAATTTAGAAAAGAAATTTATGAATTTTAATGCATTTCAAAATTAAAATTAAATTAAATTTAATTGAAGTTTAATGTTCTAAATGTTAAATTATCCGCCTCGAGGAATTCGATTGAGTCGATTGTAAAATTGAAAAACTTGTAATATAAGAAGAAATATTCTTAGGACTCTATGTAAAAGCTTGTTAAGAGACTTTCTTGGCGATTTTTTTTTTAATTCCCTTTTTCCGATCAGACGACAACTTGCGATGGGAAATCTGTCATTGTGCGACTCGTGAGTAAGCATTCATGCTAAGCAGGTCTGTATCACTTCCTCAATAAAATAGAACATTTAAAGGACAGTTAACAGTGGATATTTTTTTTAAATCCGCAAAGATCGAAGTCTCGACGATAATAATAATTCGTATCATTAACAAAACAAAAATAAATTACATAACTTTCATTGTCATTTTAAAACTTTAATTTTTTTAAAATTAACTTTTGCAAAAAAGGAGAAGAATAAAAGAGATAAAACTACTGGCCGAGTATCACCGAGACGACAACCGCGGTTTAAAACGCACAGATTGATCAAACGCACGACAGGAAAAATGCAATTCAGAATTAATTTAACTTTATATTCAATATAAGCAGTTCAGAGATTTAAATTTGTTCATAACGAAAGAATCCATTTATCGTCAAGATAAAAAAATGTATTATCATTTTATTTTGTATTTTAATTTTAACAAATTAATCTCACAGGAAAAGTAATTATACTTTTTTTTCTAGTATTAATAAAATATTTCGTAATAAATTAATAAAAAAAGCAAAGCTTGATGAGACATTTTTCCTAGAGAGCGATAAATGGTGCTCTCTTTCGTCAGAGGCAAACGAACGAAAGGAAGGCAAAAAAGAAAGTGTGAGAGAGAAAGAGTGAGAAAAAAGAAGCTTCGAATGGGTCGTGCTGCATTCTCCTTTCGTGCAAAGGTTCTTTGATATTTGAGAAAGGACAAGAAAGTAAAAAAAAAAAAGAATTGAAGAACTAAAGGGAAATGGCAAAGGGAAAAATGGAAAACGGTGTGGAGAGAAAGACAGAGAGAAAAAAAAGAAAGAAGTCGATCGGTTGATCGGGGATAATAAAAATAGACAGGTACTCGTTCTAGCTGCTCGCATTTCTTCTTGGCGTGCTTATCGCGGTCGCGTTTTCCTTGCATTCTTTTCCTGACATGCATCGGATTCCTGTGTCCATTCGATAGGACGAGCAGGTTTTTTTTTACTACAAAAAAAAAAACAACTCTAGCCTTTGGAACGTTAGTAAATTTTTTTTCATTTTTTTTTTTTAGTAGGGTTCAGACGTGTTTAAGACAATAGGTATTAGCATTGGTAAAACATATGTGAAAAACAGAAAGGTTCAAGAAAACATTAACATTTCGTGCAGACATATAAAAAACAAGAAGGTTAATATAGAATGTGACATAATTCATTATCATAAACTGATTGCGATATGACACTATTTCTTAATATTTTTAAATAATGACCAGAAGAGAAAGAAAAAATTTAAATAATCTTTAATTACATCTGGCCATAAATTATTTATTTTAAAAACGAAAAAAAAGAACAAAAACGAATATTTAGTAAGATGTAAAATCTTTCAAACAGTTAAATTATAAATTTAAAAAATTAGAAATATAATAATACGAAAAGCTACATTTACAATAATCGTGACAGAATTCGTGAAACAGTCTCAGAATTGCAATCGGTTTACAAAATGATTGAAATGTCACGCAATTTTTTTTTTTTTTTTTAGAGGAAAGCAATTAACGGACAGGTGAAAGAAAAAAAGTGGCTCAGGCATCTTCCGGGAAGGCGACGATTAACAGCGATTATAATAAATTCGTGAAAAAGAAAAAAAAGAGACGTTTAAGTGCGATTAAATCGTCGCGTTTCGGGACGATTCCCTTAAAAATCGGAAAGATTATTATCGAGCACAAAGCACAAGGAAAAGAATCTTGAGGGTTGTGTTGCATACGTGATAGTGGCCTTAAAGGAAAAGTTTTAAGGAAAAAGTGAAAGAGAGAAAAAAAATAGACAGAAAATAAAGGGAGTTTTTTTTTCTCATTTAGAGAAAAATAATAGCCATTTCAATTCTGTTACTATCTCAATTCTCTCGGAAGATTCCACGTGATATCGCCAATCTCAAATCTCAATAAAGACCTCTAATTGTAAGAGGCACTTGTAACTTCATCTCGAGTCTCTGACTCATTGCTCAAGCACAGTTACTGTAAGATAAGTGTAAAATTTTATTAAATCCATTAGACAAATTTATTTGCATTTCTAGTTTGTAAGTTCAAGTGTTTCAAGTGATATTAATATTGTTTTATCGTTCACGATAATGTAGAATTACTTTTTGAGTTAAATTTTCTTCTATATTAAATTAGAGAATTATTATGAAATAAAAATTTCATTATTTAACGTGAAAATTAAATTACTAATTTTATCGATAAAAGTGAAAATCAACTCTTAAGAACTATTTTATCGTCTGATAAAGAAATAAGTTTGGCAAATATCACGTGGATCAAAAAAAGAAAAGATTCAAGACTGGATTTACAGAATGGACACGGTGCTCACGTGTTTGCATTTGGAGAAATGTGTTTCTGATAGTGAGACTTGGGGGTGAAGGGGGGGGGGGGGGTTGTTTGGTTTTAAATGGGACTTTTGGGGGAGGGTGGATCACGAAAAACAAAAGACTTACGGCGTCTGCCACGAGGTGTGCGGGCGGGAGGGCTGCCTGCAAGTGTCCACTCTTCAGCAGGGGGTCGGCGAGGCCTGCCACGCTGGCGTGTAAGGGTTGAAGGGGATGATGGGGATTAAGATGGGTCGGTAGGAGAGGAAGCCCGTGAGAAGCAGCGAAGGGCGAGGAGGGGTGAGCCGCGAAGGGCGAAACTGTCAAATTATGGCTGTTCAGCGAGGGTGGGGGAGCGTGCCCGATAGCGGGGCCAATGGGCATTTGCATTACTGTACTTACGTCCGAGTGGGCGGGCACCGCGTAATTACCCTGGATGGTGAATGCTTGCCCACCAGCCAGGATCACTGGCCCACCAACTTGGGGTTTAGGGCGATAAGGGATCGTGGCACCTTTGGGAGGGGACTGAAACAAAAATCAAAAATTTAGAAATTAGACAAATCATCACCAAATTATATTACATGCACAATATTAATTACAATATATTTATCTGACGTTTTGATGAAAAAAATCAAAAATTATTGAATATCTGCTTTTGTATTTAGGAAATTTCAATCAAATTGTAAAATCACATTTTTTTTTGGTAAAAATTGCAGATAGATATTTTTTCACCTAAACGACAGATTAGGAGTAGATGCTATGTCGGAGAATTTCTTCAATTTTACTAAATTTAAATAAGTTATATGAAAATTTAGTTCAAATAAAATTTATAATTCGATTAAAATAGAACCTTTTTAAATTAAATTCACTAGAAATTAAATTAAATTTAGTAAATGCATGTAAATTTACAAAAAGAAAAACCTTTTAATGTATTAAAATCAAAATTTCATTAGCAAGGTATATATTTGACTTTTACAAATTAATTACATTTTTCATTTATGTAATATATCAAACCTAATAATGAAAATTATTACTCTTTCAAAAATTGGAAAGATTGAATAAAATTAATTAAATTTTAATTAATTTTATTATTTAACCAGATTTAACACTAGAAGAAATTCTCAGAGGGATCAAAGATATTTAATTATTTAAATTAGAGGGGGGAAATCTAAGATTTGAATTTTTCGTTTGAGTTTTAGGAAATATAATATGCGTAAATGTGTCTGTATGATGTATTGAATGAAAAAAATGTTTAATTAATCATGCAAATTGTCAAGGATCTTACATTAATCATATTTTATTTCATTGATCAAAAGTTGTGTTCACACTGAATTTTGCTTTTGTTTTCATTTGAAATTGCATATATCAATGTAAGATCTGTGTAACTTTGAAAACAACCTATCAGCGTCTTTGAGATAATAGATTGAAGCAGCAAGTTTTAAGGTAAACAAGAGAGCGTTGTGAATATTAATAAGCGATTTACTATGGAAATTGATTCTAAATTTGTTTTTCCAAGAGGTTCATCAAAGATTTTCTTTTTTCCATTTTTGAAATAATATTAAAAGTCTAATATTAAAATAGAGATGATGTATAAAATAACCAGAATTATAATATTAATTGTTAATATTTATAATTAATTTACATTTTATCATTATTTTAATTAATAATAATAAAGTTTAGAACGCTGAAGTTTGTTTCAACTTGATAATAGAACTAATGAACGTATCTAAAATTATGTAAGATAAGATTCCAATATTGTATATGTAATAAAATTAAAATTCATTACATAAATAATCAATTGTTTCAATTTTTTTTTAAATATAATTTTCTTGTTTGTATAATCAAAGAGACAATAGATAAAATTTTAATGAATTCATACATAATTTTAGAGAGAAATTATTGTGTTTTGTAAAGGGTGGTTTAGTAAAATGCAGTGACAATATTATTTTCTATAAAAATATAGAAAATAATAAAATTCAGTTTTTGATCTCGCAATTAATGCGACGCAACGACCGTGATTGGACGCTAGACTCTACACAATTCTGATACCATCTCTACAGAATATTAATGAACCAATAATCAATTTTCTCTGGAAATCTTTCTCTCTTAAAATTTTTTTTTCCCTCTTTTTTTTGATCGTAAAAAATATTTTGTTCACCCAAATACTTTTTCGGTCATAAAAAAGAATTAATCTCTTTTAATTTTTTTTTCTACTCTTTAAAAAATACTACTTTCTAAATCTTCTGTACTATTAAAAATTTAATCTCTTCAAATATTTTTTTTTTATTACAAAAATTATGAATTTTTTTTATTATTGTTCATTAAAAAAGTCATTTTTATTTGTTAATTCTAGGAAAATATGCAGTTTTTTTAAAACGATCATTAATATTTGAGGGGGAAAAAATGATATAACTGTTGATTGAGTATGAATGTAAATTTAACAATGAAATCATGAAAAAATAAAACAGTTCATTCCAAAATCATTCCCTGGGAAGATGATTAAAAGATCTCAGTGTATGATGTACCTTCTTAAAACTTTAGAATTCTCTGTAAGAGGTTCATGTGTAGAGTCGAGCTTCACGCTTGTAAGGATAAAGGGTTTTGCAAGGCTGCAGTAATGGTTGTACGAGGGATATAAAGCCGTTCTGTTCTCTACCGAGTCATTCAAAAGGGGACTTTGGATGTAAAATAAAGACAAAATGAGAAAAAGAAAAAAAAATATGTATAGGCAACACACGGTTTACAAAGGAGAACAAGTTCGTTCAAGCGTCTGTTCTAAGACTACGGGGGATCACTCCAGTGTTTTTCGTTTTTCTTTTTTTCTTTACTCAAAAAACAGTATTTCCTAAATGTTGAATAATCAAGAAAAACTTTTACAAAAAACGTGAATAATAATTGACATTTTAATTTTAAATTAAATAACCTTGGAAAATTTTTAATGAAAAAATCAAAACGAAAAAATTTCATTTAATCTAAGAACTATGATTTTATTTAATCTGGAAATGAATCTGTAAATCAAAGGAAAAGTAGATTTTATATTATAATTTAAAAATGAATCTCATGATCAGAAGAAATATTGACGGTAATAATTAATATTCGTTAATTTAATTCAAATAGTCAATTTTGGGGAATAATTTGAAAATTAATCATTCAACAAAATTAAAGAAATACTGTTTGAAAATTTCAAAAATTTCGAAATTTTTAAAACGATCTGAATCATCCATCACTGAAGATTTCGTTTTTCATCGGAAGTGAATCTTCAGTGTTGGATGGGTCGTCGATTGACAAAAAGAAAAAGAAAAAAATTAGTATATATATATATATAAATATATGTTTCTTTTTGTAATTCTACGGGGTTCGAGAACAATCGTTGTTTTACGGACTCGTACGTATCATTCGTCGTTAAACGGATCACCATTACTGTGCCGTCCTGGGCTTCGATGCGGTTGTTGATTCGCGTCGCAACGTTACGACGTACCTCTAGCATGACGCAGCATATGTGATATATGCACTGCGTGATCGCCTCGCTGGTGCCAGATATGGTGACAGCGCGTTCTGTCGAATTGGGCAGCATCTCCGATGCAACCTGAATTGACGCACCGGTCACTTCACGGATTTCCTTGATTTTTGAACCGCCTTTTCCAATGAGCGAGCCGCATTGTGATGCGGGCACGATAAGTCGCAGGGTGATCGGTGGTCTCGGTACACCACCACCGCCACCGGCTCCTCCGCCTTGCATATCGTGAAATTGCGAGCACCATTCCTCAAACTTCTTGCATATCAATGTGAACGCCTTGAAAATTGAGTTTGTGGGCCCCGTTACCGTCACTATTCTCTCGGGACACGTTCCATCCGAGATCAAAATCTTTGCACCAGACTGTAAAAATCCAAAATTCACATTATATTCTAAATTTTTAAGGCCAAATTACATTTTTTAAAAAGAAAAAAAAAAAAATTCTCAAATATTGTTGATAATTTTTTAATTAAAATTACAATGAATTATATAGTATTTAAAAATTATTATCTAAAAATTAAAATTAAATTAATTTTAATAAAAGACGAACTTACAAGAAATTTCTAAATAACGGATTAACGAGTTTACCGTCTAAAGAATTACTTCTTTCGTTTGCATTATTTAAATGAAGTATAGAAGAAGAATAAGAACTAAAGTTACAGAAAATAAAGTTAAAAAGTTTCTCTACAATACCCAAGTCTAATGAAAATCCTGATCATTAAGATGTGTATAAGACCATTATTCGAGCCTTGAGAAAATAATCAACTGTATTCAATTCAGAAAGAGTAAACTCCTCCTTTGCAATTAGGTTTTTTTTTTATATAAATAGACCTATATATGTCTGGTATAGAATGAAAGAAGATAATTACCTCTTCGCGGAACCTCTTGACAATTTCTCCTTTTTTACCAATGATACTTCCGACTTCCTGAAACAAAGAATATTCTATTTAATAATAAAGCCTTCGTCAATAATAATAATAATAATAATAATAATAATAATAATAACAAAAATAATAATAGAAAAAAAGAAACTGTAAGGTCTTTGAATAAATGAAATATTGACAAGAATAAAAGTTTCTTGTGATTTAATTAATATCATTATTGCAAGTATTCGTAATTTTTTTTTACAATCATTTAAAATTTTTCTTTTTCGCTCAATATTTGCTAATTAAATTTTAAAATACTAATTAAATAATTATTAAATAATTCAGAGAATAGATAAGAAAATAAATTTTGAAAATTTTTCAATTATTTTCGTATATAAGAAGATGAAAGGATATATTAGGGAGAAAATTTATTCACTAAGATGAGAGAAATGCTGATAGACTATACGAAGAGAAACATCGCACGACACGTAAAACTATAATTAGGTCCCTCTCTTTTTCTCTAGTCACTTTTGTCCAGAGCCAGAACTCGAGAGTCTTCTCTCTGACACGGTCTGACCTCCCGATAATGTCAGAGCTACAAACTCAGTGGTGCATTAGGTATGCGCCACTTCTAAACATAGATTGTGTCCACATTCTGGTCAAATCGAAATGGCAACTAGGATATTTGATCGCAAATTATTTTTCCTTTTTTCACCAACGATTTGCAATTTTTTTTTTAGCTTATCTTCTTTTCACACTTTTCTTTTTCAAAAATATGTATAGCAATTTAATAAATTTCTCCCTCAATAATAATTTACAGTAAAATACAAATATATTTTTTTAATTACAGATTACAATAATTTCGCTCAATTAGAGAAAAGGAAAATGGAATTGATATTTGACATTCAAGATAACTGCGCATGGATCTAATTAAATTTTTCCAATGATATTTATTATTTAACGATGAATCAGATATGTCGATATGTATAATTTAAAAAGAGAAAGAGAGAGAGAGCGACGCTTCTATACTGCGACAATATTAATTCAAAAGTTGGGTTGAATTGGGAAGGTCACGTGTGAATCTAGTTGCCAAATAAAAAGCTTAATTTGATTCGAGAGTATTTTGCGATTTCAAACCCGCGCAAGGGACAAAGATAGATTTGAATGAGGTCAAAGTGGGGTTTTACATTGTTTGCTGACGCGATATATACACGTTTTTCAAACTACACACAAACTCTTAGTCAATGTACCAATATCGATTCTCACAACAAAATTTTCCAATAAAAGAATATTACACATTCTTTTATGGGGAAAAAAATTTTCCAAAAGTTGTATAAGATTTAAATTTCAACAAGATAAATTTTGTTTAAAACTAATTAAACATATAAAATAGCGAAGATTTATTTGAAAATATTTGCAAATCTTAATTAAATTTTCTGACGATTTCTGAGTAATATATATATATGTACCGAGATATTATATTTTTAGTTACTAAGTTTACGCAGAATTTCTGGAGACGCAAACTTCCAGTAGGTATTTTAACAGGAATGTTCGTGAACGTGTTTTGAGTTTTAGAAACTCATCACTCTAAGAAAAATGAGCTTGTCACAAAAAAAAAAAAACATGTACGACAAGATCATTCATTAATGGATTATGTATTTCCTCGTCTAGATCGTTGAAACGTGCCAAAGATATTATAGAGAACAATAGTGCATCATCATTCAAAGCTTTGTCGACATACGAATTCTCTCTCTCTCTCTCTTTTCCTTCTATTGCTAAACTTAAAACTATATATTTCGAATAATTCTAATTAGTTCAAATACAATTAAATTTAAACGAACCTAAAAATTTTACTTTTTTCTAATTCAAAAACATTCTGTATCGATAGAAATTATTTTGAAAATCAAATTAGAAAAAATCCATAAGTATTATTTTACATATATTTTTTTTTACAGATAAATATCGGCGCACGCAATATCTAGCCAGTGAGAACAAATTTAGTCGAGACAAGAAGACGCCTAAGTAACGAAGGAAAGTGGCTCGAGTCCAAACTACTTTACCTAGAGAAATTTACGAGAGATTGCGAGATGTTATTTTTGCAGAGATTCCAGTCTCGTTACGGAACGATTACTTTTCGCTGTGTTATCAAAAAACCACGCTTATTCAAGTAACACAACATAAAAACAAGTTGGGAATTAATCGACAAGTAGGTAAAATTATATATATATATATAAATATATATGTGAGAGTTGACACAAACACAGTAAGTGGGTAGCGAATTTTCATGCAACAATTTTGCGGGAAACTTGACCAGCTTTGGATTATAAGGCACACAAGGAACGTGGTTTTATGAGTGGGGGATCACCGGTTGGCATCTGGCCATTATTTTAACCGCGGACCATACCACACTGGTGGAATTCTGAAGAATTATTGTGAATATAGTCGCGTGACTAATGAAGAACAAACAAAGTAAGAAAATCAAAAAATTTGATTTATATTATTTTTTTTTATATTATTAGAAGAAGGATATAAATTTTATAAAACGAAAGAATGGAATTTCAAATGACTTCTAAATTATTTTACTACACCAAGGAGAATCAAGAACAACGAAAACTAGTTTTCAATTTCAATTATATGTACAAGTACATTAAACTGCTTTAAAAGAGTTGCACTTTGAATTCTCGTGGGAGTGAACCTCACTTTAGACATTTTCACTATAAAGTTCTCTTTTCATCTTTGTCACTGAGTACAATCTACTTTCCCAAAGGATATTATTATTATTTTTTTTTTTTTTAACAATAAGAAAGAGTTGAATAATTCCATTGAATTATAAATTGTAAGACAATTGTATTATTCTAATTATTATATATTTCAGATACCAATTATTCAGAAAAAAAATATGTAATGTTAAAAACAAATTCCTCTGTCAAAAAAAAAAAAAAGAAAAAAAAGAAAAATGGTTGGTTAATCCGTACTCGACAATCGAAATGATGACAATATGTCGTTGAGAGAGCCTAGCAGAAAATTCCAAGGTTTATTTGTAATTGAAACGATAACAAAATTGTGATTCGCATCGAACCGATTGGCCAATGTCCCTGGCCAGGGTCCAGTCTGTTCTCATATAGTAATGGTAGTTTCCCCTGAGACATAATAGTGCCACTAGCCAAAAACTCGGCCAGACGTATTAATCCCCTTTCCTCTTTTCTCAAAATCCAAGGGTATATTGCTCCTCTACTTTTGCTCTTCTCTCAACGCTCTCATTGTCGCGCGACATTTCTCTATATCTAAACCGACCTCTAATAAATACCATTTAAAAAAAAAAAAAAGAAAACGCAAAATCAAAATAATTTCCCAAATATTTTATTTTTGCATTCTATTTAATCAATATTGTAAATTAATTTTCAATTGAATTAATTATTGCAGGTGCGCATGATTAGAAAATGCCTTTGAACCACAATTGCATTGTTCGAGAATCATGTAATCAAAATTGTATTTGTCTTTTGAAGTGATCACAATCAGAATATGAGATTTAGAGTGAATTTAATTTTTCACTATATATAATAGTTATTGAAACATAAATACACAAAAATTATAAAAAAAATGTTTTCAAGGGGAATAAAAAATGTTTTTTTTTAATAACATTTTATATTTGACAGAAGAGTTTTTGTCATATAATTTTTCTCTCTGTAAACTAACAGTTTATGGATGAAAAACAGTGCGCAATTTATATTCAAACAGAAAAAAAAATGGAGTGGTTTCTCTACTTGTGAATATCTTATGATAAAAGCTCTTTTTTAAAATCACAAACTGCTTCAGTTATAATATTTTCAAGTGAACCAAGAAAAGCGGATGCATTTTCCTTTGTCATATTGCTATCTGTATATATATAACAATAAGAATATGGCCAATTATAATGAATACAATTTTAAACTGTACTCGTTCTATATTGCGAAAAAAAAATTCTATATAATTTTTTTTTTCAATTTTCTTTCATTAATTTTCGTATACTTTCTATTAATATTAATCCCATTATATATATACGAATAAGAAAAGGAATTAAAATTTCTTGAAAAAGAAAATTTTATTTATGACTAAGCTGAAATACACAATGTTTATATAAACGATTATTAAAGAAATAATTTTTTAAAATGAAAAATTCTATAATTTTTTTGCCTAAAAAATATTTCTTGTAGTTTTCATTAATCAAAAAATTATAAAAAAAATATTTTTTTAAGCAAAAAATTATAGAATTTTTCATTTTAAAAAATTATTTCTTTAAAAATTGTTTATATAAACGTTGCGTACTTCAGCTTCGTTATTTATGAATATAAATGATTTTTTTCTTTTTTAGAAACTCATCATCAAAAAGCAATTTATATTTCTAATGGATAAACTTGATGATGTAACTTATCTTAGACACGCCCTTAAAAAAAAATTAAAACTCCCTTAAAGCGTTGAGAGTGTCAAGTATAATTCTACTAGGAAATAAATTTCCAACAAGAAGTCTCGTTACATCATAAAGTTGCCGAGTTCACAAGACGTGTGTAACCCTTACTTAATTCAAGAAAGGGCGGTTTCAAAGTAGAAACTCATCATCACCTTGCTCCTCTTTCCATTTGACCATAAATAATTCCATGTGCAAAAAAAAAAAGTATATATATATGAGAAAGAGAGAAAATAGAAGAAACGGAACCAAAGGAGTAAGTAGAGATCTGCGAAGCCCCATCGTTGACGTTAGAGCGTAAAAACATGGGTATAATGAGATTTGACATGGAAGCACTTCGCACGATAGATAACTTTTGCGGGAGGGAGGGGGGGGGGGTAAAAAGAGACAGTGGAGATGTTCGAAAAAAGGGGTGAAAAAGAAATGAAGGAAGTGGGAAACCCTCTAACCGTCTCTGACAGTCGCATAAGGGTGCGAGACGAAGAATAAAAAGGGTGTTAAAATGAGGTAGAAAAAAAGAGAGGGACCTTTGTAGACGCAAGAGTATCATTGAGATGTGCACAAACGTGCAATAATCTCTGTGTCATACTTTAGCACGGATACTTATGTACAAGTACATATATATATATACATATACACTTGGTGCATATATAGAGAGACGTGTCGGATGTCACGTGTTACCTTCAACATTTTGTTCCTGACATTGATTTAGCTTCAAATTTCCGTCCACGACGAGGAAATGAATCTTTAATTACAATCCAAGATTTCCATTATCCCATCTACGACATGAATTTCGATATTAGGTTTTAGTCAAAATCTTTCAAATCTTCGATTTTTTTTTCAGAAACAGAAATTTATAAAAAAATTTTCATTCAAAAAAATATTTTTTTTAAAAAGAAAATGAATTTATGTACCAAAAGTCCGAAATATTAATTTTACATTAAACCGCACAATTTCATAACGAACAATTTTTTATTTAACCGAATTTATTTTTTTTTTTTATTCAGCAGAATTTTCAATAAATTGTTTAGTATTTATTTAATAGAAATTCAAAGCTCGTTATTTTAAATATAAAAAAATTATGTTTGAATAAAAAATCGATGCGAATATAAATCATATAACAGATTTGTTTTTGATTTATAAAATTGAAACCAATCAAGACAAACATTTTAATTTTCGTACTAAATAAAGTTGTAAAATGAAAAATTTAACAACATTGGAATGTAAACTTTTTCAATTTCAAAAACAATAAAAACTGTGATGCGAGCTTTGATTTACATATATAAAATCGCAAAAAAATGGAACTTCTTATCTTTAGACATTTATACTATTTCCTCTTCTTTTTTTTCTCTCATTTTATGATTCAATCGTTTTTACGTAAAAACTATATATATATATATATATATATATATATATATACTGATTGTGAATCGTATTTGACGAACTAAGATAGTAAAATTCGCCAGAATACGTTCAATTTAGTTTTATGACTTTTATATACAGTCATTTCATCTCATTGTTTCGTCAAAAACAAATAATACGAAAAATAATATATAAAAAATAGCAAAAGTAATTCAAAAAAAAAAAAAAAAAATAGTACAAAAAAATTGAAATAAATATTTTAAATTATGTGGTGAATGTTGAAAAAATCTCTTTTTCTGGTTTAGTCGCGAATAATCCGTTCTAATCTTAATTAAATTCACGATATTTTTCCGAGGCAGTAAGATATATAAAATTGCATTTAATTCTTTCGCAAGGAACGTTGATACCCGGAAGCTATTTGCGGTCAGCTTTTTCTCCTCTCACATATATATATATATATATATATACACACGCATGGAAACATCGCGTATCCATGACCCGAGTCAATAATAAATCCGTTGGTACGGATGCGTGCCAAGAGGAACGTACTTCTGAATCATCAGGTTTATTTCGTACTTTTCGGTGCCGTCAATTCAAGACGGCCCTTTATATATACGTGTATATATATGTATATACAAAAGGTAAGTATCGACAAGAAAGTAAACAAATCTGACATTTGAAAATCCCTACAAAGAAAACGTATTTTCATCACAAAAGAGGATTCAATTTCGTATTTTTAGGGAAACGATAAAGTGACGTGTTATTTTATAAAAAAAAAAAAATCGTTTTTTTCTCTTAACGGTCAGCAATTTTTTCGACTTTTGATTATATACAATTTTCTATTGTTTTTATCTTTTTTTTACAGCAAAAAATTAATCACTATTTCTCTTTTAGAACTTTAATAGAAATTCTGTTGAATAAAAATTCTACCTTATGGAAATTTAATAAAAATTCGATTTGAGATAAATACTTTATAAATTTAAATAATTGTTTTAATAAACTATTATTAAATTTAGAATATCTTTTTTTTTTGGGAAAGTTTCCGAGAACGTGACTAAATTATCGCGTGCTATTGAAAAAAAAAAAATGTTTTCAAATCATTTAGCCTAATATATAAAGATTGCAGTCACATTTGAAACAGGTCTCTCTCTCTCTCTTTCTCTCTCCTTCTCTCTGTTCCCATTTAATGATCTGCAACAGGCTGTGTGCGTCAATTAGCAACCTCGTGGAAAATGAATGTGTGACACTATTACACTTATTCACATGGAAAGGCGTGTGTATAACGCTTCACTTCCATCGAAAAGAGGCAAAGACGAGGTCTTACCGAGGGTGACCCGTAATAAATTTCCCTTTGTATATGTATATTTCTATTTTATATATACCTACACACATAAACACTTTGTTATTGTTAAGGAAGATAAAAAATGAAGAGGGAAAAAAGTAATAATGAAAATTAAATAAGCTTACCTTGCCCTGCATAATCAGGCGAATGGTTAACGTGACCGATGGGTCATCGTTCAACACCGGCTTGTTGTTATCCATGCCGTCCATGGTTGTTTTTATGTCGAGGTCGCGGATACGTTTACAGTGGGATATGAGATTTTAGTGGATTCTGTGGAAGGAGAGGATTCGGACAAGGACAAGGAGGATAAGGGAGAGAGGTTAGGCGTGTGATTTTGACCGGAAGGATTTTTTTTTTCTTGGGAGGTACTCCTTAAGCGCTTCCAGGTAGGTTTCAGTCTTTGCACTGCAAAAAAAAAAAAATGAATTTCAATTTTTAAATATTCATTTTCAGTAAGATTAGAATTATAATTTTCAAAATTCATTTTTTGTTAATAAAAAAAAGTAAGTTTCCTTTCAATTTTGCGAACTGAAAACAAATTATTTTAAATTTGTAAACATGGAAAATTGGATACATTCCAATTTTCAACTGCAATAGAAAAAAAAACCTCCCATCTATTGTTAATAACTAAAGAACTATTTAGAAAGAAGTTGGTCTTGAATAGAAGTGCGGCCAACGGTAATAACTCGAGTTTCGCTATTACCCTACTTTTATAAAAGAATCGAAATTATGTGCATTACATCGCCTCTATAGACAAGAGTTTCAAGTTTTGTCGTATTTCAAATAGACGATAAGCCAGTAGTTGCAAGATGGTGTATATGAGACAAAAAAAAAAAATATCGAGAATTAACGGTATCGTACACCAAGTGTGCAAACTAGAAAGGATTGTAAAAGAATCTTTAAGTCTCGACATCCCGTACACTGGCGATAATCATTAGTGAACCTGTTACTATATACGAACGTCGACATTTTCTTCGCGAGATAAATTCTCCAGGCGTCATTTTATACACAAAAGTTAAGAAACTCTTGGGATAGTTTCGCACTGTGGAACCTTGAGATATTTTTCATTCCAATGTGCAAATAAAGTGTCGCTCTGTGTTTGGAATGAAAGGAAAAGTAATTTATGGCACTTCTTTGAAAGCATGAAACTGTTTGATGTCAACGTTTGATATTAAATTTCTTATTTTTATAACACTAATTAGAGACGGTCTTCCAACTTTTAATCAAATCTCACAAATATACATCCAATGGAAATGAAATTTATCTGTAACTTACAAAAAAAAAATTACCATTAATAAATTTTTAAATAAGTAAAAAATAATTTTCAAAACAATGTACATAATTGTTGGAAACAATTTATAAATGGTATACAAATATTTGATTTTAAAAGGAAAAGAAACGGAAAATAGTTTCAAATGAAAGGTTTGCTTTATTCTCAATGGGATGAAGTTTATAGACTTGAAAATATTGACTTTCGAAACCGAAAATAAACATGACTTTTTTGAAAACTGGTTGTTTATTGAATAAGAAAGTTATTTATTTCACGCTAGAAGGCAGAGCATGGCCCAATTTTCATTTTACTTGCTATTTAGCGATTACTGGGGCAAATCGCACCTAGATCATAGTAAACGAACCAAGACATTTTATCCATCAAGAAAATTATATATTATTTAAAAATTCTCTCAATAAAAATCTAATAATAACAATTCTCAATATATATAATATGACATTGAACATCAATAACAATGTTTAGAATAATTAGTAAAAACTATATAAAGAAATAAATGCAAAATTGTAAACAAAAATAATAAATTTTCCCCCTTTTTCTTATCAAAAAGAAAAATAAGATTTCGTTCATTAGAAATAGAACTTTAATTATCACATATTGTTTGGAACAGAGGAAATTCGTTAAAAAATGGGTAATTTTTTTTTTAACAAAAAAAAAAGAAGAAAAAGATAGAAGGGAACACGTGGTGAACAAATAAGAATTCCCCCTTCGTATCCGTCACTGTGAGAGGGAACACTACGGATTGCCGGTTGGTCCGTTACAGAGAGAATGTACTCTAAAGAGTGTATATGTACTTATATGAAGATACAATACACATGGTACGTGTGGAAGTATTCTGTCTGGAAATTGCGAGTGAAGAATGATTCCCATCCTATGCATTTGCTCTTGCTCCAAAAACTAGGGAGAGACAACCTGCTTTGCAAAAGTGTAAAAGCCCAACAAACATCTGGTTCTATTGTACATTCACATGTGTTTAAGAATAAAAAACAATCATCTGTAAGAAGAAAAAAAAATCGAATTACTTGCTACGTTCTACACGCAAATAATATTAAAAAAAAAAAAAAAAAAAGAAATACTTGACTTTACTTCACACTATCCAATGACTTGCTCTCTTAAGAAACTAAGATTGTTTTTGTTTTTCACGTAATTACTTAAAAATACTTAATAATTATACACTGAAATAGCTGCAATAGCAATTTTAAGTAACTATTTTATGACACATAACCTCAAAACATACATTATAACCAAAATTGAATTAAGGGTTATCTATAACGTAATTATTGCAAAAAAATTTTTTTTTTATAAGCAATAATCCCGAAATCCGAGCTCGTAATAAATTGCCAACTCCGAACAATTAACAAGGGGAACAAGCATGTAGAATTTTGCTCTTACCAAAATAGAACTTCCTTTCTTTTGGGCAAACAATGCATATTTTAATGCCGAAATGAAAGAAAAATCAGGCTCATTTGTTGCCGGAAGCTTTCAATAAAACCATTGGTTGCTCTCGCCTAGTTCCATTCAAAGGAAAATTAACAAACAAGAACTACTTTTGAAAAAAAAAATTTGTCACTTTTGCTTTGAAAATATAAATGATTTTCCTTAATAAAAATATAAAAACTAAAATTATCAATTCTAATTTAAAATAGAATAAATAAATTAATAAAAGACAAAAATAGAAGAAACTCTACCACTCGTAGCATTGTGAATAAATTGTAACTCTTTTAAATGCTGTTTATATCTCTTTGCGGGGTCAGATAACAAAACGGATGCCAAATACTAGCGTAGTACCTACGTAGAATAAATTAATGCTACGCACGACATGATAACGAGTTATATCCGAATCTCTATGGTGAAAGTTTCAATTACCACTTTAGATATTTTTAGCAAAAAAACATTTTTTTTTCTCCAACGATGGAAATTCCCAACTCAGGAGTATATAAAATCAAAAAAAAAAAAAAATAACAAAATAATAATTAATACCATGTGAACTGGTTTAACTCTTAACACGTTGCGAATTAAAATCAAAGTATAAAATGTTAGCGAGACGCTCCAAAAAAGGAAAATTACCTATGCAAAAATAATCACACTAAAATTCTCGTATTTTAACACGCAAATATCTTGTCTTGACAATCTAACCTAAAAAAAAATCTGTCAAGTTGCATTAGATGGCGTCGAATTTTTTCGTTTTTTTTTTCATACAAAATTTCCGGTTTAGTCACTTGTCTTTGGCCACGAGCGTCACTGAGAGATAGAGAAATCCATATGAAAAATGAAAAGATGGATGAACCGGGAAAACAAAAAGTGGGCGTTGCTTTCAACTAATTATGGGCAAAAAGTGTCAAGAAAAAAAAGTTGAGAAACACAATTGAATTTATTCGATCGACAACAAAATCACGATGTTCACATGCTATACCGGCGGCGTGGAAACGGGAGTTATGGTGGCAACACCGGGCTTCCAGTGTTGGTCGATTGCACTATACACGAGAGAGTAAAATAAGAAATTTTTTTTTTTTTTTGTTAAAAACATTACCTAAAGGCACTCCTTAATCATTGGCTAAAGTGTCTGCTATCGCCTCATGGACACTTCACTCAAAAAGGGATGAATTGTAGAGAAAAGCACTACACTCTACACGACACAGGAAAACTGCACCACTTCACCGAACAAGTACAAATTTCTATCCTTCCTAGTCGCGAGTCTCTGCAGCGACGTCTTGCTTGCTCGATGATTTCCTACGCCATCAAACGGTGGCGCCACCTATCAGAGCGCGCAATGAATTCTGGGGCGCGCAAGCGAACTAATTGGCGCGTATATTTGAAAAGTCATTAAACTTTAGTAATTCAATTTTATTGTTCATTCATTCGTAATTAAATATTTATTAGTAATTACTTTATTTAATATTTAATAAAAATGTAATACTACCATTTATTGTTTATTATTCACCTATTATATATTAATTATTCTTGTCGGATATTATAAAAATAAGTTTTATTTTTTTTCCATTTTTTATTTTTATTTATTTGCATTTTTTTTTTGCATTAAATTAAATTTGAAAATAAAATTTAATTAAGATTATAGAAGGATAATTTTTTTTTATTTAATTATTTGACATAAGGAAAATAAACAAAAGGAAATGGTACATCAAACTGTGACGTAAATCTGTTCTAAACTTCGAGGATTGCTGGAATTGCATCTATTGAAAGTTCTATTATTGTATTTTCAAACTTGTTCGAAAGGTAATACAACTTTTCCCTCGTTTCGAAGGTCAAATAGAATAAATTAAATTCAATATCATATATACCAACATTTATAATTAATTCTAAGCAATTAAGAAGTTTTGGTAATTTAAATTTTTTTAACTAATTCAATTTAACGATAATATAGGAGAAATTAGAATTTATATTACTAAAATGTTTTTGATTTAAATCCAAAGTTATTCATATAAACTAATCAAACTGATTATTCAAATATGTAATTAACAAATAAGATTAAAATTCTAATAAAATAATTGTTATAAACAAAATTATAATAATTAAAAAATGAAACTTTTGTTTGAAAATAATTATTTTACTTCACAAATTGTTGTTGTCTGATGCAATTACAATGAATGACTATATTCTGATTAAGCTAATTTTGAAATGAGAGATTATAATAGTTACATTATTTGGAATAACCATAATTATTGAATGTATATATGTAATAAAATATTTTCATCATTGTATAGTATAAAATAAATTATTTATTATACATCATGAAATTTCAAATCACTTTGAATAGAATGAATAATTGATTATTATATAGATTCTCATTCTCATATTAAATATGATAATCAACTTTGAAATTGGAGTTGATGTGACAGTTACAATTTCAATTATTATAAAAAATTTACAACCAGCTGATGTATTTATAAATTTATAAATTTTCCCAGTATGAGTAGCAAATTTTTGCACTAATTTTAAAGCATAAATATTTTAAAAAGTCAGAAATTCAAATTCAAAATAATTAATAAAATATAATATTTCAAATTAATAAATGTAAAATATTTAATAAATTATATTACACTCCAGAGAAAAGATATATTTGTCTCAGAGCAAAATATTTATTTGCTGTAAATAAAATTATTTCTGCTAAATAAAATTTTATATAATTAAATTGTATTGTATTAAATTGTATTAAAAATTGATAAGAAATTTATTTATTTTTATTAGTTAAAAATAATTAAATTAAATTTTTCTGTTTGAAACAAATAAAATTTTATTACTTTCTGAGACAAATATAATTTTATTTCCTTCAAATAAATTCAAATAGGAGCATAAATAAAATAATTCTCTGGATGTAAAAAAAAACTTCAATAATATTGTTATAAAATTAAATGTACTTGAAGCATTAAAAAAGTTGAAACAATTACAAATTTCCCAGCTAAATGAGATACCTGATATATGCAATGCAACATGATACATCTGCAATTTAATCGCCTCTTTAAACTAGTTCGTGCATTCATATATAAAGTCTAAGATATACATTTTATATATATATATATATATATATAGGTATATTATAATGCAGTTACGTAGACATTAGTAAGGAAGAGCTGGGAAGAGCATTAGGGATTTAATCGATAAACCGATGAGCAATATCAAAGTGAATACACTTAGGAAGCCAATACCTATATATATATATGTAACATATATATCTTATTTCTTTTATATTTCTTGATCTCAATACAATATGTATATTACTTTTCTATCACATGTTTCCAAGAGAAAGAGCATTTCAAAATTCTATTTTCCTCTTCTCCTTTTTTTATTACATATATATATATATTTTTTTTTTGTTTTATTTGGTATTCCGCATATATATATATGGCAATGTCATGAAATTGAAACCATACCCATATGCATCTCGAACTCACGATTTCATAAGCGGTTGTGGAATCGGTCACATACCAAGTAGGTACATATGAACATTTATCCACCATAATCGATACTCTACTATGTACTTGATTGAATACAGGAGATTCGACAAAATTAACGCAAATTATCTCAAGAGGCTAATTCCAGTGGCTTGTTAAACAGAGAAGGGGATATTTCCCACTATAAAAAAATTCTACCAAGAGAAAAAATATATATATATATTTCTCTCACAACAGAGAGATAAATAAATATTTGTTTTAAATTTTATTTGTTCAAAATAAAATTTTATTTGCGGAAGAATAAATTTTTTATTTAGAACAAATAAAATTTATTTGAAACAAATAGTTCTAAATAGTACCGAGACAAATTTTTATTTAATTTAAATAAAAATTCATTTTTTATAGTTATAGAGAACTAAAAATTTTATTTTCTACAATTTATAGTTTTTAAGTCATATATTAAATAGCCAATAACATATAGCTAGACGTATTTAAATGTCACAACCAATATATTGGAGTCTGATATCTCTCACATGAGAGCTGTGCATCATACTCCATGTCTGTGTTATGGTTGATAATAGCCTTGAGGCCATGTACTCTCGCGTTATATACATATATATATATATAGATCAAAATATACAATTTTCTTCAATAACTGTTCTACAAAAAAAAAAACAATATTTCTCACACATTTTCAACTGTATATATATTTATACAAATATTCTATATGCGAGTTTTTTTAAAAAATAAATTCTTACCAAATAACAAATTATCTTATTTAAATAATAATCGGTTTACTTGCCTATCAAAATTTATTATAAGCTACTAATTCAAATTAGCAAAGAATTTTCAATAATTTTTAGTCACTTTTTACTAAAACTTTAGTAAAAGAAAAAAAAAATTAAAAACTAGTAAATCAGATAGTAATATTTTACTAAAAATTAGTAAAAATTCTTACTAATGTGAATTAGTAGCTCACTTTTTACTAATTCAAATTTAAAGAGATAGCTAACATTTATTTACTCCGTGAACAAACAAATATTTATTTCATACAAATAAATATTTATTTCGTGTAAATAAATATTTTTTTTATACAAATAAAAATTTTTTTTATACAAATAAATATTTATTTCCTATAAATAAATATTTATTTGAAAATATACAAGTAATTTGAAACAAATAAATTTTTAATTTTTATACTCTATAAACTTGTGAATTAGTGAAACTCCACTTATTTAATAATAAACTTATAAATCGCTCTTTAATTCAATAAGTGTTATATAAACAAGTGAATTTTTAACTAAATTTGAGTAAAATTTCACTGAAAGTAAAATTAAATTTAAAGTTAAATTTCCCTTTATAATGTTACACTGATTGAATGAGAGCCAACAACTTACAGAACTTTAAACTTCACTTATTCAAATTTAGAGTTTTCAACATTTATTTTCATATTATATTGTCATATTATTAATTCTTTAAATTTACGATGATATAATATGTAATTTAAAATTTTAATACCCGTATATATATGAAATGTTATAAATTTTATAAACAATTTCATAAAAAAAATATATATATATATTTACGTTTTACAACCCTTTATATACTCTTGATGAGAGCTCGTTTCAAATTAAAGTTTCATTATTATATTATGACAAGCATTACATATACTGTGGATTATAATTAAAATTTTCAACTCAGACTTTGTGAACAATAAATCACAAATATATATATATATATATATATATATATATATATACGCACTACTCGAAAATACGATCACGAAGGTCTCAGTTACGGTCGTGCACTCTATTATGACAGTAGATACGATACGATGCAGAAACACTGCTTTAGTTGCTAGGTGGTGCAATTTAATTATCATTTTAGATGTCGTGGAAAGCAATTATCGGAAATTTAGTTTGTCCTTTGGTCAGCGAAACGCCTTCGACCATCTCCTTCTATATTCATTATACAAGTTTCAAATGTTTTTAATTTTTTTCGAACGATATTTTAAAATGAAATGATAATATATGAAACATGAATTTAAAAATTCTATGAGGAAAAATAAATTAAAAGTTGCCATTTAGAAAAAAAAAAAAAAAAAAATAGAAATCAAGAACTATTAAATAAAATTAAAAAAAAGTTGAGCTTAAAATTATTCCCTAACTAACAGGACAAGAGAGACGAGTTTATCTAGGTTTATAAGATGCAGGAACAATCCCATTGGAACAATTTCACATCCCAAGCATGAATAAAATATTCAACTTTTCCCAAGGTATCACTATGTGATGGTATTTATGTGTCAAACATGATATTATCATTCTACTATATTAATATTGTGCATATATTTTTGAAATTTAAGAAAAAAAATTTTAAATACATTTTTTATTACATGAGAAAACAACTTTTTGCCAAATTGTTCAAAAATAATTATAAAAAATGTTGATTCAATAAACAAATAGCAAAAAATTTGAAAATAGTAAAAATAAACAATATATAAAAAAATATAAAAAGAAAATAAATAAATATATAAAAAATTTAAACTAATAAAAATAAATGAACAAATAAAACATTTTAAATAATAAAAAAGAGCATTATTTGTAAGCCTGTTTATTTTTAAAATAAAATAAGAAAAAAAAATAAACAAAAATTTGAAAATAATTAATATCAAATTAATTTTAGGGGCATAATAATTTTTGCAATAGTGCAATTAAAAAAAAAATGTTAACTTTTAACGATCAGGATCTTTTTTTTCATTAAAAAAAAAAAAAAAAAAAAAAAAAAAGAAAGAAAACTCACTCTCTTGGTCCATAGTTTGCTCATTCGTATAT